CTGCACATAAAAGACAAGTGCAGCATATTTACAATCTAGAATCATTTAAAGTAATTTTTTAGGAAAAATGTCCAAACTCTTTGATTTCAGCTTCTCCAATATAAATATTTTCTGCTTTCTTTAGTCCTATATGGCAGTAAACTGAATGTCTTTGGGTTGTGGACAAAACAAGACATTACCCTGGGTTTTGGGAAACACCGATCAACATTTTTTCATAATTTTCTGACATTTTATGTCAAAAAAGAATTTAAATCGCAAATCATAAAATGTTGTGTGACACAAGAACTTCTGAGTGTTTGTGGTATTATTGTATTGGATTCTATCATATTGGGTACCTTATACCACCCCACCTCCCCCCACCAGGTGCAGGATAGTTGCTGTGGTTTGAAAATGACTCAGGATACCTCGGAAGCGGTGACACCATCATTATGTATATATTATAAGTGTCTTAAGGTGATGTTCCTATATACTGACATTAATTAAAAGAGTCAAACTGTATAACTCATTGGTATAAAGATTTTTAAAAAATCATAAAGACTAAAGAAAGTATGACAAAGCACCGGCATCTCAGACCGAAACAAGGGCACTACAGCCAACAAGAAAAAAACCTTTGCTTTTGCCTCACAGATAATTGTAAAACATACTTCAACCTGGACAGAAACAAAATAAAACCCACCAAAACCGCTGTTCCAACAATCACCAGCGCTGGTTTGTTTTCATTAGTGTATAATGACCTGAATATAAGAATTGTTGTGGCTTCGTTTATCTTAGAATGAGCTGTTTTTATCTACAGACATCACAGCACTTCCATGGAGTCCATCATGTTGACCCGCCATGTTTCTTTAGTTGCCCGGAATGGAAAACCAAACACTGGCTCTAGGTTTTTTTTTTGTTTTTTGCGCATTTTGTGGCCCCCATAGTTTCTCATTTGCACTGAGAAGGGGAGGGTGAAGCGAGAGAGTTACAGTTGTCAGATACACCGCTAGATGCCACTAAATCCTCCACACTAGACCTTTAAGGAAAGGATCCCTACAGAGATAGACCTTTTGTTTAACCAGAAACAGACATAATACTGCTATTGCTTGCCACAGAGAGTTTCCCCCCTACAACAATCACCAACTCTGGTTTAATTTACTTATGTAGATGAGAAAAATAGCAGTTTCAGTCACTCAGCTGCACACAGACAGCCATACATGCACTAATATGCACGCATGGCCAGACCTGCTATCTAAACACACCACAGGGAGGCTGGAATAGCAACACAGGCGGAGGGAGTGTGACATTATGACTCCTCTATGTTTTACATAGAGAACAGTTGTTTGCTGCTATATTAATCTTCTCACACACAAAATGTCACATATATACATGATATATATATATAACCTTTTAATGAGTGAAAACTGTTTAGTGTAAGCAGTAACAGACTTCCTGATAGAGAGAGTGAACTGCTGTGACAAATGACAATTTATCAGGAACTTAAAGAGGAAAGTATCTGAATGTGATGGAGCCAGCATGACCCAACTTTTCCACTTGCCCTCTTTATCCACTCTGCACCTCAGTCTGCTAGGCTCAGTTTCTCTCTCTGAAATGTGTTGTCTTTCGTTATCTCTCACTCCCCTTCAGCTTCTCTGTACTCTGTTTGAGTACTTAAACTAGGTTAAGTCAACAAATGGTTGACCAGACTCTCACGGCACACAAACGCACACACATTCTTGATGATTTTCAATGGTGGAAGTATTTTTAGCATGTTTACTCTCTGTCAGAAGTAACATATGAATAGTTTTTATTCATGTGAAACATCTAATTTTTTTACTTAAAAGAATGATGTGAAAGTTGTACTGTCAATTTGCTTTATCCACTACTTAAATACCAATAAAGTACTCTCTCCATCCCTTGTGATTTAGTTAAACAGAATTGACCTTTTCTCTTCAGCCAGATGACTGTGGCCTTCAGGACTATCTTCCTTTGTTAAATTTCCTGTCAGGAGACGCAGTTGCTTCTGACTTCCTGTAGGATTGTGACATTTCCTGTGCTCTGGAGGGGGGTGTTTTCTTGCAAAAGCCTTTCAGCTGTTTGAAAAAACAGGATACAGGACACTGGATAGGCCACAGTAGGAAAACACTACTTTAGCTGGCAGAAATTAACCGCTGACTTAAGCCGCAATAACAAAACAGTGCTTCAGGCCACAGACTTCAAATGTTGGTTAAAGGCCACAGCCACAGAGTGGATTAGCCTGCTTTATGCAACATAAAAAACAAGTGACATAATGTATCCAGATATAAACCATTGTGGTTTTCAATGCTAGCTATTACAGATATAGCGCTATATCTAAGTGACATCAGACCCTGATAATAACTTGTTTCCATTTGGAGGATTCCTGTTTTACAGACATCTCTTTTTTGGGTAGTGGCTTTTTTTGTTTTTTCTTTGCAGTACTGCGGTTGGCCACTGGGACAAATTGGTAGCAAGGCTGACTGGTGGCGCCATTTCAAGGTCTAATAAAGAATCCATGTCTTTTACAGACCAACCTAACAAGCAGCCATGTCTCCTAGAAATTACATTGATGTACACCTAGTTTGCAACAGTACAGCAAATGCAAACCAGATTACGTTTCTATAAACATAATAAGGAAATGTTAATTAACATAGTGGTTCTCAACTGGTCTCCCCAATTTTACCACATTTAGTCATTTTAATGAAGTCGTGACCCACTTTTCTTGAATTCAAACCAAGTTAAAAAAAATTATAAATAGGCTAGTAAACACATACTTTTTTAAAAATATAGACCCTGCAATCAGAGCACACTCTAACTAATATTAAACTGAGTGTGAACATCAATTCAATTTCAATTCAATTTTATTTGTATAGCGCCAATTCATAACAGAAGTTATCTCAGGACATTTTTCAAATAGAGCAGGTCTAGACCGAACTCTTTATAACATTATTTACAGAGACCCAACAGTACCACCATGAGCAAGCACTTGGCGACAAGGGCAAGGAAAAACTGCCTTTTTAAGAGGCAGAAACCTAGGACAGACCCTTCGGCTCTAGGTGGGTGGTCGTCTGCTTTGACATCACAACTGTGCGCTGCTGATTCTAATGAATATGAATTAGATTCATAGATAACCTTCATAACTGTGTTTACAGTAACAGAAACTGTCCTTCCCTCTATCATTTCGCTTTATTCAAAATAGACACTCTCTTTTTTTAACCTAAGGCACGTGTTTAATGTGATTTATAATCCTTCTCCCTCTACCCTTCCTGAACCCTTGATCTCGCTAGATGCAGAGAAGGCATTCGACAGGGTGGAGTGGGATTACCCCTTTTTTTGCTCTTACAAAATTTGGTTTTGGGGGAAATTTTATTTCATGGGTTAAATTGCTCTACTTTTCTCCTCAAGCATCAGTCAGAACTCATAATATAAATTCTGATTTCTGACTTTCATTTGTATCGATCTACTAGGAAGGACTGCCCTCTGAGTCCCTTATTATTTGCCATTGAGCCCCTCTTAATTGCACTTAGGACCAACCATTACATTTATGGCATACACAAGAATGGAGTAGAAATAAAGGTCTCGTTGTATGCAGATGATTTACTCTCATTTTTTTCCAATCTTCGTCTGTGTTAAATCGTTAGAAGAGTTATACATTAACAATGTTTTTGCATCCTTCCGGCAGCTGTTGGACCATTTTTTGCTTCCTATAAAAAAATGTTCAGGCACTTATAGGCCCATAGCTTTGTACGAAGTATGTTCCCCAGTTTTCCCAATCTGCCAGAGGGCTCACCTCTTGATGATTTCTTGACTCCATATTCATCCCTGAAAGGGGCTATTTGTAGAATCCATACACAGATTCATAACTTAAGAATCGACTCAATTGAATCAATCAAGTTATCATGGGAGACAGATTTGGGGGAGGAAATATTGAGTGAGGTTTGGGGAGAGATGCTGGAAAGGGTTACAGCTCCTCTATTAGTGCGAAACATAGTTTGATACAGCGTAAAGTAGTGCATCGCACTTATTTTACCAAGCCTCACCTAGCCAAGATATTCAACGATGTCTCCCTGATTTGTGATAGGTGTCATCAGGCCCCTGCTAACCTTTTTACACATGCTCTGGCTCTGTCCATCCTTGCTTAACTTCTGGGCAATGGTTTAATATTGTGTCTGAAATACTAGGCCGAAAGCTTGATCCTAACCCTTTCAGTGCTCTTGTACATTGGATTCGAGATGTGCTTTATTTTCTTAGGCTGGAGAAATTAAGACTGTCTCTCCAAGGAAGGTCCAATGCAATCGTCAAGGTCTGTGGTCCCTTTCTCAAGGACATTAAGAATTATAAATCTTCAGATATTCCAAACTAATAAATTAATTAGTGACTAGAGACAGAAGATTTTTAATGAACGTTTAACTGAAATCACAATCTTCGCCTACACTTATCCAAAGTGCTTTTTTTTGCCTAAACCTAACAAAATCACCTTAACTTAAATTAACAGAAGTGCTTATGTCTAGACTCTGTCTGTGCCCACCAACCACCTCTTTCAACTTTACCATGTTACATAAAAAAACAACAACCTCTAATCTTTATCCAGTAGTGCACAATACGGATATTTTCTCAACTGATACAATAACCGATAATTACCTGCTTCTCATGGTCGATACTGGTTAGATAACCGATAGAGTGTGTGTGTGTGTGTGTGTGTGTGTGTGTGTGTGTGTGTGTGTGTGTGTGTGTGTGTGTGTTTGTGTGTGTTTTCAAGTTTGCGTGTTTGCTTTGATTAACTGACTCTTGAGCCACCCACTTGACCTTGTATCAGAGGAGGAGACAAAGATACAGTACCACATCATCAAGTACTGCACAGCACTGAATAGTTTGCAGTGTTCTGTAATGACTTTAGCACCACATCATACCACTGTGTAATATTATGTCAGATTATTCACGTGACTCAATATGGCATTTATCAGTGCTTCCAGAAGGAAATGAGTTATCAGAACACAGCACAGTTTGTGGTTTCTATTTCTTTTAATTTTTTTCTTTTCTGGTTCTGTATCTGGTTTAATGTAAAGTGTCATATTTTTTTTTCAGTTTTTTGTTTGAGAAGTTCGAGTCATATCAGTTTATTTGAGACCTTAAAACACACAGGGAAAACCAGGTTAACGGTGTGTTCATACCAAAGTGAATTTTTGCAAGTTTACTCACAGGATCATTTGTGTTACTCGCAAGTAACACAAGTGAATATTCGCTTTTAATCTAGCTTACTATGGTGGTATGAGCCCCAAATAGACAGATTTTGCTGTGATTTAATGTCAAACAACAGAAAGGATGCTGAAATAAATACATCATGATGGTGATTTGGAAAATGTCTGAATTCATACTTTGTCGAGTCTGTACGCTAGACGACAAGCAAAGAACTTTTAAAATGCTTGCTTTCTGAATAGAGTTCAGATCAATCAGGGCCATGCTAACTTAGCTCATATTAGTCAGAGCAATGTCCTTTTCTGTCCTGTATTAATAGGAAATAGTATCATAGAGCTCTGGGTGCACACAGACAGTAAGGGTGGTGGGTGTATGGAAGCGAATCGTGACCAAAATTTAAATTTAAATGCATTTGCAGAAATGCTTTTTCATTTTAAGAATGTGGCTGCATTATTTGACTCATAATTAAAATTAATAATCAATCATCCTATTTGCATTTTAATTTTCTTATTCGAGACTGCTCATTCTTTTACTTAATTAAAATGAAAAAGAAAAAGACATTTGAGATTTAATTTTCAAAATATGCCCCAGCAAATAGATAGCAAAATTCAATTTGAAATGTAAAATTTGAAAATTTAAATGCATTTGAAGAAATGCTTTTTCATTTTAAGAATGTGGCTGCATTATCTGACTCATAAATAAAATAAGTAATCAATCATCCTATTTGCATTTGCATTTTCTTCTTAACTGCACATTTTATGCCATCATCAAAAAGAAAACAAAGAGGAGATTGTTATTTCGTTTTTGTGGTCTGCCCCGCAAAATAGTGCCCATAATTCGAAAAGGATTCGGCAATCTGAGCGGCGCAGGAGAGTGGCGTCAGTAGCCGCTCTTCTTCAGCTCCAGTAGAGGGCGGTGTGCACATTTCATATATCGACGCATGGAGTTCAAAAATCTGGAGTTAAACAAAAAAGTGCTAAAGTGTTAGATTTTGGGAGTTTATTCTCTCCATTTAACTACAGCTTGTGTTCAGGGTAACTCTTTGGCGGAGTGATATTTGGGTGTTCATTCACTGGGTGTTGAGGAGCCTGATTCAACACCTGAGTTCACAGCTTTGTCCCGCGCTCCGCTCAGCAGTCTTCACTTGGACTTCACCGTGACTCTTGAGCCAGGTAAAAGTGCAATTTTTCTTCTCAAACTAACGTTATATTAGGCTGTGCATGACTTTAAGACGATGATAGGACGTATAATAACATACATTTGTATGTTTTGTCATAGACTGTGATGGCTGAACTTGCTAGCAGCTAGCTTCTGAAGTTTGCCCCAAACTTGTCGCGACTCGTTAGGCAGGTAAAAGTGCCATTTTACTCCTCAGACTACCGTTCTATTAGGCTTCTATCAGTATAATAACGGCACATTTCTATGTTTTGTCATAAACCTTTGCGAGGCCAAACTTGCTAGCTAGCTAGCTGTCAACTCGCTAGCTAACGTTAGCTGTTGAAGTCAACGTTTGAACTTGTCGGACCGAGCTTAATATAAATCGATGGCTCCGCTCATTTTACTTGTTTGTACTTAGCGCATGGAATTAACATCAGACTCTCATTACTGATATTTCTTTGTGTATTTTAAGTTAACATTAGCCTACACTGTTTCTTCTTCTGTTGATGTATACTGAACACGTTAAGATGTTTTTTTCTTAGTTGAGTCGGAACGGCTACGAGGACCGTAACAGACTCGAGAAGGGGACCAGCCAAATATATATACAGTTCTGCTTAAGACAACAGCCGGACAGCTTGCACTGCGACTCTGTCTGGTGTTGGAGAGGCTGTTTAACGTAAATGGCGGAGTCTTTCTGGATGTCAGTGAACGTGTTAGATACTTGTCAGCGACTTTTTTACAATTTAGAGGCTATCTCTCAGTCATTTTCGTTGTAAAGACATGACTGGGACCACTGAATATTATGCTAAGCATGCTATAGATTGAATAACAGCTACTACAAAGACTCTTTTGTTAGAGTGACAGTCCACATGTTGCTTTTATTACTGGTTAAATGATTATTTTTCCCTCAAGTGGTCAAGATGTTGTTGAAGGTACAACAAGGAAGGACAAAGAAGTATGTGAAACTGGAAGAGGTCAGCTTCTCAGATTTTATAAATGCAGGTAGGTGATGTACGTATGTGTTGTCTGATGTCATTAAAGGGGAAATAATAATTTAATAATGTGTTGAATGTTGTGCTTCAGTGCAGCAGAAGTTTCTCATACCAGAAGATAAAGTGCTAAAAGTCGCAGATGAGCAGGGCATAGAGGTGGATGAGAATGTCTTTCCAGAACTTGCAACAGAAGCAATGTGTTTTGTTATCTCCACTGATGATGGTAAGGGGATTGACAATTTCTGGGTTTGTTTGTTTTTTGCAGAAAAGCTTTTACAGCTTTGTGTTAATGTTGTCTGCCTACCACCTTGTGGTAACCTTGTCCTCCACAAGGAAAACATGTTATTTCCACTGCAGAGTGGGACAGCGACATGGCTTCTCTTCTTGTCTTGCTGCATCTTCTCACTCCACAACCAGCTGGAAGGAAGAGGCCCAAGAAGATCAGTGTCATAGAGGCAACAGATCATCTGGTGAAATTTCAGAAGGTTTGTGAAGACAGTACGATCTAATTCCAAATATTGTGGTTCATGCAACATTTTTTAAACTAAAGGCTTATATGTAGATGCTTGTCTTTGTGTTTCAGTCCTGCCAGAGCCTGGAGGATCACCTCATGACCACTGAAGGAAACCCTCAGCCATATCTTACTTTTGTTGGGATGTACCCTGGGAAAAATTTGAGACTAAAATGTGGTCAAGTAGGATGTTGCTTGCAATTTTCAAGTTATTCTGGATTTAGAAGACACTTGATTAAGATACATGCTTCTAGTGATAACACCTGTGTGCCTCCTGAGACCCCCTCTAGCCATGACAGCCAACAGCACAATAATTCTCAGTGCCTAAATGATGGAACACCCTCTACTTCATCCCAAATTATTGAGGCAGGCCCTTCAGTGTCAACTCACAGCAAAGATATGTGTGTCTGATGTGTGATTCACATTTGTATGTCAGAGGGTTGTATTATTTAATGTATTAACATAACAACTATATGGAATTCACCCTTGTTTTTATGTACATGTTTATGTACTTAAATTACAGGTTTAAAGTCTACCTCATGTTAATACATTCCTGCATTACAGAAAAGTTCTTTGTTATCCTGTCAGACATTTGTGCAATGCTTTTATACTATGTTTGTACTTTCTGCACTTTTCTCTTGCACTACAGAGAGATGTGGTACTGACATGATTTGTGGAATAACTGCCTGTTCCAGCTGTTTAGCTGCTGTTAAAGCAGTTTGTTTTAAATGTGAATATGTCTGGTTGGTTTGCTGTAACATGTTTACAGTTTGTACACACATGGATTTAAAATAAAAATGTGTGGTAATCAAAGTTTTTTGTAGTCATTTTCACCTAAAATATTTTTTGTGTTTTTAAATATTAACTCAGAAAAGTGTTGAATAAAAACATATTTTTAAGTGTTGACTGTTAACACCTTGAAAGAGTTCACATTAAAATGAACTCCAGGTGAGAGTTGTATTTTAGTGTTCAGTTTTAACTCCACAAAAGAATAAAAAAAAATCAACTCCCGGAAAAGAGTTACTTGAACTTTTCCCTGGAGTACATTCGATGGTCTCACATGTACACTCCAATGTAGCCGATTCTGTGGTCTGTCCTGGGACCATGGTCTCTGGCACGGACCAGTTGGTCTCTGTCACAGACCAGTGGTCAACCACTAGGTAGGTGCGCTAAAGACACTGGTCGCGACCAGTGGCACAGCGGTCATGACCAGCTTCTTACTGGCACAAAGGGCTCTAAAATGACTGGTCCTGACCAGCTCCTCTGTGATCTGTTCTGTTGTTTGGACCAGTTGAGTGATCTGTGGAGTGTTTGTTTGTTTGTTTGTTTGTATGTATTCATTTTTAATACAACTTTTCCCGTTTCTCACTGTGTGTGCAGAATAGCCTAAATGTGAGAAGTCATAATCGTTTGTCTATCCAATGTTATTGATCACTATTATTAATAGAAATCATATTAACAATGATTAAATTATTATTATTAGTCGTAGTTGTATGAGTAGTACTATCGATTATGCAGGTCAGTGTGTTCGTGACCTGCAGCACAGTCCTGACCAGCTCCTCGCGGACCAGTGCTCACTACCACTAAGTGCGCTAAAGACACTGGTCTGTCTTGTGGGTAGCACGGTCAGCACGGAGCTGAAGAAGAGCGGCTACTGACGTCACTCTCCTGCGCCGCTCAGATTGCCAAATCGTTTTCGAATTATGGGCACTATTTTGCGGGGCAGACCACGAAAACGAAATAGCAATCTCCTCTTTGTTTTCTTTTTGATGATGGCATAAAATGTGCAGTTAAGAAGAAAATGCAAATAGGATGATTGATTTCTTATTTATGAGTCAGATAATGCAGCCACATTCTTAAAATGAAAAAGCATTTCTTCAAATGCATTTAAATTTTCAAATTTTACATTTCAAATTGAATTTTGCTATCTATTTGCTGGGGCATATTTTGAAAATTAAATCTCAAATGTCTTTTTCTTTTTCATTTTAATTAAGTAAAAGAATGAGCAGTCTCGAAGAAGAAAATTAAAATGCAAATAGGATGATTGATTATTAATTTTATTTATGAGTCAAATAATGCAGCCACATTCTTAAAATGAAAAAGCATTTCTGCAAATGCATTTTAATTAAAATTTTGGTCACGATTCGCTTCCATATTAAAACTGAATGGAAATTGAGTTTTCATTCGTGGATGAGTCTTGTAATGCCAGACTACATAATACTGTCTTGATAGAAATATACATCAGCTGAAGCAGTAATTCAGAGTTTAGTAGTTTTAGTTTACTATTTGAATGTTGCAGCACTTTTTCCTTTTTCACACATTTTCCTATTTATATAATTATATGTTATGAAACTATTCAATTGTTGTTCATTCCATATGTTAATTACTACTGGAGATATTAAGGATTTCACTCAGATAAGATTTTTTCAGATATTTAAGTGTCATCGCAACCCAGTAGTCCAAGGGGCATAACATGTAATTGCAATGCCCCTGCCTCAGTTCTGACTGGGACCTTTGTTGCATGGCACTCCTCGTAGTCTCTTCCCATGTTTCTTTTCTGTCTCCACTGTCAAACTGTTCAATTGTGGCAAGATGTCCAGGTACAGGTCGGATGTTAATACCACGTGGGAACTGAGTGTGTGAGATTTGGGATAGAAACATGCTGTGGTGTCAGCAGTCTACTGATGCTTCTTCTCCTTTGCTCTGTGCAGGGAGTCCATCCCGAACACTCTCCACCATGTCGCTGTCCGTTCGCCCAGTCAGACGCCTCACCTCCAGATCCATCACTAGGAGCCAGAGCTTCACTGGAGTCAACACTTACGACAAGCCCTACAGGTACAGACACACGCATGTGTGTGTGTGTGTGTGTGTGTTTATACATGGTAGAGATGGACCGATTTGGATATAACTTTACTCTCAGACAATACATCTGCTAAAATACAGTACTTTTTATTTTTATTTTTGAGAGGATACTGTAACAAGAATATGAAAAGACAAAATGGGGTCCGTGTTGGACTTAAACTTAAACCTAAACCAAGTCCCTACAGACTAAGCTACTGCCGCCCCAACCTTTTTCTGATATCTCCTGTAAAGAGTATCAATGTATGTTACATAACATTACTGTACAAACACACAATTTTACTTTTACTTGTAGTGTTTACAACCCAGCTAGACTACTAAACATTAATTTCTAACCAACACTGGTTTATGCTTGCCAACATGTGCTGTGATAGGCTCCAGTCAAGACGGGACAGGATACGTTTTTTGATAAACTGGACCACTGACTGACTTTCTAAACTCTTTAAAGAATATAAACGTTTCTGAGAGTGTTAGTATTAGTAGAGGACCTATGCCTTTGTTACCTAAAAATGTGACCAATCATTTTTTATTTAGATTAATTCCTTCTCTCTAAACTGTTTTCTCAGCTGCTTAAGAAGAACCAAATACATGAAATCAAATTATCTGGACCATATTGAATTACATAGCATCATATTCCTCTGCATTGCACACACACTCACATTACCCACATTGACCTTACTAATTTCAACTGTTTGGTAACTGTAACTGTTTTATGTTTTTGTCTTATTGTTTGTTTGTCTTTTCACTTTGATGTCACAAAATATTACCAATGTACCATATATGTCACTAATTAAAAAATAATAATAATTATATATATATATATATATATATATATATATATATATATATTTCTTTGCATTGCATTGCATTGTTTGTTTTTTTTAATCAAGAATTTCACAATACCCCCCAACTTGTACTTGGCCCATCAGTATCACTGTGGTCCAACCACACTGTTTCTCCATTGCATTATTGATTATTTGATCATGTGTAGCTATGAAATATATTTTTTTCAGTGTTGAATAAAACCTATTTGGTTCCTTGTCACAGATCAGCTACAGAACTGATTAGAAGTAGTTTAAACAATGTAAGACCGTACTATAATGATGTTTGATAAAAACAGAATGTGATTGAGCTGACCTGGGGAAGTCAGATGAGGATATTTGAGGATGATGTTGACCTGATGATGCCGATGTTGCAGGAACCTCTCAGTGTTCAGCACGCCTGGTCTCAGCAGGAAGCCTAGCCGGGCCAGCAGAATGTTCACTATGTCCACCAAGTCCAACCCACCACCTAAAGTTCCTCAACCAGAGCGACTGGATCAGGTCTATGAGGCCCTGAAAAAAGGCCTCCAGTGAGTACACTGACAACACACACTCACTCATGCATACAAATAGCAACTTTAAGCTCTAATTTTGAGGTATCATGTCCTTGATGATGCTTACTACTAAGTGAATGTAATTCTGAAGTCCTATTTACTGTGCTCCTACATTATATTGCTATTGCACTATGGTTCAGGAGAAAGAACATTTCATGGGTTGACAATAAATCTACCAGACTTGGGTGACAATAATACAACGATAGCCCTATCATATCCCTGTCTACTTAAAAAACAATTCACAGCCAATTGTTTTCATTATTGGCTCCCATTTGGCAAAGAAACAACTAAACTCGAGTAAACCATGCTGACATGATAGATATTTCTGCCTTTTCTGCCCATCTTATCACACCAACTCAGGGTGCCCACACGTCCTGGAACACATGGAAAAGCTTGAAATTTAAAGAGACTAATTTTCCAGTCTTGAATTTGATTAAAATTACCAAAAATCCTGGAAATAATTAAAATCATAACAGAAGTTATCTCAGGACACTTTTCAGAATAGAGCAGGTCTAGACCGAGCAAGCACTTGGCGGCAAGGAAAAAGCTTCCTTTTAAGAGGCGGAAACCTCTGATAGACCCCGGCTCCAGGTAATATTAGCAATGGGTGTCAAGCAGGACCATGGCAGGAGGCACCACCAAGATCCATGAGAACCTGCGAGACGAGAAAGCACAAGAACTCCGGGGATATGAATGTGTGCAGAAAGAGAGGGAGAGGATGAGAGGAGCTCAGATAGTCTAGACCTATAACAGCATAACTAAGGGATGGTTCAGGACTCACCTGAGCCAGCCCTATCTATAAGCTTTATCAAAGAGGAACGTCTTAAGCCTACTCTTGAATGTGGAGAGGGTGTCTGCCTCCCGAACCACAACTGGAAGCTGGTTCCACAGGAGAGGAGCTTGGTAACTGAAGGCTCTGGCTCCTGTTCTACTTTTAGAGACTATAGGAACCACAAGTAGCCCAGCATTCAGAGAACGCAGTGTTCTAGTGGGGTAAAAGGGTACTATGAGCTCTTTAAGATATGAAGGGGCCTGATCATGAAGAGCTTTGTAGGTGAGGAGGAGGATTTTAAATTCTATTCTGAATTTTACAGGGAGCCAGTGCAGAGAAGCTAATACAGGAGAGATATGATCTCTTTTCCTAGTTCCTGTCAGTACTCGTGCTGCAGCGTTCTGAATTAATTGGAACGTCTTTAAGGACTTGTAGGAGCAACCTGGTAATAAGGAATTGCAGTAATCCAGCCTAGAAGTAACAAATACCTGGATTAGTTTTTCTGCATCTGTCTGTGAGAGGATGTGTCTAATTTTTGTAATATTACATAAATGAAAAAAGGCAGTCCTGGAGGTTTGCTTGATGTGGGAAATGACATGTCCTGATCAAAGATAAGTCCAAGATTCTTGACAGTGGTGCTAGAGGCCAAGGTAATACCATCTAGAGTAACTATATCTTTAGACAGTGAGTCTCGGAGGTGTTTGGGGCCAAGTACAAGAATTTCAGTTTTTTTCTGAGTTTAGCATCAGAAAATTGCAGCTCATCCAGGTTTTTATGTCCTTATGACATGCTCGTAACTTAGACAACTTATTAATTTGATCGGGCTTGATCGATAGATATAACTGGGTATCATCTGCAGAACAGTGAAAGTTAATGGAGTGATTCCTAATTATGTTGCCTAAGGGAAGCATATATAAAGTAAATAGTATTGGTCCAAGTACAGAACCTTGTGGAACTCCATGACTAACTGTAGTATTTATGGAAAATTCATCATTAACATGTACAAACTGAGAACGATCTGATAAATATGACTTAAACCAGTTTAGTGTGGTTCCTTTAATGCCAATTTGATGCTCAAGTCTCTGTAAAAGAATATTATGGTCAATCGTGTCAAATGCGGCACTAAGATCTAATAATACAAGTACAGAGACAAGTCCATTGTTGGAAGCAATTAAAAGGTTGTTATTAACTTTAACCAGAGCTGTCTCTGTGCTGTGATGAACTCTAAATCCTGACTGAAAATCCTCAAATAAGCTGTTACTATGTAGAAAATCACACAACCCCTGGGTCAAGAGTGGGCTTTTTAAGAAGGGGTTTAATCACAGCTACTTTAAAGGACTGTGATACATATCCTGACAATAAAGAAAGAAATCCAGTATCCAGTAAAGAAATGCCAATTAAAGCTGCTTAAAGAATAGCCTAGTTGGGATGGGGTCTAACTGACAGGTTGATGACTTCGATGTAGAAATTACTGAAGTTAGTTGATGAAGATTGATAACAGACAAGCAGTGTAAATATATATCTGATTTTAAATTTGTTAAAGTTCCTGAACTTGGAGAGACAGCGATACCTGTTGAGGGCAGTTGGTGATTAATTTTCTCTCTAATACTAATAATTTTATTATAAAAGAAGCTCATAAAGTCATTGCTACTTAAGGTTATGGGGATATGTGGCTCAATAGAGCTGTGACTCTCTGTCAGCCTGGCTACAGTGCTGAAGAGGAACCTGGGGTTGTTCTTATTTTCTTCTATTAGTGCTGAGTAATAGGCTCCTCTGGCATTACGGAGGGCCTTTCTATAGGTTTTAAGACTATCTTGCCAAATTGAGCGATATCCTAATAGTTTGGAAGGGCACCATTTTCTTTCAGATTTTCGTGCTTTTTGCTTTAATTGGCGGGTTTGGTGGTTGTAGCACAGTGCTAGTCTCCTATATTTTAATATTTTCCTTTTTATAAGGGGGAATAGAATCTAGTGTTGTTTGCAGTGAGCCTGCAGCACTATTAACAATATTATCAATTTTGGAGGGACTAAAGTTATGATAGGACTATTATATTCAGTTATATTCGGACATGGCATTGAATTAAACACTGATGGAATCTTCTCCTTAAATTTAGCTATAGCACTGTCAGATAGACATCTGCTGTAGGACGTTTGGCCTAATGGCTTATAATCTATTAATAGGAATTCAAAAGTTATTAAATAATGGTCAGATAGAAAAGGATTTTGTGGGAAGACTATTAAATGTTCAATATCAATGCCATATGATAGAACCAAGTCAAGAATGTGATTAAAACAATGAGTTGGTTTATTTACACTGACAGAAGCCAATTGAGTCTATTAATGAGAATAATGCATTACTAAGGCTGTCAGTGCCAACATCCACATGAATATTAAAATCACCTACAATAATTACTTTGTCTGATTTAAGGACTAAACTTGATAAAAACTTGGAGAATTCAGACAGAAAATTACGGGCCAGGAGCGCGGTACACTATAACAAACAGAACTGGCTGCAGTGTTTTCCAGGTCGGGTGAGAAAGACTAAGAACAAGGCTTTCAAATGAATTATAATTTAGTTTAGGTTTAGGATCAATTAAAAGGTTTGAATTATATACGGCTGCTACTCCACCTCCTCAGCCAGTGCCTCGAGGAATGTGAGTATTAATATGACTGGGGGGGTGGATTCATTTAGGCTAACATATTCTTCGTGGCACAGCCAGGTCTCAGTAAGACAGAGTAAGTCAATATCATAATCTGATATTAATTCATTAACTAGAACAGCTTTAGAGGACAGAGACCTGATATTTAACAGTCCACATTTCATTCTTTTATTTTGTGCTACTGTGGAGTTTGTTTTAATTTTATCTTAGCTTAGCCAAGACTGGCCCTGTTTTCCAAAATGTGGAACTCAGATCTTAAAGGTAGAAACACAGAACACAGTTAGCTGGGCAGTATCACAGACTTGGCTCCAATCGTTGGGATCGCTGGCAGTGAGAGACAGTTAGGTAGTGCAGAGGCCAAAGTTTAGATCATTTTCTCAAAACTGCATGGTTGGATACTGCAGGGGCAACATTTAACACCATCTGTGTGCATGTGTTTGTGTTCTTTCAGGTCTTACTTGCAGGTTCATCAGATGGACTTGGACAGCCTCAGCAGACAGATGAAAGAATCAAAGAGGAACTCCAGGCTGGTGTGTTCTGACATTTTACTGTTGGCTCATCCCTACAAGTGAAAAGGAAAAAAAAGTTCCTTCCACTCTTTTAGCCCTAACCCCGTTTGCAATTTTCTTCTGTAAAATGAGGAAACAAGCACTTTTATTACTTGACTTTTTAATTGTCACGGAACCCATCAGTTATCGTTTGATGACAATTTAGCTTCTGGGGACAGCGGTCAATGTTTCAGGGCTTCCATGCCAGCAGATATCCGTTTTCCAGATATTCTTTCTCTGCAGTCCAGTAATCAACTTGATACATGAGAATGGTGAGAAAGACACATTTAGACAGATATCTAGATATGAATGCAGATACATTTTAAAAAGCTTATAAAAATCTACATCGGCATCAGATGATAGCCGATTGGTTCCGAGATTGCATTTCAGTCAAGGAGTTCTGCCTCTATTGCACAAACGTGATTGGTACTACTGGTAATATTACTCGGACTACAAACGGAAACCAGAATGCTTGTCGATGTCAAAATGTTGGTCTACATTCTACATTAATTTGCATTCATATGTGTTCATAGAGATTCTCTGCAGGCAGAGGTTTCAAAAGGGTACTTTTCTGAGTTAAAAAAAACACTCAAATTGCTAACGAGCAGAGGAATTGTTCTGGCCAGTAGCGCGTCCTATTTTCTCTTCAGTCAGTGGCGGTGACATCTTGATAACTTTTGGTTTGAAATATAAAAACATTTTGACAAGGTAAAATATCACTTAGCACGAAGAGTGTACATCACACTGTGCTGCCACTTCATTTAGAATGTAAGAGATGACAGTTTGATGTTTTCTGCCTCTTCAGGGTTTCCTGTATGAACTGGATAAGGTGAGTTATTGTCAGTTCTTAGTTCTTAGTTAGTCTGTAATTCCACCTGCTTTTTTAGGTATATGATCATATTATAAGAAGAGTCCTTGTTTTAAATTGCTATTAATTTGAACTCAATACTTCCTCCATGTTAACCTGTTGTCTTGAATTCAGTGTACTGTACATTTTCACAGCACTAATTCCATCAGTATAACAACAGATACACAAATAGTTCAGTCTGTGTTGACTAGTAGGAATGAATTTGACTCTGTGCTCCCTCTGACAGCAAGTGAAGGTAACCGAGAGGTACATAAGACGACTGGAGTTTCACCTCAGCAAGGTAACCACAATCACCACAACAATTCAAACAGTGCCATTCCACATCAATGTAATAGAAAATAAATCCACAGAAATGTGTTGAACTTCATAATCAGTGTTGAACTTCATTACACTGGTTGCTTACATTTAGATGGAGTTTTTGTCTTCATAGTACATTTTAATGCCCCCTGACATTTAATTTGATCCGTTGCAGAGCTGAAACAACTGCTGTAACTCTTCAATAGGCAGCCATATTGTTTTTGCTGCAACAAGCACTACGGTCGGTGTATAGTACTGTACTTAGAGGGGAGCCTTATTAACTGCGTATCCTTCTTACTAATGGTTCTAACTTTACAGTAGAACAATTAATAACTCACAACTAACAATTTGTGACAATTAGGTTCTTGTCCAATAGAACGTTTGAGAAATATCCCTTTGAATACTTGTTTAATATAAATGTTGACACTGAAACATTTTATGTCAGTTTAGAGTGTATATAAATATTTTAAAATCAATAAAATGGAAATGAAATGGAAAATAGTTCTATTTCATGCATTCTGATTCTTTCATATATTGTATCATTTTGTGGCAGCAAGAAAACCACTATATATAGGCCACTATAAACCCATATAAATACCCTGTTAAGGGAATAGAAAACACCATAATATAGCATGAAACTGACAGAATCTTAAAAATCATACCGCCCTGCACTACCTGTACCTCTGCATCTGGATCGGAATCCATACAGTGATAGAGAGCAATGCTGATTGACTGATGAAGGCCTGCTTTTTGGAAAATGTGTAAATCCTGTAGGAGAATATTAGTGAATTGACTACTCACTTTTAAAGTGGCACTAAAACATACTGTAATCACTTTGTTTTGTTTTGCAAACAAACAAATTTATTGCATCACAGATAGGAACCTCATCTCCCTGTTCTTGATTTTAGAATCTATACTATTTCTACACATCCAGTTTAACTTGTGTGTGTGGAGATGCAAAGCGTAAACTGAGCTTTCAGCCATGGTGACAGGATTAGGATTTTGGAATGAATGGAAAGATGCAAGCTCCCCCTTGTCCCCTAAATTTGCTAATTTCTTTTGTGTTTTTATCGCGATAGACTGAATAAAGGAGTCAAGGTGAAATCCTTAAATCCAGTCTTTGGATGTTTTTTTGTATCATTTTTGGACCTATTGTACATTTTTGTCATAAACAAGAACAAAACATGCAAACCACAATGTGGTTGTTATATGGTTAGGTGTCTAACATGGTCAGTGGATGATTAACAGTCAGACATTGTAGAGTTACTGTATTATAGACATGTCTGAGCTGGTCTACAGGATCTGTTCCAGATAGCAGACCAACACTCAGTCAGCACTCAGTCAGTGTTACCTTGCTATCTGGGATGGTCAATATAGGATTTTTTAAATTGATCTGTGTGAGCTGTATTAACCTAATCCATTTCTGATCCTTTGTTTTCTATAACCCATTGCGTTCTGGGTTTGCAGCTGTTAATAAAACTGAAGACTTGTGTGATACATTTATGAGAATCTATTCTCAGAAATTCGAATATAATATTCAAAGTTACCTTATAATGAGACGTTTTGTTATCTACAGAGGGAGCAGATCCTCTTCTATGGAGACTGCCATATTTCTATAGTAGCCCTAAACACTGGCTGTAGTTAGGGCTTTCAGCATTTCATACATTCTACACACTGGACCATGAGGCAGTCCCATGCTGTTAAAACAAATTGTCCCCTAGGATTAAAACATCTGTTAGTAAGACAATGAAGCATTTTAGTCAGGAAAAGACTGGATGTACTAGGCATTCAGCATACAGTTACAGGTGTTATTGTACTGGGCCACATAGTTGATATCTTTAACTTGTATGTGCTGCCTAAAACATTTCTATTTGACTGAATGGTTTTGTGTTTGTGTACACCCACACAGTGTATATGTATGTCATCATTCATTTTTTTGGCAACAATAAGTATCAGTTATAGTCACCTGCTGATACAGCAATGACTCAATAGCAGTGACTTAATCACAGTCTGTTTGGTCGGTTGAGTCAGGCCACTGACACAAATAAGGAGTATACAGTATCAGGAGTCTTTTTTTATTATTATGAATCAAATCACATTCACAAGCAGCCTATTGTTTTGAATTCCTGTGTGTGTAAGTGTTGAGGAGCAACCAGGGACAAGCAGCATTATAAAGGCATGGGCAAATGATAAAATGGTTCTAATAGTGTACTTCATACACAGTTTTAAAGGTCCAGTGTTTAACATTTAGGAGGATCTATTGGCAGAAATGGAATATAACATTCATAATAATGTTTTCATTGGTGTATAATCACCTGAATATAAGAATCATTGTGTTTTGGTTACCTTAGAATGAGCCGTTTATATATACAAAGAGAACGAGTCGCCTTCCATGGAGTCTACCATGTTGAACCACCATGTTTCTACAGTAGCCCAGAATGGACAAACCAAACACTGGGAGTTTTTCCTGTGTTTTGTAGCCACTGTAACTCACCAAAACCACCTTTGTTAGTCTTTCCAACAATCATCAACTCTGATTTGGTGGAAATAAATCCGTAATGCACAAACAGCAGTTTCAGTCGCTCTACTCAGCTGCACACGGAGCAGACCGGATATGGAAACAAACCATCTACTTAAAAGGTTTGATGTCGAGCCACTGTGTAACTTTTACCTCTTTTTCCAGATTGAGGAGCTATATGAAGCCTACTGCCTACAGAGAAGACTCAGGGACGGGGCAAACAAGATGGTGAAGGCTTACACTGCCTCTCCAGGCAGCAAGGAGGCCAGGGAGAGTTTAGCAGAAGCCAATAAAGGATACAAAGAGTACACAGAGGTGAGATGAAGAGGACAGGGGGTGACAGGAGTGATAAGGGGATTAAGATAGAATGAGAGAAAGTGGTAAAAGTTTAGATGTCTAGTGAACGTTGCTGAATAATAGGACTACAATAAATAGGATTACATTAAAGAGTAATTGTAATTCAACTGAAAAACAAATGCAATTTGTAGTTTTTCTCCAACTCATTCAGTATTTAGTGTGTTTGCTGACCAGTGTCCATTCAGTGTTCAGAGAGTCCATACATGCAGTGCAACCTGTCATATGCTTTGGCTCTCATCTGGCTTTTTTGTAAGAGGTTTAGCACTCTACCTGCTCTCCCAACATAATTTCACTGTTCTTTCTGTTGAACATTTCATGTTTGTTTCTCTGTTATTTGCTCTTTTTGTCTTTTATTGTGAAGGTGCTTTATAAATAAACTTCCTTCCTTACTGCTCTCTGTAGAACATGTGTGTGTTGGAGAGTGAGTTGGAGAACCAGCTGGGTGAGTTCCACATTAAGATGAAAGGTAAGAACCAAACACTGATGGCGAGGTCACCCTCTGTTTTCACTCTTTCCTCCTTTCTCTAAGCCTCCATTTTTTTCTTTTCTCCTTTTTGCATTCTCTTGACTTTATTTTTTGCCTTTTATTAAAAATCACATACTGAACATGAAGAAAACATTGTGACCACGAGACTTGCATAATTCAAAGATTTTTTGGAATAAAACATATTTTTTATGAATTCTTTCCATGTCTTCAAAGATGCTAACATTTGGATTGCAGCTACTGGGTAAATGTAAAAAAACACGAATTTCCTTCCAATATTCAACAGGTTATTTGGCCTGCTCTGGAGGAGAAAAAAAGTAGAGGCTACAGCTAAAAAATGCTCAAAAATGTCACTGTTTGATACATTTTAATTAGATGCAGTCTTGAGCAGTTATTCTATGATCACTGAAAATAGCTGTCAGACTCTGCAGATGTTTCTAGTCCAGCACTAATCATTATCTACAATGTCTTAAATAAATAATCATACATAAATCTCCTTAGAAATCATAGGGAAAAAATGTAAAAGTCACTTCAGAACTTTAGAGAATCCTCATGTTTTTAAGTTCTCTTTAATATCAAAGTAATCCAATGATAAAGGTCTGTACACCCATGGGTGCATTGCAAACAAGAGCTGCTGATAGCTAATTCAGCAAACATGAAATGTCATTTTCAAAATGTAAACAATTATTGCCTAAGAAATTGGGTTGGTGTTCGTATGTTTCCATCTATCAGATTAACAAAAAGATTTCTGACTCCATTTTCACACAAAAGTCAAAATTAGCTGATATTTTAAAAAAGAAGGAGGGCCAGCAGCTTCTTCTCTCTTTAGAAAAGTAGGTAACAGTGGCTGTAATCATTACTGCCGTACTACCCTCAAACGCTCCAGACAGATTAAAATCACCGACCAAGGCAGGTAACATTACCCCACCTCCCCTAGAGAAATAAACCCAGTCCTTATGAGAAGCTGACAGGCTACATCTGTTTCTATTTGTCTTTCAGGTCTGGCTGGATTTGCCAGGTTGTGTGCTGGTGACCAGTATGAGGTTAGTCCATTAGTATCTCTGTCTCAGATAATCAGATACAGAATTAGGTGAGAGTCACTTTTCTTGTTCTCTTTCTTGTCAACTCCGCAATCAGATCTGTGTGATTCATGCTATATCCTTTTCATTGCAGTCTGCACAGTCTGTCCTCAGACACTAATGCACACAGATACTTGATTCTTTCAACCTTGAATCATCAGGATAGTCAGAAGAATGTTTGTCAGATGCTTTTTAGGAAACAGAACGTTTAAAGTGCTGTGGTTATTGTTCCTTTTGGAATTATACGTCAGTTAGTGTTTTACCACAAAATTAGTTCTGGTTCTTATACCGATTCTATACAAAATTCTTGGAAACTCTGTGCTATCTAGCAAACCAGCCCCCATTTCCACCAGTTTTGAGTGGAACCTTTGTAGTCAAGGATGTGATATCAACAGAGGGTGCTGCACAGTGCACAACGACCTGTAGAATATGAATAAGACAGCTGGGAACCAACTACTTGCGTTCCAAACTAATGTATTTTTGCAGAAACTTCTCTGAATGGCTCAAAACTAGGTGCCCGAACCAGAACAGAGCTGGTTTCCTGTTGGTGGAAAAGGCCTAAGAGTATTGTCAGCTCTGGGTTCCTTTATGTCCTGAGATACATGCTCAGTGTGTCACTCAGTCCACTGCAGTGCCTTTGCAAATCAATTATCCAATTTATATAGTTTAGTCAGATCAAGAAGCGTCAATGAGCTGTCAATTTCTAATGCTACAGTAAACCTACATATTCCTCCGTATTCATCAGGGTCAGATATTTCACTAGTGTGTTTGAGCATCTCAAGCCAACTTGCTTGTTTGGTTTTAAGTTTTTCTTTAAATGTCTTGCTCAGTAGAAAGGAGTTCCAAAATGGTTCTGTAGTCACTGATGGTAATTCTAATTTATTTCAATTTTCAATTCTTGTTGTTCAGAATCAGTCAATGAAAATGTTCTTGTGTTTTTTAAGGTGACTGATCTAAATGTTTGGTTTTTATATAGCCAGATCATCAGTGTTACTTTTGTTGAGATTTTTCCAGTTTTCCAATTATTGTGTATTGACTCAGTTATTGTCAGTTGTTTTTGTGTGTAATGTGCCTTTTTTATGAGTGTGTGTATGTATGTACAGTATGAGAGTCTGTCTTTCTGTTATGTAACATACATTATGTACATTCATAGTGAAAGCTCTGTGAAGAATAGAAAAGAAAACAATTAAACATTTAAAAATACAAAAATCTCATGAAAAGAAAGAAAGAGAAAAACTGTTGAACACAAAGTATACACACACAGGTCTACTGACATGCAGAACTGAGACTGACGCAGTGTGTGCGTGTGTGTGTGTAGATCTTCATGAAGTATGGCCGGCAGCGGTGGAAGCTGCGAGGCAGAATAGAGATCAATGGCAAACAGGTGTGGGACAGTGAAGAGATGGTGTTTCTGCCGCTCATCAGTGAGTTCCTCTCTGTGAAGGTCAGTCTCTCATAATGACTTCATTTTCATTTCTGCTTAGTTGTGATTGGTCAGTGACGCACTGTGGTCTGGATCACGCCTGCTAATGAAATGGCCTGTGCATACTTCATGTGGAACAGTGATGTTATTACTTGTATATGATTGACAGGAACGGACCTGTTGAAGGCAGCCTGATCAGACTATGTTTCTGTGGTTTCCTAGGTGACAGAGCTGAAGAGCTTAGCCAATCACGTGGTTGTAGGAAGTGTTTCCTGCGAGACTAAGGACCTGTTTGCTGCACTACCCCAGACGGTTGCCGTGGATATCAATGACCTTGGGACTATTAAACTAAGCCTGGAAGTCACCTGGAAGTAAGTTTTGCCAACCATGCTGTCAGTGAGCGTTATGAGTACTGTTTGTGAACCTGATCAGTAAAGTGTCATTCATTAACAGAACATTGATTAAATATTATATTAATTTATTTACTTTGTTTTCCCTTTCCTTCTTTCCTTGTCCCCCCTCTGTCAGTCCATTTGATAAAGATGACCAGGGGTCATTGGCAAGCACTGTCAACAAAGCTCCATCCGTCAGTAAGAGATTCTCGACAATCTTCAACCAGAGTCCACCTGATACGCCGTCTTTACGTGAACAAGCCTTCTATGTAAGTTCTTCCATGTTCTGGTTACCCCTGTTCTCTCTAGGGTAACGTTTGACTGATGCTTTTCAAAAGAGTGAAATGTAATTGATTTGAAAACACCAGGAAGAGCAAAATATTCTGTGACACGGTATACTCATGGAGAATTGGACAGAGTTTAGAAGCGCAGGTGTAGAGGGAGCATTTAAGTCTAGTTAAGTCTCAAGTCAAGACAAGGCAAGTCTCCTGAGTCCAGTCCCAAGCCAAGACTGACAAGTCCCAAGACCTAAACTTTGAGTTTCCAGTCCGAAACAAGTCATGATGCAATCTTGTAAATGTAATGACAAATGTAATGTCATTTTAACAGAATAAAATAAAATAATCTTTTCATTCTAACTGCCGCTCGGTAACGTGATGTGAACTCTTCATGGTTCGCTCCTGCAACCGGATTGGATGCCGTCGGAGTAGTTCAAAGAAAGTTGATCTGGGGATGAATAGTGTTCAGTTGCTTCAGGGAAATTTAGGGAAATTAATTGATTTGTGCCACAATTTTTAAATAACAGGCTTAGAAAGGTATCAAGTATTTACAAGTCAAACGTATGTAGCTATTATTGTAGCAAAACTATTGTTATACTACTGTACTACTATATACTAAACTATAGTTGTGTAACTGTTTTTCAATCTGTGTGTGTGTAATCAGATCTGTGAATGTGTAAAATAATCTGTAAATATGTACTGAGATTTGCAAGTGTAAGGGTATTTGTACACGTGTGGACAAATCTGTGCAGACTTATACTTCTGTCTAAGTATTTGCTCAAAGAGCTGGAAATGCAGACAAATCATCAGTTACAACTCAGACGGGACTCTCAATTGGCTGTCTTTTTACACGTGACTTTTGCTACACTTCTACTGTGGCAGATCTGTAAATACGTGTGGAGATCTGTGTGTGTGAGGAGATCTGTATGTGTGTGTGAGGAGATCTGTGTGTGTGTGAATAGATCTATGTGTGTGTGTGTGTGTGTGTGTGTGTGTGTGTGTGATGTGTGTGTGTGGGAGATGGGGTCTGTGTGTGTGTGTGTGTGTGTGTGTGTGTGTGTGTGTGTGTGTGTGTGTGTGTGTGTGTGTGTGTGTGTTTGATGAGATCTGTGTGTGTGTGAGGAGATCTGTGTGTGTGTGTGTGAGGAGATCTGTGTGTGTGTGTGTGTGTGTGTGTGTGTGTGTGTGTGTGTGTGTGTGTGTGTGTGTGTGTGTGTGTGTGTGTTTGATGAGATCTGTGTGTGTGTGAGATGAGATCTGTGTGTGTGTGTGTGTGTGTGTGTGTGTGTGTTGTTGTGTGAGGGATCTGTGTGTGTGTGAGGAGATCTGTATGTGTGTGTGTGTGACCACCAGACGGGGGTGTTTAGGTGTGTGTGTGTTTGACGACAACTGAGTCAAGAATAAGGTGTGGAAAATGCTAGCTGTGTTTGTGTGTGTGTGTGTGTGTGTGTGTGTGTGTGACAGAGGATTTGCCTTCTGCCTGAGTAGCTGTATAGTCTACTGTGATTAGTTTAGTGTTTGTCGGACCACAAATGAGTCTAGAATAAGGTTGGAAAATGCTAGCTGAGAGGAGCCTTCTCTGCTCGCTCAGTTACGACTGTAGCTGGGCACTGGAGCTAGCTGAGCTCAGTGTAAATTCAACCGACCCAGGACTGATGGAGACCAGTCTGACGACAGGGAAGCAGAGTTGGTTCTCTGGCCGGGTTTGGCTCCTGGCACCCCGGAGCTGAAACTACCGTACGTTACTTATGACCTCAGGGCTTTCGTCAGACAGAAGTGGGTGTGGCTACCGAGGCACAGTAGCAAAAGTCACGTGTAAAAAGACTGAGTCCCGCCTGAGTTGTAACCGATGATTTATCTACATTTCCAGCTATTTGAGCAAATACAAATACTACAGATTTGTCCACACATTTACAGATTTGTCCACACGTGTACAAATATCCTTACACTTGCAAATCTGAATACAGATTTATAGATTTTTTACACATTTACAATCTGATTACGCACACACAAATTCTAAACACACATTTGCAGATTCCTGTACACATTCACAAATCTCAGTATATATTTACAGATTATTTTACACATTCACAGATCTGATTACGCCCACACAGACTGAGATACAGTTACGCAACTTTTCACACACATTTGTAAATAGTTTTGCTACAATAATAGCTCCATTAAAAGACTCAAGTCCAAGTGAATTCACAAGTCATTGGTCAAGTCGAGTCTACACTCATCAGATTTCTGACTCGAGTCCAAGTGGTGTGATTCGAGTCCACACCTCTGCTAGCCAACAGCGACTGGTCCCTAACTGCTGCGTTGCCTTTTTCTCCACCTGCTGCCACTCTGACGTTCAGTCTCTGCCTCGGACTCTGACCAAGCGGCAGCACTGGCCGTTGTTGGACATCTTCAGAGACACACTTAGCCACAGCTGCTCCTGTAGTGACAACTCGCCAACAAGACAGCCCACTGCAGTAAGTCATGATGGAGTAAAACCCCGGAGAATGTGGGAACACAGACCCCACTGTGGTACTGACTAGTGACAGTAATGGTAGTGTAGAACATTAGGAACCTAGAACAGTAGTCTCAGTAGTCAGTAGTCTCTGTTTGTGCACTGATTATCGGCTCGCATCTGAGGGCAGGAACTATAAATCTCCTGCAAACATATGACTGTACTAGCCTGTAGTGCTAGGTATGCATACTGTTCCTTTCTTGGGTTTATAACCTACATTTGTTCAATAAAGAAACAAAAAACAGATACACTATATACTAGGCTCATGTAAAATGAAAAGGGGTGGGACTTAAGTAGGGGCAGTTGCGCTTTATTAAAACCTGCTTTTTGTGAAACTTAAAATTGATATACATTTTGGAGTCCACTTTGTTTGCATGAATGATCACTGTTGACATATCAGTTTCCAGATGGTTGTTCTTCTGCCATATGCTCAGTACTCTACTAATGTGCTCACTGAAGCAGAATAGTAGAGAACAAAGCAGAGTTGAACACTGCTTGTTCTATCAACTGAGGATAATTAAGGGCTGTGTATTTGAGCTTGCCAGATTGTTTCATCTGAAGAACCCCGACTCTGTCGCTGTGGTCCAGTTGAACCCAATCAACAGATTTCCATTAAAGATGGTTGTTGACAGCTTGTGACATGTGACTGCTCAACAAAGAGGACTAATCCAGAGACACACAGTGAAAATGATCAAGAAGGGCAAAGTGTGCGAACAGTGTGTGAAGCAGCCAGCTGGCCTGTTATGTGAATCACTAATCAGAATCAGAATCAGAATGAGATTTAAAGTAAGTTTTCACATACAAGGAATTTGCCTAGCTACATAACTCTGTTGGCCTCTATTAGCCTGCTGGCTGTCAGTCTGTTGGAAGTGGAGGTGACCCCTTTCAGTTTTCTCATCTTGTCAAATATAATCCACGATATTTAATAATGGAAAACATAATGGAATAGGTAAACCATCTCTCCTATACAGTCCATACCAGAACCATCTGTGCTGGTGAGGCTCTATGCAAGGCTGGATTATTAACCAGTGAAAGTGGGTAACTACCCCTGGACCCCTGGGGACCTGGCTTGCTGTGTGTTAACTGGTTTGTGACAAAGGAACCGAAAGTTTTGTTTTGATTTCCCAAGCAACGTTATATGGTACAACAGTGTTCTGCAATACAGGTTTTTTTTAACTCTCGACACTCAGAATGTTTCCATCAAGTTTTAGCAAACAAAAACTGAGGGAAAGTCTTGTGAGTCTACTAAATAACATGTATCACATTTGTTTAATTTGTACACAAACAGAATTCATGCGTTTAAGGGGAGCTCTATGCTAGAACTGTTTGATTGTTACAGTGATGATACCGGTTTTGATACCATTGTGCTTACCAGCCATATCTGGAACCTGTGCTACAGACTGAGACACTGAGCGGATGGATGAACAGAAGTTGGTTCCAGTCCAGCCCCCTCAACACTAACTAGTCCCCTCGAACAAACTTCTACCATCTGGAAGACACTATTGTGATAATTGTATTGGGCATCAGATTGTGTCCACCTCTACTTAATCAAACATATGCGTATTAGTCCATATCCATCTCCTTTTTACCAGCCCAGCTATTTAAACGGTGCTTATTCTCTTTCAGAACATGCTCCGCCGCCATGAAGAGTTGGAAAATGGAACAGCGTGGTCTAATTCATCTGAATCCTCTGATGACTCCTCCAGCCCTCAGCTGTCGGTAGGAGGGCTACGCAACTCCACACATCAGAAGGTAACACACAGCAGACACTATATGTTATCTATGATCTGCAGTCTTGTGCTGTTAGGATTACAACATTATGGTTCTATCCAGTCCTCTTCTCTGTTTATCATTGTATCAGTATCTTTGTTAAGGAGTGGTTTATGAGCTAGATCGACAGAGGTAGGGACACTGGAAATATAACTATTTTTAGAATGAGTCAGTGGGTTTTTTGAATGTGTTTTTGGTTAGATACCTGAAATAAGGTCTGTGGTTAACACAAACTTAAAAGATTTGTACGTTTTGTTCTCACCTGTGAATTGTACGTAAAAGGGCAGTTGCTAACAAGTAGAATGAGACTACAGAGGTTGTCTGTGATTTTAAACGTCAGCACCCCAAAAACTGGGATAATACTAGAAAAATAGGATTTTTGCCAAAGATTTCACACAACTCATCTGGCACGGAATAAAGAGTAAGAATGAAAATTGGTCAGTTGCAGAGACTGAAAAAACAAAGTGGTCCCAGAGACTCACACAGACAAATGAACTATGTGTACATTTATGAGTGGGTGAATACAGACACATGGTGTGACATTGAAGTAATCACGGTGAAGTAATACAGTCATGTGTAATAGATAGTCATTACCACATTCTCATTTTATCATCACTTAATAAGACAACATTCTGTCCATACCTTATCATGTGCATGATGTTACATTTTATTATTCTACAGATTACATTAGAAGACACTGTACAGACATACATATATAGAATGTGAATTAATTATAGAGAACTCCCTATGATGTGTTTCCTATTCATATGCACGTATCACTCCCATACTGAAGTCTCTCCACTTGTTGCCCGTAAACTATAGAATTGATTTTATGGTGCTTGTCCTCTTTTCGGCCTCTCTCCACATTGCACCAGTGACCTCCTTTTATGTTCCAAACAGATCACTGTGTTCTGCTGACTCTCTCACATTACCTGTTCCTCAGTCCAGGACTAAAGCCTACTGTGATGCTGTGTTTAGTTCATAGTTCTTCATAGTTCATTCGCCCCAAACTCTGGACCAATCTCCACATAGAGCTGAGAATATACACCTCACTTACAACTTGTAAAACTTAAGCTTAAAACTCATCTTTTTCAAAATGTCACTGATTTTCAATCATTTTTTTTTAAATACTCAACACTACTGATGCATTTTCATCCATACACTTTACCTAGATTTAACACCTTACCTAGAAGCAACAGGTAGTATGATCAGGTCTACTATATTATTATATATGATTTATGATCTCTTATTATACATTATATCTGCACTGCTAACCTTTGCTCTGTGATGTAAAACCATGATAAAAAGTTTATAAACTAGAAAGGCACTCAAGAGAGCACAGACCTCCACCAAGGCCAATTCCAGTCTTCTATGCAAATCAGCACACTATTCACCTAAATTACGTCAAGGTGGAAAAATCCCATCCCTGATTGCTTATTTCTTACATACCTGCTGCATGTGTTTCTACAGTGGTGTTTCAGTTGGCTGTTATTATGTTTTATTGCGTGTTTGGTCACAGTGCATCATTCACTTTTGCCATACAGGAAAATGAACAATAATTTGTGTATCTTTCCCGTGCTTAGGATCCACAATCTAGTGGGTTCTTCTATGGCCCATGCTATACCCTCCCACCAAGGTTCATTCGTATGGAAATAGTTTTTTTTTTTTCTGCTGACCGACAAACAAACAAATGGCACCAAAAACATAACCTCCTTGGCAGAGGTAATAAGGTCCTATAGACTCTGTTCTGTCAAAAGTGTTGATGCAGCAGTCTTATTGATGTGGTTGACTTGTTTAGCCAACCAGTCCAACAGAAACAGCTCTACTGTGCCTTCCTTTTCCATTACCTTCCTTATTTCCATTACAATTAGGTTTGCAGTTTGCATGACTACATGCAGGCTCCTCTAATGGTGATTTGAATAATTGATGTTTAGGGGCAGCCCTAAATATTACATTTGGCAAAACTGACCTATTTTCTGCATGCCAGTATCAAGCAAACAATGCCTTTCATTGACTGTGACCGAATGTTTTTCATTGTAGTGGTGTTTGGCAAAAATTAGCCTAAACGTGAATTACTATGTTAGTGTGCTGGGTTAGTGTCACCTTGTGATTCAGTGTGTCCATGTCTCTCTTGCCGTCTAGGCGGTGGTGGTGACACCAGAGATCCAGCCAGCTGTGACAGGAAGTTCCTCCTCACAGACTGACATCTCATTTTGCCTCAGAGACTCCTCCACCTCAACTCCAAACTCTACCCACAAAGTCAGCACCGTCAGTGAGGTTCCCAACACATCCAAACACCAAGCAGAGAGCAACAGGTAGTGTTTGATTTCACTTTGATTTTTGGCATTCTCATACATTTTTCTAAATCATATTTGTTGACTGATTACTTGTTACATTTGGGCATAATTATGAATCCCACTGCCAAGACACACCCTGCATAGCTTTGAAGCACTAGGATTGGGCAGATCATGCTCATTTATACGTAGTATATCAACAACAAAACTACTTGTTTAGATTTAAAAGTTCTTGGTAAGGGTTAGGTAAATATCGTGGTTCTGGTCAAAATAGACCCTTTCACAACATTAACCACATACAACACAGCCTTTCTGTCAGAAAACTTCTCCCATTGACACAAGTATGGGCGCTACCTTTGCCCATAAACACAGGGCTGAGTTTGCAAGCTTGCTATATGGTGTGCTCCGTCAACAATTACATTAACTCATATATGAAATGATTTACAGAGAAGAGGCGAAGGGGGCAGTTACCGTGATGACAAAACCCAACAGTGAGGAAGAGGACGCAGGGAGACAGTCATCCATAGCAACAGTGGATGAGGTGGTGACCAATAGCCACTCCTCACGTAACTACTTGCGCTCTCTGAGCCACATTAGTGAAAGCAGTGCTGATGGCACTCTGTTGACGGACAGGTCAGCCGGTGAATCAGGGGAGGTCACCTCTTTGGTCTCTGGGGTCTCTATCAATGACATTGAAATGGAGCTGCCCAGCAGAACTCCTGAGCCGCCCAGCCCTGCTGACCTGTCACCAAAGAGGCTCGGTGTCATCGAAGACACAACCGCTGATGATCTCACAGATCGACATCAAAACGGGAAGAAGCAGGATACATCCAGCGCCGTCCTCACATCCTTCTCTCCCAGGACTGCGGGAGAGGACCCTAGCTCTCTGTCAGAAACAAACACACCCCCACACATTCCTCCAGAGAACGGGGATGAGACCTATGTGGCCCGGCGGGTGTCAGTGGAGGAGGAGATGACGGATTGTCTGTCCGGAGACGGTGATGGGCCAGTGGACAGTGGGCTGGAAGACGCCCTGGGAGCTGTAGTTTCCTCTCTAGATGATTACAGGGGACAGTTCCCTGAGTTACAACTGCTGGAACAAGAGCTGAGGCTGCTGCAGGTTACACTGAAGGTGAGGATGGAACGTGTGTGAGAAAGGAGAAAAGTTGGTTTCCGCAGTCGGCAGAGTAACCACAAACTGTACTCAAGTAAAAGTACTGTTACTTTGTTAAAACAAAGTATCCTTGTAGAAGTAAAAGGGGTAATCAAAACGGGGCTCAGGAGGTAGAGCGGGTTGTCCACCAATCAGAAGGTTGGCGGTTCGATCCCCAGCTCCTCAAGTATCCTTGAGCAAGATACTGAATCCCAAATTGCTCCCAATGCTGTGCCATCAGTTTGTGAATGTGTGTGAAAGGGTGAATGTGGCATGTAGTGTAAAGCGCTTTGAGTGGTCAGAAGACTAGAAAGGCACAGTGTAAGTGCAGTCCATTTACCATGCGTAAAATACAGGCACACCAATTCCTTTTTCCCAATTCATTTATTTGATGTGGACATTCTTTGCTTGTTGTCTCCCATATGCCGAATCACATTGACCTTCTCTATTATTTTAAAAAGTAAATATAAGTGTCAACATCTTACAATGTCCTTAAATTCCAGTATAAATTCCCAAAGTCCCAGTTCCCATCACAGACAGCCACAGATCAGTTGTGAGCCCCCCATATGCAGGCCTCTCCAATCACATGAAGACAATGAGATTACAGAGTGGCCAAATCAGTCTCTAGTCTTAGACACCAGATTTGACAATGTATACTCTAGTCAAGCTGTTTCATTGAAATTTGGCATGCTACGGGCACGACGAAAATGTTAACTTCTCATCATCAAAGTTAGTAGTAGTTTAGTAGCAGGCTAGAAAGATCAATGAAATGGCACAAGTAGACAGTATTCATTATTTGATATAATATCCCAACCTCTGTCGAAGGCTAAGTTCAAGGTGATATGTTGGTTATGAAGTTGCACTTATATCCTGATTAATATTAGTATCAGAAAAACAAACAGCAGTACAGACATTCCAAAGATATGTTTGAGTTCATTTAGAAACAGTGTCTCAAAGTTTTTCCACCAAAACGAATTAATAGTAAAAGATATTTTTCAAAAAATGTGTCTTTAATTTCAATATTGGTATCAGCCTCAACATGTGACTGTTATATTAATTACATTCTACACTGCATCATTTCATTTCAGTTATTTTCTTTGTGTGCTGCCTTAAATACGCACATGGCTTCACATATAGATACATACAGAGTATAGCACCTTTCTAGTCTTCCAACCACTCAAAGCGCTTTTACACTACATGGCACATTCACCCTTTCACACACATTCACTCAGTGATGGCAAAGTCCATCAAACAGAAACTAACATTCATACACATTCACACACCGGGGTTCGGGGTTCGGGGTTCAGTATCTTGCTCAAGGAACCAACAACCTTCCGATTAGTGGACAACCCGCTCTGCCTCTGAGCCACAGCCGCCCCGATATATATATACATGTGCATGTTATTTTTCTGCCTGTCAGTGACAACATGCAGCTGTTGTGTGCTGTGTTATCAGTGATTGATATTAAGGTGGAACCAGGTTTGTGTAGTCTGACTTTGACTGTGTGCTTTCCTGTTGCGTGACAATCTGAGCATGCTCAGTATGTGTGTACACAGACGTGCATTTATGTATCTGTGCTCTTTAGACATACTGTTGGCCTACAGTCTGACTGTAGATCTGTGTGTGCGCGTATGTGTGTGCGTGTGTGTGCGTGTGTGCGTGCGTGCGTGCGTGCGTGCGTGCGTGCGTGTGTGTGTGTGTGTGTGTGTGTGTGCGTACGTGTGTGTGCGTGCGTGCGTGCGTGTGTGTGTGTGTGTGTGTGTGTGTGTGTAGGGTGGTAAGCACAGCCGTTCACCCAGCATGGTGAGCCTCACAGTGGAAACAGCTCTGGGCAGCTTCGACTTCCTCAACACGTCTGACTGGGAGGAGGAAGAGGAGGAGAAAGGCGATAAGAGAAATAGAAATGGCAGGTCAGTGCTGACAAATGAACTGTTAGTGAACACAATGAAACCCAACCAAATGAACTGTCAGAATATAATACATACATAAGATTAACTCAGGATGTGTTCCATACTCTGTTATTGCAAAACTTTATTTATTCAGAGTCAGCAGGGATACACTAACAGCTAACTGTTGTTTTTGAAGATGTCATTGTTATTGTAGTATGTTGACGCCATCTAGCGGAGCTGTGTTGTACTGTCACTGTAGCACAGACACATTGTTCTGTGAGAGCATGTGAGCAGGCTGGAAAACCCTCTAATGTGTTCAGAACTTTCTTGAAACAACACAACAACATTGAAATATGACTTCATGAGGATTTATTTTTCTTGGGTCAGTGTCACAAACTGCCATCTCTTGTTGATCACAGTATCATCTTACAGCTAGTATAAGCAGGGTTTAGTGGTGGAGCCCAGTGTGAAATTAATTTAGGATCATTATGTGTTAATTTAGGATCATTATGTTACTATATCGTGACAATAGTACCTGAGACAGATTATCTCTCTCGTGTGGTACTGTCAGGATATAGTGAAAGTTTCAGCAAATATGACACGAAGATATTTTTTAAGTTCGCTGAGATCAGTTTTTCTAGCTGCTAAACTGATGAGAATGTCACATATAGTTGATTTATTGGACAAGTTTTTTACCTGATGGTGGTGCTTAAGGAAATGTTAATGGATCACCAAAGTGGTTACAGATCATCCTGAGGGGAACATGAATGTCTGAGTCACAATTCATGGCAATGCATCCAGTAGTTGAGATATTTCACTCACCACCACTGTCTTATGATGCCCCATGCATCTGTACTTGTAATGCTGAGAGCCTAACCTCCAACTGAGGGACACAAAAGAACTAAAAAAGTGAATTGAACCAACAAGCTCAGTCCAGTTGACCCCTCACACTAACAGTGTTAATGGAAGACTAGAAATTCTTCTTGCATGTGTTGTAGGTCTTTGCAGGACAGAGGCTGGGACAGCCCCTTCTCCCCCACCTGCCCCCTCACCACAGGCTGCACCACGCTAGACTGCGCCCTGGTGGTCCACTTGAAGAACTGCAGCACACAGCTGCTGGTAGGAGACTTTCCCATATAGAGGTGTCTAGCTGCTATAGTGTAGATGCTTATGTGACATTGGCACCTCGAATTCAATCTGTCAAATTTCCATCTGAGTGGAGATGCTTGCTACGCTGATCTATCTTGGACATAAGCAGCATCAAAGAGATAAATGAAAAAAAAGTAATTTTATTTATCTACACCAGTAGTTCTCAACCTTTTTGTTGTCAAGGACTTCCAAATCCCAAAGTATTGAAGTATTTTTTATTGTAGCAGTAGATAGTAACTGTGATTATCTGGCATGATCGTTTGTAGCATTACACTGTAAAACTTGATGAGTTTAACTAAGGAGCTAATTGCCTTAAACTGTTTGCTTATTACAGTTGTTCTCCATTGGTTTGGTTCATTTCTTGAAACAGAAATTACATTCTCAAAACAACATAGACAAACCTCCAAACCACTTGGCAATTGTTCACAACAGAATTGTATTTCTCATTGATTTCATGACATTGCAAACGTCTTAGTACATCTTAGTAAATGACTAAGTACAGTTTTTACACATTTAGCACAGTTAGGCTACATTCAGCACAATTTCCAAGTGAATAGATCCTGTTGATCTAAACTGATTGATTGATTCTCAGTCTAATGGTTGTTCTCTCCAAAACATGTCAGCATCATTTCATTCTATAAGTCATCACATGCACAATAGTCTGTTCAATGGTCAGAATGAGTCAACATAATCATATCAACATAATACCATGAATACCATATAGTGTATTTATTTACAGCACTCTAGGCTACATATAATTTTCCTTGTTTTTGTTTATGTGTTTATATAACAGTATATTATGCTTTATACATTTTCTTTTTACTCTGATATGGAGGTTACTTTATGTGTGTGAATAAAAATGGCTACCTTTCCTCGGCAGTGTGAGTGCAATGTGTGATGTCAAACCTTAGAGGCTACTCTTCCCCTAAAATCTTGTTTTTTTATTTTATTTTTTCAGTTTTATACACAAACTAGTACGGTAACCATTGTGAATGAAGGACTGGGCTAAGACTGAGAGGTGGACATGAGGGATATGGTCCTCTGCCATAGTGACAAAACATCTAAACATTTTGACTTGCAGTGCTCACACAATGCCAAAGGGACGACACATTTTGACACATGAGTGAACTGTTTTGGGAGAGACATGAGCTTTTGCAAGTGAGCTATGGTGTTGTGCTGAACTGTAAGACTGTTTTGCCAAATGATCTTTGAGTTGAGTTTTGAGAATGTAATTTCTGTTTCGAAAAATGAGCCAAACCAATGGAGAAAAATGAACTCAAACAGTTTAAGCATGAAAGATATTTGATTTTACTAAAAGTAACTCAAGTATTTATTGTTAGGGTAACTTGGGTAAATTCAGTTAATTGAACCTAAAACTAGTAAGTAAATTACATTCATATGCAGCATTTCTCCAAACTTAATTAAAATGCGTGAACAGAATTGATCTGAATAAATTAATTTAAATGCATTTTCTGTATACAAATGTTACCCCACCAAGTTCTCCGATGGGAGTTTTTAGGGCTGATCACCGATCGCCAGAAGCAGTATCGACCAATACTAATACCAATCACTGGGACTTCTGTTGGTCGTGTATTTATATAAATAATATTCAAATATAAATATATTTCTGTTTCTAGTAGGCCATTTCTTTTTTTCTCCATTTTAATTGTATTTAATTCAAATTTTTTCACCCACAATTCAGGTGAGCCACCTATCAAAAAACAAACTGTTGCCTTACCTATCCACCTGATAACATATTTTCTCTGTGTTTCTCTGCAAAATGCTAAAATGAGTAAATCTATGTGTGGGAAAGACTGAATAAACGTTCCTGTGGAATGAAGTTCATCAGCTGAACAACTCTTCTGATTGGCATTTATAGTGGCCTGCCGATCAAACAGCAAATATCGGCCTATCACGATTGGTGGCTGATCAATGGAGCTGTAGCAGCTTTAGCAGTTTTAACATTTATATTTGTGCTGATAGTTGTACCACTAAACCTTATCGTAGTAAAGGTAGATTGTGTGGAAAACCAATATAAGATTGAATAAACTGTGATAAGCACACAGTATAGTCAGTAAAATGGCATCAGATCCTTGTTGTTAGAGATAGACCACAGAGGAGTAAAATAGTGTTTCAGTTGGAAAGATTTACTGTTGGGTTAAAGCTTTTCTGAAGATGGCTGCACACCAGTCTGTTGTGTGTAAAGTAATATGTGGCATTGTGTGTGTGTGTAGTGTCTGGGTACGTTTGGTCCCCTGCGGTGTGGAGAGATGTATGCCTTAGACAGACTGCTGAGAGAGGCTAGAGTCCTCGAAATCATCCGGCGCATCACCAAGGACAACCCAAGACGCCTGAGACAGCCCGCTGAAGGTAAGCTCCTGTACCTTTCTGTTGGACAGTGCAGGCAGCCATTACTCCATATGCAGAGAGCCGACAGATCATCAGTCACAGTGCTGTCACATATGGAGACTTTTCACTGACAGCAAGTGACAAACTGGACAGCTGAGCAGAAATGACTAAAATGTAAAAAAAAAAAAGTGTTCAGTGACCTACCTAGATGACTCACCCAGAGATCAAATTCAGATCAGTGCCGGCAGCAGATTTCCTGATGAAATGGGCACAGTGAATAACTACTCAAAGTATACAGTGCAGGTTGCTTGCTATTTGATAAGGTGAACCAGGATGAACCTGCTAACTTGCATTTAAGTGATACATGTACCATACCTTATCCTTAAAAGTTATATATACAAAATTCCCTTGCCACTAGATGTCGCACTAGAGAAGCAGCATCTCAGACCAAAACAATGGGTACTACAGCTGACCAGACTCCATTGACAAAACCAGTAATTTTGCCTAACAGATAATTGTAAAACATACTTCAAACTGGACAGAAACAAAATGACACCCACCATAACCCTCTTTCCAGCGAGATAAATTCTCAATTCACCAAGTTAGATGTGAAAATATTTGTGAAAAGGGCTGCAATGACCGTACATAAGCTAACGGTAATCCTTGGGGACAAATGTGCCATCAAAGTCCATCCACTAAAAGTTGTTGTTTCTGCCACTGACAGGCTCAGATTGTTATTCTAAGAGTCTGACAGCATTATAGAAAGGATCCCTACAGAGATAGACCTTTTGTTTAACCAGAAACAGCAGTAATATCACCATAACTATTATAGTTTGTTATAGTTTTCTCTTTCCTTTTTATTATTGCTAGGTTTTACAGTTTTTATTGCTAATTCTATATATTGTTACTGATGGTGATATGGTTTTTAGTGTTTGATTTCAATTCATTTGTTTTTATTATCCTGTAAAGCACTTTGTATACCCTATTTTGAAAGTTGCTTTATAAATAAAGTTTATTATCATTAAATTATCATCGCTCGCCACCAGACTACATAGACAAAAGTGATAACATGGTAACTGTGTAAACCTATCATGACGTCACCCATTGGATTGTGGAGTACCATTTTGAAGCCTCAAGTTCAGCATTATGGTCATCGCCATGACGTTTTTTGACAGTCAGCGGAGGTGACGTACTGTGAGTTGAGCTGCTCTCATTGGCTGCATTTAGTTTCGACTCATCTGTAGCAGGAAACAATGGCAGCTCACTTGGCCTGAATGACCTGTCAATCACAAGGATGCCACATCCTAAGGCATACCCTGCTTTATGGTCTGTTTTACTCTAAATGGGACCATCAGTTACTAAATAACATCATGCTGTATGGAAGATAAACTGAAACCTAGAGACTGAGACCAGAAACTCATCAGGAATATGTTTACTGAGCTCATAAAACAACAGATTCGGCTCATTTCTGCATAAGAGTCAAGGCTTTCAGACCCTGCCTATTGAGCGCCCCCTTCTGGCCATTAGAATCAGGTTTAACATTTCCATCAGTACCACAAAATTTATTATTATTTAATTATCTGCTTGTTTCAGATCGACCTACATTTTATTTTCAATCAGTGAAAGTGATGTTCTGTCCATCATGCACTTTTTTTTAATTTGATATTTCTCTTTTTCCAATGTTATTTTTGAAATATAATATTATATAATCAATATTCATTAAACCCCAAAAAGGGTCAAAAAAAAATGTCTTAAAAAACACCATGACTCCACTATACCTTTACATAGCAAATAGTTGTTTGCTGCTCTATTCATGTTTTATTTATGTTTTTATACATATAACCTTTAAATTGACTGTTAGTAATAACCCTGTTTATCACATAAACATAGGCTGTAAGATCCAGTTCTGTGACTGGAAAAAATAAACCTAGAGAGCACTCAAAACATACTTCCACTAAGCCCAGGCTCAACAAAAGTTAAGCGTCTAGTAAGTGAATCTTTGAGTTCAGATTAATCCGCCACACAAGTTCAATAATGTACTTCTGTGATCCACATTAACAAAACCACTTAAACTAGAGCTACCTTAATCCAGAAACAAACTTGTGATCTTATCTCCGTCACAGTGATACCACAGCTGGGCCTGTGCCTGGGCGCGGTGTCACTATGGCAACAGTGCGTGGGGCAGGGCAGCGTGTACAGTGTCCATGCTGAGAGCTTCCTGGTGACGTTGTCTACAGTCTACTCCAGCATGCTGCCCGAGAGGGCCAGCAGCATGGCCGACACAGGTACAGCAACATCTGTGCATGTATGGTAAATGTTAGTGTGTGTGCAGTGTTAACACGTGTGTGTGTGTGTGTGTGTGTGTGTGTGTGTGTGTGTGTGTGTGTGTGTGTGTGTGTGTGTGTGTGTGTGTGTGTCAGTGTTCTTGTGTCTGATTGAGCGTATGCTGGATCAGAGGTTACCACGGCGAGGCAGCCATAGAGACAGAGTCACGGTGACGCTCTTTCACCTGTGGAGTTACTTGGAGGCCAACAGCATCAGTGACATGGAAACACACATCACTGAGCTGGCAGAAGAAGGTAATTCTCTCACCCACACACATACACAAAGCTAAATGAATGCAGAGCAAAGCTTCTCATCAGTGACACTTATCAATGATAACATCCCACCGACAGTGTGGTTGGTGCAGAGCCTGGCGACATGTGACCAGGATGTGATCGTCCACACTCTGCGGCGTCCTGCAGAGTGCAGCCTGAGGAGAGAAGGACTTCATGCTGTGGCCAAATTACTGAAAGACCCACGAGGCAAAGTGTCAGCCTCTGCCAGCTCTGTGCTGAGGAGCCTGGCTGCCCAGCCCAGACACAGAGAGCAGGTGAGAGGATTACTGTGCACAGTATGTTGCTCACTACACTAAAACTAAATGTTTCGTTTATGAATAGACAACATCTTTAAGGACTCGTCACAACCCATAAATGTATATAAATGTGAATTTAAAGTTCCAGTGTGTAACATTTAGGAGGATCTATTGTCAGAAATGTAACAGGTTTGTTTTCAGTAGTGTATAAGCATCTGAATATAAGAATTGTTGTGTCATTGTTACCTTAGAATGAGCTGTTTTTATCTAGAGAGGGAGCGGGCCCTTCTCTACAGTCTGCCATGTTGAACAACCGTGTTACTAATGTAGCCAAGAACAGTCTCTAGATAGGGCCAGGGCCGCTGTAGTTTCTCTTCTCATAGTGCTTGGAAGACTAAGCTGTATTCAAATAATTTTAATCTGCAACTTCTCTGCTTGACATCACTAAATCCTCCACACTGGTCCTTAAAAATAAAAAAAAAACAATAATGTTACGCTGCTGGTTTTATGTGTAACTTCATTTATATTTATTTTAGCAGTACAAAATATCTCTCAAACTGACATTTATACATGTACCAAACCATCTGAAACAAACATTGCTGCATTAGTATACTCAAGTGTGAATTTAGACCATGAAGTATGGCAAATTTGTAGAAAATACGCTTCAACTTCAGTGATTGGCACCAAGCAAAATGAAACATACACACAGTCAATTTTGCAAGCACTGATGATTGCACTGAATGAATCAAAATGCTACCCCACCCATTCTATTGTGATAGAATGTCCAACTTGTAACCAAGATATCTAGTGTGACATTTTACAGTATAATGGGGATGCTTGTTTGTACTGACAATACTTTTTAATTCTGTAATAAGATAAAATAGGCTGATAATAAGGCTTCAAATACACACGCACACATATATATATATAAACTATAGAAGATAGTAAAAGCAATGTGACAAACAGTACATGATAACATGCACTGCAGAAGGCAGCAGCAGCCCCATACAGCACCTGTTGTATCAAAGACAAAACCCACTGTGTGCATTCTCCTCCTTAGGCTTTGGTCAGCTGTTTGGAGCTGCTGGAAGATGAGAATGTGGACTCCAGAGTCTGTGGATGCAAGGCCTTAGCTTGTCTCAAGGTACTGTCAGTGTGATATTTTAGGGCGATGTTAATCTAGTTCATGGCATGGAAGTGGTAAAATGAACAGATCTTGTGTGAGTGCAGCTTGTCTGTACTGTGTAATACAGTATGTACTGACCACTGTATTCCATCTGCTGTCATTCCAGGCCAAAGAAAGCATTGACCAGTTAGTGTATCTTTGTCGAACGGACAAGGAGGAAGTCCGCGACGCTGCCAAACAAGCGCTGCTGGTGCTCGGTAATAATAACCAACACAAAATAAAGTGCTAGCTCATGTTAGGTCTGTTGGGAAATGTTGGGTCTCTGTTAATAACTTTGTAATGAGTACGGTCTAGACTTGCTCTGTATGAAAAGTGTCTTGAGATAACATTCTCATAACTGATGATGGCCAAAACTGTAAAAATAATCCCATGTTGAGAAACAAATTGCTGTAAATGACATTGGTTGGGTAAAATGGATATAATCAACTCTAACAGTTCTTTTCTGTATTTTTCCATCCATTATTATTTCATTCCATTCATATATTTGTGACATCAGACAATACTTAACGCAGAAATATGAAATCTACATCTTTGTCGCTTTCTGTCTTTGTCTAACACAAATTCACTCATTCATTCACTCTGTCCATTTTTATTTCTCGTGTCCATCGTGTGGAGCAGGCGAGGAGGGGAAGATGGCCCACAGACACGTAGAGACATCTCAGGACAGCATACCGAGACTCTTCGCTCCAGGAAGCATGGCCAGCACAGCTTTCTAACACTACACACACACTGGGTGGGAAAGAAAGTCAGCAACACAATATGAATGTTGTGCTTTGAATATACAGTAAGCTGTTCTTCTACCCCCTTTCTACCACTGAAGACTAATCTAGTATATGATGTACAGCATATACACTGTCAGAGAGGTTGCCATAATGCTCACATCAAGGACAACAACTCTGCCTAACACTGGGTGAACTTATAAAGTTAGTAAGCTACAAACAGACCACGTTTATCAGCCTGTGCTAACCACTCTGAGAAAATCAGCTGGACTGTAAAGATGCCGGGAAGAATGTTCAATGGAATGATGGGTAAAGGGAGGAGCAGAAGGGTGAAGCTCAAGGAAGAAGGTGCAGAGAGAAGAGTCTGTGTTGCCTGAGTAATATTCAAGTCAAATTACTGAACAGACTCGCCATCGCAGTCCTGTCCTTCCATGACCCAGACATTATATATAAAATGATTTTTATTATTTTAAAGCAACTTAGCAAAAGTCTAGAAAGCTATGTAAAGTCACTTTGTTACATAATTGTATTCATTCATTCATTATCAAGTGCCCCAAAATATAAAAAATATAATATAAAATATTCTTGATTATCTTGACTAGTGAACAAGTAGTCTACATAGAGTAAATATTCCACTGTACAGTATAATGTTACCCCAACTGTTACATAAAGCTACCCTTCTTAATGGATACTGCTGTCTTTAGTGTAGGCTAGAAGGCGTTTTTGAGCAATCCTGCACCAGATAGAACAGATGTTCTGCAGTTCTGCCTTCACTATCACCACTGACCTACTTCTGCTGCTTGATTTTTTTTTTTTTTTGCCAGATGACTGTGGTTCCCTGTCTGCAGCACTTGCAGCAAGGCAATAGTCAAGACCATATTTGCTGAAACTTTCACTATATCCTGACAGTAGTACAAGTGACAGATAATCTGTGAAACAATCAGGTTCCTCTGGCTCCTCCTAGTGCTCCTAATGGTATTTGCAAGAATCCACCGGGCCTGAATGAAAAGAACCAATCAGAGCTGCGAAAAGTAGTTGATAGTTGAGTCTCATTCCGAAGTTGTCAAATACCTACATTTTGGGCCCTGGGGATGAGAATCGAAAATCAGCTGTCTCTCTCTGATGTTTTTATAAAAGTGACATACCGCAGCTTTAAGACAAGATTTGAGACCACGCCAAGGCCATTCAAAATTCTTCATACATTAGTCTCACTGTTTCTTGTAAATGAGCCTACATGTTTCATTTTTTGCTAACCATATTTGAGATTACTGCTCTAAGAAATAATTAAATAGTATTCCAGACAAAAACTTGTTGCACAGTGTTACAAGCTAACTATGAGAGTATGATGTCGGTCCACACTGAAATGCATAAACTCACAGTTGAAATGAGATGCTTAGTAATTACATGGCAAAGACGCTACGCAAAATGAGGATTACCTGCACGGAACAGTTGAGGTGATATGAGGGGATGTTTTTCTCTATGGGGATCTGACAGCAGAACTACAGTCGTCTATGAGGCATGAGTCCAAACACATGCAACAACCATAAGATAATCAAATCATTTCAAAACCAAAGTAGTACTACGGTCCTGACGCTGTGCAATGCACTTCAGAAGGGATACACTGAATCTGAAAATTAAGTCACCATGCCCACACTTTATCCGTGCATAGAAACTGTGATTGACTCGCTTAAACTCTCAAAATACACATATTCTGAATTTATTGATATAAATTCCTTTTTTGCAGGAACAAGTAGCAGATTATTAAAACTGTGTGAAGGACCAGTATGTAGGATTTAGTGGCATATAGTGGTGAATTTGTAGATTGCAACTAACTGTTGTTCTCTTTCCAAGTGTGTAAGAGAAACTATGGTGGCCGCAAAATATGCAAAAAACGCGAATGGCCCTATCTAGAGCCAGTGTTTGGTTAGTCCATTCTGTGCTACTGTAGAAACATGGCGGTTCAACATGGTGGACTCTGTAAAAGAGGACCTGCTTTCTCTGTATAAAATACAAAACAGCTCATTATAAGGTAACAAAACACACTTCTTAGTTGATTATACACTAATGAAATACCGATTATACCTATGAAAATGATATTCCATTTCTGACAATAGATCCTCCTAAATGTTACACACTGGACCTTTTTATATGAAATCCACTTGCCACTGGATGTCATCAACTCTGGTTTGGTCGAATTAAACCCTTAATTCAGAGTAGGATGTGAAAATATTTGTGAAATGGCTGCAATGGTTGGCCAGCATAAGCTATCGTTAATCCTTGTAGACAAATGCACCCATCAAAGTCTTACACAGGCAGAGGGAGTTTGACACCATAACTCCACTATATCTTTACATAGAGAATAGTTCCTGCTGCTCTATTAAAATTCTAAATCTCATATATAGATATATAATCTTAAGGCCAGTGTGAGGCTTTAGCACTCTGCCCTCTGGTAGCACAGCAAAGGGGATTTTTTGTTCCTGCAGTGAAAAAGAAATATAAAAAATGCCAAACAAATATGAAATACATCTTGAAGATCTTTATTTTTGAGTGCAAACCACTACTTGTTCCTACCGAGCTGGACTTCAAATCTTGATTTAGAGGTTGACTTTGGCATGTCCTGTAGGTCACAGGACTGTGTTACTGTGTTGAAGGATAGCCACACGCTGGGAGGCAAAGAAATGGGGGGGATGGGAAAATACATGTTGTATGTACTTTTACATTCTTCCTGGATCTGTCAGTGGAGCTGGAGTCTGTATTACAAGCCACTTGTAACAGGTGTAGGGCTTCACTGTGTTGCTCAGGAAGGCACATGGTGGCTGATGCAGGGAGAGAACCCTGGATCCTGTAGTTTCAGCAGCTCAAACAGCTACAGTAAACAGCCAGCAGCATGTTTCAACTGGCAGACTAAAACTGAGAACTGCAACACTGCTTTTGCTGGCTCATTAACTGTGAAATGTCTTCCAATTCAAAAGTTAAAAATGAAAGCTTTTCATTCTCTGTTTGCATGCCTTCATGTTTAATGTTGTCCATATGTTGACAACACATTCAAAAGAAAGAAAATACACACTGTAGTTTTATATAAAGGTCTGAGATTAGAGAAGACTTGTTTCTGCACAGAGAATGGTTCAAGCAATTCAGTGCCATTACTTTTTTACAATTATGACATATCTTATTCCTGATTGAAATGCATTTAACATGACTATATGACACTGGAATTCAATATTCTGTGATTGTAAATGTTTTTATCTTAATTTGTAAAATGTACACTTTGTTTTATGAGATGCATTTTTACTGTTATTATGACACAGTTTATTTTCAGTCATTCAACCAATCGGTCTGATGAACTGACTGAGTGGATGGCACTACTGTCTATACTGACATACCTGCTGTAAATGGGCTGGCGCTCTGTTTGGAGTCACTGAATGTTTGCTTTACTGTCACAGACTGCTGTGTGTGTGTGGGGGGGGGGTGTCACTGAGTAGAGATGGATCAGCCCACCCAGGTCTGGGATCAGTTCACTTTAAATTCAGATCAATAAACCTGAAACCTATTAGAAAGACTAAGAATTCCCATTTATCCTTTTGTGTTAATTAATTAATAGCATCCTTTATACACCTGAATAGTAATAATTATAACAGAACTTAATTTAATTTCAAGTGAACTGACCCCAGACATGGAATCATAAATAATTAAAGGACCATACTAGTGTTTTTGCATGTTTATTTCATTTAACATACGAAATCTTTACAATGCTGCTGACTATTTTCCAAATGTTGCACATTGTATTCACCTAAGAAAAGCATTGAAGGTCTTATTATATTTTTATATTTATATTCTTAATGACATCATAATTACAAGATCTGTATTAATGGCTCAGTTTTTTATAATTAACAGATGTGTATCTAATAATTTAGGTGTACAAAAGCTGTAATTATAAATTACCCCCATGTCATTATAAAATGGTTTCCTCATAATTATGAAATAGGATCTCATTATTTTTTAGATATATTGTCATAATTATGAGATACTAAGTAATAGTTCCCTTGAGGCAACCCAGCACAGTAAACACCATGTCTGCAACAATAATGTAACAAAAAGTAAAGAGACTGTGATGGATTACCAAACTCTAGCAAGTTTCAGCTCTTTGTAACCTGATATCGATTCTGTACACATTCAACAATTTTACCTTCCTACTAGCTTGGGACAAGAGCCATTATGAAGTCAAGAATATGCTTTTTAGTAAATGGGTAAAAATCCAAAAACACTGGTGTTGTGCTTTAAACAGAGTTGACTTGAACAAAGACACAAAGTATTGAAGCATCATATGCTGTTGTCCTTTCCGCAAGTTATCCACACTGAAAATGCCAACATGTCCATCCCCAGTGACTACAGTTGTCCCTGTTTATTGTAATCCTGTTCCATTAGTTTCATAGTGACGCTGCAGACAGTGATGATGCTGCCACACCTTTTTCATATCCTGAGCACCGTTACTGGAAGGTCATCTCAGTGTATATACAATTAGTATACTAATAGTATATAGACATGTCCCACTCTCTTACTGTATACTAATGGGATGAAACATGATATATTAATGTGGACAGTGCACTGTTCGGGCCCTTTCTAACAGGAAATGATGTCACTCTTAGCAGCACTGGCAGTGGGGCTCTACTGACAGCAGTGTAGGTCAGTCTGTCCATCACTTTGACTGAAATATCTGAACAAATAGTAGATGGATCCATGAACGTGGTTGAGGGTATAAATTGTAATAACTAACTTTGTCTTTAGCTCCATCATCAGGTCAACCTTTAACGGGCCGTATTGACCCTTCCTAACCCCAGCCCCTTCGATATGCTAGGTGCTAGCTCAGCTGTTGTACGACAGTTCAAAGATAAAAGTGACATATATTCATAACTAGTCACATTTTAAGTTAGCTAGTGTTAGCAAAACACTGGCTAACTTGCTAGATAATCTACATCAACTGTTTGCTAGCTAATTTGCTTCCATTTGGTAACATTAGCTATTAGATGTAACTAGCTAACGTTGGATAACAATTAATGTAGATTACCAAGCTAGTTCGCTGATAACTAACCAGCTAACTAGCCAGCTAATGATTGATGTAGATTAGCTAGGTCATTAGCTAGCATTTTGCTAACATTGGCTAACTTAATATGTGACTATACACCGATCAGCTCTAACACTGTGAGCACTGACAGGTTATCTGTTATCATGGCTCCTGTCAGTGGGGGGGATACATCAGGCAGTAAGTGAACATGTTGTCCTCAGTGTTGATGTTAGAAGCAGGAAAAATGGATATGAGCGACAAAAGTGCTCCAAGGAAGGAAAAGTGGTGAACCGGAGACAGTGTCAAGGCTCATTGATGCAGGTGGGGAGTGAAGGCTGGCCCGTGTGGTCCGATCCAACAGACGAGCTGCTGTAGTTAATGCTGGTTCTGAACACACAGTGCAGTTTGTTGGTATGGGACCAGTGAGGATGCCCAGGAGGTCAGATTGTTATAGCTGATCAGTGTACCAGGTTCAGGTTCCTAATGTATAATGTGCCAACCCTGTTTACTTCCCTTAGACTGACTTAAATATTCTTAGCAACACCAAATGGTATTGAGAATTGACTTCTTTGAGACCCTTGGGAGAAACAAATGAGTAGTAGCTGTGCTTGTAAGGATGTAACCATCCTCAGAGGATTGGGGCCATGGATTAAAAAAATCTATTGTGTGACGAGGAAAATGCACTACACAGATCAAAGTCAGAATCCTCATAATAATGTTAGAAATAGTATAATAGTAAGAATTTGGGCAGAAAAACACTGATATCTAAAAACAGAAATATATTTTTTCTATTGAAGGCAATAATGAATTACTAATTGTTGATGTGAGGGGTGATCAAACAATTAGCAAGTTGTATATTGTGTTCAGTGTGGATTAATCCAGCATATAAACTGCAGTGATACTGGAATACAGGACTGATGTCACATGGGGGGACTTACTATTTGTATATATGATATAATACCATTATTAGTATGAAGTATAGCAATCTGCAGCTATACCTCTGCATCCATAAAGCACCTCAGTGTTCAAGTGCCTCAAGGTTTGATAGTAGAGCTGCAATAAGACATGGATGAGATACTGTATTTAAGAATGAAGAGAGTGTGAAGCAATGGAAAGCCCATGCAGCACAGCATATATATATATATATATATATATACATTCCACAATCTTGATAGATTGTGCAGCATTGAAAACAAAATGTTTTATTCTTTTTTTTTTCTAAAATATATTTCCAGGCATTCTGGTGTCAAATATATACAATTAAAAATGTGTTTAAAGGTTGTCTCATGTGCCATTTTGTTTTTTAATGATACTGTTCACACACAAATAACACACACATTCTGTGCTTCCTTAAAGTCAGGGGAGTTTTTGAGATCAAGTCAGAAAGAAGTTTTAGGTTGAGAGCATCAGCAGACGGTACATCTACTAGAACAGTGATTCTCTGACAGAGAAGGACAGTAGCTGGAACATTGTCCTCATTAAAAAGATGAATGACTTGTGTTGGCAGTATCACAATATGAAGCATCATATTTTTGCTGACATTCACTTCGTGGTCATTGTCTGAGGACCTCGAGTGCCTTTGTGGTATCTTGGGGGGCACTTCAGAACCTCAATGTACAACAGCATTTTCACAGAGTGCAGAAAATAATGTATGCTGCATTTAGGTTATGTATAAAAGTTTGGATGCCATTGAAAGTAGAGAATACCTCTTGGTTCAGATGTGCAAGTGAATCAGGAGACTCATGGATGAAGCCTTGTTATTGATGCACTGATTAATAATTGATGGACATACATGATTGTACAAATTTAAATATTTCAAAAGACAATGAATAAAGATTTCTGTGGACATTATCAGATCAGTTTTTCTCTCAATACGAGCACACATGCAGAGGTGACTTTGATATACAGCCAATAAAATGTTACAGGATCCGCCACAAACGACTACTAAGTTGCCATGACAAACAGATCTCACATACACTCGCTCAATTTATAATGAATGTGTTTTATAAGAACATAATTTCTGATATAGTTTTACTTATGTTTACTTTAAATACAGATTTTAACATGTCGAGGTTATTTTACGGACAGTAAAGTTCATATCTCCGAGGGTCTTGAAAGCAGCCCCATTCCTAACATGATGTGATAAATGGGCTTCAATGTATTCCAACGGGGCGCCCCTCCTGGCCAATCAGGGTGTGTGCAGAAGCTTCGACACCACCCCCCAGCGGCCGCACAGGCGCACTGAGCTCCCAACTGCCATTTTGTGGCAGAGGCTACTCTGCTAAAGCGGGAGAGGGATTAAAACAAACTGCGAAGAAGCCTGCATTTCTTAGCAGCCTATTAAACTTTGTAGCGCAGACTCTCTGATTTTGGCTGAGTTAAACGGGGAGAGAAACACATTAAAAGGAGGTAAAGTATCACTACTTTTCTGATAAGGGGGGAGTTTGCAGGATCTTTAATCGGCCTCTAGGTGTCACGATGGGGCTCTGGGTCCGGGCTGCTCGTCGGAGAGTGTTTGTCTCCCTCTATCGTTATTGAAAACCCCGTCAAAATACGTTTAAATAACCGAAGTTCTGATAAATGTACACACAACCCACTGTATTTTACGTGTATCTGTGGAAATATCGTCGAGGATAAGTTACTAATACTTCGACTGTTTGGGGGGAGAGTTTAGGCCAAGGCGTCCATTTTCTCGCTTCTTTGTTTCCCGTCTTTACAGCCTTGACGACATGGAAACTGGCGGGTTTAACATTAAGTTATTGCTAACGCTAGCTTGTTTGCATTAATATAACGTTACGCCATTTATAACACAAACAAACATATCTACACGCACGGTAAATTACTACAGAAACCGTTAACATAGTCGCATTTCCCAGTTGAGTTGTAGCGTGTTACATAACGTAATTTTACAGCTTTATCTGAAGAAGTCAGTGTAGCAAATGACGTTAGCTGGCTATGTTAGCTCAGATTCAAGGCCCTTCCCCACCCAGTGCCCTTAAAGTGTCCGAAGCCACGCAGTTTCCAAAAGCAGCCAGCGCAGACCTTTCTTTTACTATTTCGTTTAGGAGAATTGGTCGCTGTCGCATCTGCCATTTTTATAACTAAAGTTTGCTTTCCAGGTAGCAGAGTACACACAGGTTGTAACGGTAAGGCCCGAGCAGAAAAGACCATGACGGGGCATTCACAGCAAAACGATCCTCGACGATCACGGGCTGCTCATTCACTCAGACCAAACACACGATTTGTGTTCTTCCAAAATCAGCCATCTTCCACCGCAGAATACTGCATTTCTCTTTCTTGTTTTATGTCATCGCGCCGTGCTCGCAATTGGCAGTTGTTGTTGCGCCCGTCGCCCGCTTGTCTCTTTTTCTAAGCCCACCTAGAGCATCATAGCCACAGATATATATTATAGCAGAGAGCTCCCTCTACGATTCGGCTTGGAGAGCTACAAAAATACCGCTACATAAATGCTGCGCAAGGCGGCGACAGCTGCCCGGCTGGGCGCTCAGTGACATTGCCATGTTGTGGTAAATTTGTTGAACCATAAGTCAAAGCATGTATGAAGGCCTAACATTATACTACAGCCTCTCCAGCTTCCACCCATTTAGCAATATAAAGATAAATGGACATTGGATCCTACAAACAAACAGATGTTAGGTGGCAAACAAGTCTGTGCAGCTGTTACTCATTGTCTGTTGTCATTTAGTTGTATTCAGTTAGCTAAGACCAAAATGCAGCTGTGATGTTTTTCAATGAATTGAGCAAATACTTGACATCTGAAGTACATGCCGAGTCCCTTTTATTGGGCACTTTGGTTGTTATTGTAAATAGCCACCTCATCCAGAATATGAGTCATGTTGCTGTAACTGGTATATACTGGTGACACAGGCGACTGTTTAACTAAGTATTATAACAGTTTTACTCAATTACCTACAGCCATCCACCCCCCATCCCTACATTCATGGCAGGATGTGAAAAATATGATAGAATCTGTCCGCAACATTCTTATTTTTAAAATAGATTTTTTTGTTGTTTCATATCAATTACATCAACTACCCATTCATATACATTTATAAAAAAAAAATAAAATGCAGTTCTATTAATTAAATTATTATTATTATATTATGAGTTTTGTTTTTTGGCAGGAAAGAGTGGCAAAGGTGCCTGCAAACGCACGCAGAAACTTGATAAGAAGAGAGCAGGTTCCGGGCCTTCATTTTATATAAAATGATGATATAAAAACAAAATATAATATATAAATAAACTGCTGTTTACATTAGTTTGTTTTGTATAATTTGAGTTTGAGACACCGGACCCACACAGTCTTAAGATCTAAACATAGACTGATTCTTGGAACAGGGTGAACCAAAATTGCCAGTGAAGTTTTCTTTGAGAAAATATTTTGAGCTTTTTGAGATGTTCTGAAATCATATCACAGCCATCTATTACCATGTGTAAGCCTGTGGAGAACATAACCCAGTTAGATTTTTTTATGTTCATGCAAAGACTGGTAAAACAGCTCTTATGAACATTTTGAGTACATATTCTGGATTTTTTTAGGCCAATATTTGTCATTTCAAAATATGGGTGGCTGTGGCTCAGAGGCAGAGCGGGTCGTCCACTAATCAGAAGGTTGTTGGTTCGATCCCTGGCTACTTCCGCTGCATGTTGAAGTATCCTTGAGCAAGATACTGAACCCCAAATTGCTCCTGATGCTGTGCATTAGTGTGTGAATGTGTATGAAAGGGTGAATGTGGCATGTAGTGTAAAAGCGCTTTGAGTGGTCAGAAGACTAGAACTGCGCTATACAAGTACAGGTCCATTTTAACCTCAGCATTGATATAAGTTCCACATTTCTCAGACATTGTCAGCTGCTAAGCAGGAAGAATAAAATAGAAGAGGGGAACTGTCATGGAAGCCCTTCCATGGTTCCCAGGTGTCGTTGACTATTTTTCCAGTCATAGAAACGCCTGGAAATTGATTATACTGATCATAAATACTCCTGGAAATAATCTGTGTTGTCCTGTAAAATTTGAATTGTGTTTTAGCTCCTCACTCAGCTCTACTCCTCAAATGGCCCACATATTTAGTTTGAAAGTCAACTGATGGTGGTAGTACCTGCATGATATGACACTTAAAGTCGGGTTTACCAGACACGTAATGAATCTGCAGAAATCTTTTCGGTGCCAGCAGAAGCAGAATTCTCACGAAAGTGGAATCATTTCTTGTTGTGGTTAATAAATACATGCACAGTAGTGTTAATTGTATATGCAGCACTTTATGCTTCTTATTCTAATAGGCTAAGAGCTGAAGAGTGAATTTATCTGCACATCCCACTGAGATGATCCATTGCCCCTCCCCTCTTACAGGTTTACAGTCAGGTAGCAGCTTGAAGCCTCAGGTGAGCACAAGTGTCTTAAACAGAGGAGTTAACAATGTCAGATATGTGTAGGCTGTTAAAGTCACTACGTCTGTGTGTTAAAGAAATATCTCAGTCTAAGTGCAGCTGTGTAACATGTCCCTCTTCCCTCCCTCAGCTTGGCAGGGACAGTGAGGTAGCAGACATTTGATTCAGCAAACTTCAGGGCTTTCAGCAAAAGGAAGATCACCAGAATCACAGCCCTGCAGACTGCAGTCCAGTCTACAGAAATCATGAAAACAGTCAATTTAACATTGCTGTTCCAGGTAACACTAGTAAAGTTAAGTGCCAACAACAGTGAGTTGCTTGAAATATGTCACACTTGCTACAGACATTCCCTGAATTTCACCAAACGTGTGGATCAGGAGTCAGTGGTGAACAGTTACTCTATATGCAGGGAGCAATGGATACAATCAAAGACATCAGTCAAAGACTGGGTTGGACTTTTGGTCAGACCAAACCAGCAATACAACCATCTTCAGTATGTGCACACACAGGGACAATCACATGAAAATACAAGCAGAATTTTTTCTTGGAAAAGGGCAATTTTGTTGAGAACTTGCACCGTTTAATCCTTCTCAGAACCAACAAGAATGGGGACAGCTTTGAATCAGACATAGTCTAGTGGATAAGAGTTTGGGTCAGTGCCGCGTTGGGAATTAAGGCAGCATTCAAAATTAGATCGGGGATGCCAAAAAACTGCAGATCTGCTACGAAAAGTTTAACCAGAGTTGACAAACCCAGCGTCACATTTCGGTGGCCAATCCAGCAGTCAGACTGGTCCACAGTCAGCCAAAGATATCACTGAAGCCAAGCACTATCCAAGCATAGTTCATGGGCCGTATTATGATACTCTCCCAGTTGTGTCCTTGCTTCGTTTATTTGTTGTACCCAGCTTCAACGTCTGTGCCTGGCTTGCAGTCTAGGCTGAAAATAGCGATACCAAGAAGCTCCTTTTGGTATTGTGTGTCCATTTGTGAGAGAAAGCGTGTGAATCTGAGAAATAAAGTTTTGTGTATAGTCTGCAGGTTTATTTTAGGTTTCAACAAGACCCCCCTGAAACACTGGTTAGTTTGTTCTTCTGTTTTAATCCGTTTCATGTTGAGTCACAAGGAAAATCTGTATACACTGAACCCCAATGTCATGAAGCAAACAGGCTTCCAGTGGATGCCTGAAAAGGCTGCCGCATAATGTTTGTTTCCACCACACTTTATTTCAGTTCCTACCCAGCATGGACGGAGGCCCAACCGAGGGTGTAGGGGTGGTGGAGGTCCCCTCCAAAGACTTCCCCTCCATCCAGTCCGTTCACAGCCAGGATGCCATGGTGGCCGACCTCCTCCAGCAAGCTGCAGAGGCTGGGGGTGTGGTAGAGGGACAAGCTGGAGTCGTCCTGGAACAAGGTTCTTATTAAGTGGACATGAAATGGTCCCACAATTGTAAAAAAGACCACAGAGTGCTTTACAGATTTCCATTGCAAGCAGACATGTTTTTGTGGAGAATTTGGTCAAATGTTTTAATCCGAGCAATGTTGTGTTTCAGGTCATGGGCAAGGGATGGTAGCTACCCAGGCCCAGCAGCAGCTAATGGAAGCTGGGGTGGGGGTTGGTGTGGAAAGTGGGGCAGGGGTTGAAATGATGGTCATGGACTCACTGGATCCCACCCTGTTGCAGATGAAGACTGAGGTAGGCTCACTGAAAACTGTTTTGTGTTTGATGTTTTTTAAATGTAATCTGCCAATGGGGTGTGCTAGTTTCACTTAACTCTAATTCTTAAAACTAGCATAAAAAACAGAAAAGACTTCTAATGGATCTTAAAATTAGAAAAATGCCATAAATGTAAGCCAGTTGTGCCTATCAAAAGCAATGAGCTAAAGACACAAGACAATTTCTCCAAACTGCAAAATAAAATAAGAAAAATAACATTCTTATTTTTAACATATTTTATTTTTAAAAAATGAAATGTAAACAGCTGCTTTTCATTTCCAACACTGGGACAAGAATACTTTCTCTTAAACTAAGAAGTTGTGCAAGTGGTCTCACTCTTAAAATAAGGAAAATAATGTCCTTTTAATAATCCCTCTGCTGGGGTATTATGCAAACCATTGTTGGAACTTGTTACTGGTTAAATTAAGCTCAATATTAGCTGTAATATCTTATTAAGACAAAGTTAGATATATTTTCTTAGAAGGAAAGTAGTTCTGAAATGTAAAGCATGCATGAAATTATTATTATTATTAGGCTTTTTTACTTTCTTGACATTCCTTTTTTGTAGTGTAGAACTAAGGACACCTAACTGCCTGACAGAGTGCATTGCTTTGCCCAAACTTCCATTTAAAATGAAGTTGATTTCCAGGTAATAGATGCTGCAGTGGGGGGATCATCAGCAACCGTGGGTGTTGTCGGAGGGGTAGCAGGTGCCGCTCACCAAGCAACTGTAACAACAGTAGATCAGACACAAATCATCACACTACAGGTAGGTGGTCATTTGAAGGCATTTCACATGATGGCGTCCAACTTTTATCCCCATTGGGAAAGCTGAATTAAATTCTCTGATGGTTTGACTCCTCTCTCAGGTCTTGAATTTGTCTTAAGAGATGCCCTGTAGATTCCCTGAAAATATGGACTCAGGTCTCTCTCTGTCTTCAGGTGGTAAACATGGAGGAGCAGGCCGCTCTGGGTCTGGGGGAACTCCAGTTGGTCCAAGTTCCCGTTTCTGCCTCCACTGTGGAGGCCCTGCAGCAAGGAACCTTTGTAGACACCACTGCTATGCCAAAGGACGGTGACCCGGTCATCTGCCACACCCTGCCACTGCCCGAGGGCTTTCAGGTACACAGACAGACACAAACATTAGTTAACTCAGACCTACAACACTAATGCGTTATTTGTGTAATTTCTCTTTGCACTTCAGCACCTACAGAAGAAACCCACCCACAATGATTTGTCTGTCTTGACTAAACAACTGATGCATTTGCTGTGTAGGTAGTTAAGGTCGGTGCTAATGGGGAGGTGGAGACAGTGGAGCAGGAGGATGATGGGGGAGAGGCCCATCCTGAGGAGGAAGATGAGGAGGTAGGGAGCCAGCTGCTGGAAGAAGGGGAAGATGAGCCCATTCAGCCTCCCAATGACGACACAAACTGGGCTAAAGACCCGGACTATCAGCCCCCGTCTGGAGCTGTCAAAAAGACTAAAAAGGCAAGATAGTTGTGTGGTGTCAGTCTCGTTTGGTTTTTTGGACATGTGAGATGCTTCCCTGTAAATAAACTTAAACAACATCTTGACATGTCTGTCTTAAATTGTCATCAGTTGATAAGGTCTAATGACTTGTTGTTTGTCCAGGGTAAAAAGAGTCGTCTGCGTTACGCTGAAGGAGATAAGGACATGGACGTCAGTGTCTATGATTTTGAAGAGGAACAGCAGGAGGGCCTTCTCTCTGAGGTCAATGCTGAGAAAGTGGTGGGCAACATGAAACCACCCAAACCCACCAAGATCAAGAAGAAAGGTAAGGTACAGCTGTCTGCTGAACTGAGAGCACGATGGGAACGACACAATTAGTCACTGTTGGATGAAGTTTGATTTGTATGCCTCTTCTAACTTGGGTTGGCATAAGTAGCTGTTCTATAATCTGTTACCACTACAAATGTATCCAGAATTATTCCACAATACCATACTATAATATATTGCATCATGGCTTCAATATCCTATCCTATGTTACCACGAATATTATTTTAGTAGTAGTAATTATCATGGCCGTATTATTACTGTGATTAACAGTGCTATCGTAATCTTACTGTGTCAGCATCTTATTTTTTTGCTGTGAACTGAGTTGAGTGGGCATATAATACACACATATGTGACAAATGTAGTCTTCAGTTTTGTGGATATGATGTTTAATATGTGGCTGTTTTGCACTGACATGGTGACTGCTGTTATTGAATGTTAGGTCTGTGTGTGTCGTTGTGCGTTAGGAGTGAAGAAGACATTTCAGTGCGAGCTGTGTAGCTACACATGCCCTCGACGCTCCAACCTGGACAGACACATGAAGAGCCACACCGACGAGAGGCCTCACAAATGTCACCTGTGTGGAAGAGCCTTCAGGACGGTCACCCTGCTGAGAAACCATCTCAATACACACACCGGTATACCATGACACACATCATCATAAACGCGTAGTAGTAGTTTAAAAGCAGTCTGAAGGATTTTTCAGTACCGTGCCAGGATAGCTTACTTGTGTCTTGTTTTTTATCTATTCAGGAACTCGTCCACACAAGTGCACAGACTGTGACATGGCTTTTGTGACTAGTGGAGAGCTGGTTCGCCATCGTCGCTACAAACACACACATGAGAAACCCTTCAAATGCTCCATGTGTGACTACGCCAGTGTGGAAGTAAGACGATCTCCTGTGTGCTTTCTTGATGTTTTACAAAGTTTAAAAGTTGAGTTTAATGTTTTACATTTGCTACACTAATCCCCATCCACATCTACTCCTCCAGTAGTGAAGAAGAGTAAAAGATATTCACAGTTCTGTAGCCAGCAGCACCAAGTTTAATCTACACTGTGATATACAACTGCTCTGCTCCAAGAGTCAGAAACACTCACTGACTGCAGGATCTTTATGATGGCTGATACATTTTTGTTGTAGTGTTCTGATATGTGATTGTGTGTGTGTGTGTGTGTGTGTGTGTGTGTGTATGCTGTGTATGATGTGTAGGTGAGCAAACTAAAGCGCCACATTCGTTCCCACACTGGCGAGCGTCCATTCCAGTGCAGTCTTTGCAGCTATGCCAGCAGAGACACATACAAGCTAAAGAGACACATGAGGACACACTCAGGTAAAACTGACACTGTAACTGCTCTTATATATTTACAAAGCAGTGAGGGAGGACAGTGGCATATGACAGTTGGCAAAGATATTGGACCAGTATTGTTTTTTATTTTGGGAAAAACCTCACATCAGTTGTGTTTTCATATGAAAAGTTATTTTCTAGCTCTTTAAGTGAGCTAGATGGTTTCTCAGCAAATCTACCCAGAACAAAAGGAAACCATTCCGCCATTGGTTATAAACTACAAAACTATTCTTTTCCCCTGGATGTTGTATTGTTAAAATCTATACTTTTTTGGGGGGTAATTCATACATTGTGTTTCATACATCCTACCCTGTTGGTGCACAGTCTTTACTGATAGTTCTTTTCAGAGTGTCTGTCGTATCTTACAAAGTCTAAAATCCAATAATCTGAGATTTAGGTTTTAAAATGTCTTTAATATGACTTTGACACGTCTCAAAATGTATTGTAATGTAAAATAATGTTACTTGTTTGAAGTCTCAAAGCAACAAAACAAACTGACATGGAGCCATACTGATAGTCCTTCATATCTTTCATCCTTTTTTTGCCAATATGTACATAAAATAGGTCTTAAATTTTATTCATAATGGTTAAATTTAATCCGTTGAAACCCTGCTTTTGTATTCTTTTATTGTTCTGGTAGATTAGACATGAGAACATTGAACAGAGATGAACCTGTGTACATGCTCAATCCTCTTCTCAGGAGAGAAACCTTATGAGTGCTACATCTGCCATGCCCGATTCACCCAGAGTGGAACCATGAAGATGCACATTCTGCAGAAACACACAGAGAATGTGGCCAAATTCCATTGTCCACACTGTGACACTGTCATCGCACGCAAGAGTGACTTGGGTAACTTATACGTACACACACACACACACACACACACACACACACACACAGTGTAAACCTACCAGACAGCAAAGATAGTTTACTTTGCCTTGTTGTTTGAGTTCCTTAATGGGTTTTCTTTCATCATTCATGTGGATCTTTAGGTGTCCATCTTCGCAAGCAGCACTCATTTATTGAGACCGGAAAGAAGTGTCGTTACTGCGACGCTGTTTTCCACGAGCGCTATGCTCTGATCCAGCATCAGAAGTCCCATAAGAATGAGAAGAGGTTCAAATGCGACATGTGTGACTACTGCTGCCGCCAGGTGTGTGTACACAAATACCTTTGTAGTAATATGTTGGGCTACCATACTCCTAGTAGCCAAAGAGCAGTTTCATTTGACTACGAAATTTAGACTGATTTTGATTATTTCCTGTGAAGTTTTCTGGCAAGTTTTCATACAATTCTATCAGAATCAGAATCAGAAATACTTTAATAATCCCCGTGGGGAAATTACTTGTATTATGTAGTGTTTTTTTACACAATAATACACATGGGTAATAGGCGTTATTAGTTTTTATTAAGGCCCGGACACACCAACCTGATTATCGGAAATCGTTGGACAGTCGGGTGAGGTCGGTGACTCGAGTCAGTTTGGTGTGTCCCGTTGCTGTCGTCAGTCGCCATTAATTTTGTAGAATCGGCCAGTGGCCGTCGGCCTCAATGACCAATCTGATTGGTGGAGTGCTAGCCCTTGACTAGCGAATCAGTGAGTGCACGAGAAAACCAGAAGTCACGATGGTAAACATACTACGCCAACGCCAGTATCTTGTTATTATTAGCCATCGTATTTTCCGTTCAGCGAGTAATGACAATAACGATCCTTCTTGACTACTATCAACACTCTCTGATGAAAACGACGAATGAATGACGACAGCGTGCTCTGTGTTTATTAGGTCTAGGAGTGATCCGTCATTTCCGGTTTTCTTTTTTTTGGCTGTCGGGTTGGTGTGTCCTGGCCTTAAGAGCCCGAGCACTTACCGTGCAAAGGCCCTATTGTAATGCAAGGAATTGTTATTATTTTTCTGCGAAAACGATTGCATTTTTGGAGGCCGCAACATGCTCGAAAACTCACGAAACTGCACACGTCAGTTGTGGCGAAAGATTTCTTATTTTCTGGGGGTCCACTATGAGCATGGCAAAATGGCCCTCAGAGGCCAGTTTCACCGATGTGCATAAAAATCGGTACACACGTAGATCTTGTCCTGACGTACAAAATTTATTCCTAGAGTCGTATCCTAAACCCAACAGGAAGTCAGCCATTTTGGATTAGCTGTCATTTCTGGCGATTTGCACACATTGTATTTGAGTGAACTCCTGCTAGGAATCGGATCGATTTTAAATTTTTAATCAGCGCAATCTAAAGACATCCATGTTTAAAAGTTGTGCTATTTACGTCATTCTGTCGAACAGCGTGCCAGTGTCGTGGCGTTGAATTTCAACGACTCGCCATTTTAAGTTTTCATAACTTCACCATACATTGTCCAATCTCAAAGAAACTTCACATGTCTAATAAGAGTCCCGCCCTGAACACTTCTATGTAACAATATTCAGTAATAGTGGTAGCGCCACCTCGTGGTAAAAGGAAATGTCACATTTTGTACTTTCATGTTCTACTCCTATCAGGTTGATCAGATCCAGCTGAAATTTAGTTAGAAAATGCGAAACATATTGTTGATGATATTTCATGATTGTGGTGAATTTTTGTTAAAGGGCGTGTCCGTGGCGTGGTGTCAAATTTTGATGTACCACCAGAACACATGAATTTGCTCTAACTTCGGTGTACATCGTCCATTCGGCTCCAAACTTCACTTGTCTGATAAGAGTCCCGCCCTGAACACATCAATGTGATAATGTTCACTAAAAGGGATAGCGTCACCTAGTGGTATAAGGAAATGTCATTTTTTTACTTTTATGTATATCTTCCAGCAGATTGACCAGATCCAGCTGAAATTCTGTTAGAAGTCCCTTAAGATGATGACAATGACATCTTATGAATCTTAATTTTAGTAGAATCACATTGCCATAGCGATGCAGCAAAAATCAGCTTTTGTGTTAACATTAGAAAAATTTTGGGGGGGCTAAACATGTCGAAAAACTCATGAAACTTTGCATAAAATTCCGTTGTGGCAAGCACTAACGTATTGCCTTGGTCCTTCATATGGGTGTCGCAAAATGGCTTAGCCACGCCTACCCAGAATCAGCCCCCAAGACACGTACGACCGACATGTCCGAAAATTGGTCTGCATGTGTATCGTGATCGGAGAAGAAAAAAAGCCTCTAGGAACCATAACCCAAACCCAACAGGAAGTCGGCCGTTTTGAGTTTCGTGGTAATTTTGTGCGATTTTTCCGCGTTGTATTTGAACAAACTCCTACTAGGGAATTTATCAGATCAACTTCAAAATTGGTCAGTACAGTCAAAAAACATTGCTGATTAAAAGTTGTGCTATTTGTGACTGTACGTTGAAGGGCGTGTCCATGGCATTGCATCGAAGTCAGCCATTTTGAATTTTTGGGTAATTTTCAGTGATTTTTCACGCTTCTATTTGAACAAACTCCTCCTATGGAATATATCAGATCAACTTCAAAATTAGTCAGTACAGTCATAACAAACTGATGATTAAAAGTTGTTCTTTTTGTGACTGTATGTCGAACAGTGTGCCCGTGAAAAGGGAAGTACTCATAACTTCAGTGTACATGGTCCAATCTCAATGAAACTTCATATGTTTTGATAAGAGTCCCACCCTGAACACGTCTACATGACAGTATTCAGATATAGTGATAGCGGCAGCAGGAAGTAAGCGCTGTGTGGCGATTTTGATCTGATTTACAATTTTCATGTTGTGGTCTGCACGTGTTAGGCTGGCATGTGACGCGGCCGCAGCACACCCCAACGTGCACCGAGTGCAAGGGCCCGTTCATCATCACTGTTTTCTTTTTGTCATTGTTCCAGCTGTACTGTACCCTTATTCTGAAGTCTTCTTTAACTTTATTAACTTCGATCTATAACTTTAAAAATAACTTTTATTTAATTTTCTTCACCGAATTGAACGGAATCCTGACATATTGGTTGATGGTATATATTGTTTCTTACACCACTTAAAATCAAGAAGGCCTCGCAGCCTCTAGTTTGGGTTGGGAACCAATGACCTTGGCCAGTGCTACACTGAAATGATAAAAATCATGTCAAAATTATGTTTAACTTTTTTAATTAGTCACTAAGAGGACTAAGCAATGCTAACTGCTCTGTTTATAAAGTTTATAAAGTGTTCACCATTTCATCTTCGTTGAGCGTGTCAGCTAGTAGATGTTAAGTAATCTTACTGTATGAGTAAATTTGGTCTATTCTTGGCTCACCAGAGTCATCCTCTGGGGACCATAACCGTCTGTATAAAGTTACATTGCTGTACATCTAGTTTTTGTAGTCTGGACCAAAGTGGTGGGCAGGCCGACCGATAGATAGACATTTCCATCCATAGGACCTTGCTGCTACCATGGCTAAAATGTATTTGGAATAGATGTATCGTACTGTCAGTGTAACTGTGGTTTTCTAATTGCGTCCCATGCTGCTGGGTGCAGGAGCGCCACATGGTGATGCATCGTCGAACCCACACCGGAGAGAAACCATACGCCTGCAGCCAGTGTGAGAAGACCTTCAGACAGAAGCAGCTGCTGGACATGCACTTCAAACGCTACCACGACCCCAACTTTGTCCCCACCGCCTTCGTCTGCCCCAAGTGTAGCAAGACCTTCACTCGCAGGGTGAGGACACTCTATCTAGCTGGCACAGATCTGAATTGAACTTGCACGGGCTAATAACGAATAACCTATAAAAGTCCACAGACTATCTAACGGTGTGTTCTTGTAGAACACCATGGCTCGCCATGCTGAGAATTGCAGCGGTGAGGTGGAGGAAGCTGAGAATGGAGCTCCAACCCCGAAGAAAGGGAGGAGAGGAAGAAAGAGGAAGATGAGGAGCAGGAGAGATGAAGATGACAGCGGTGAGAATTTGACTTTGTATTTGTGTTTGCTTAGCTCTGATTGGTCTATCTGATTGCTGCCTTTGTTGTATCTTTGTCATTCAGAGGAGGATCATGCCGATCCAGATGAGGACGAAGAGGAGGGCGAGGGTGAGGGTGAGGAAGAAGCATCACTGCTACAGGAAGAGGAGGAGGCAGAAAGCATGGAACTGGACCAGGCCCCTGCCGCCATCCCCGTACCGGCTCCCGACGAGCCACCGGTCAAGAGAAAAAGAGGCCGACCCCCAAAGAATGCCCCCAAGCCTCCGACACCCAGCAAGTCAGTCAGGGTGGCTGCCAAGACGACTGCTTCTGGTGAGAACACTGATGGATTTATTAGAAATAAGAAATATGTAAAGTTGTTGCTATTTTTATTGTCTTTAACCTGACTTGTTATCTTATCTTCAACTCTGCTGTGGAGAGTACAAGAAGACATGCAGTAACTTTAAATAAACAGGGACTTTTCTGTGGCAGCCATCACATCACACAGCCTTTCAGTAACTATTGTACTGCAACCTGAACTTATCTTCACACTTTATGGCTGATTAAAGTAACATAACTACCCCTCAAACACAGAGAAAGACTCAATTCCCTTAAGAAACCGGCACAGGTTACCCATAAGGCCACTTTTCTTAAAGGGAAAGGCTAGGCCAGTAAAACACACAGCGGTGGGTGTGCCAACCAGAACTGGAGGAAGTATTCAGCTCCATTACTTAAGAAAATGTACTGATACCACACTTTGAAAATGCTCCACGACAAGTAAAAGTTCTGCATTCAAAAGACCTTACTACGGTGCAAGTGTTAGAACAAAATATACAAAGTATGAAAAGTAAAAGTAGTGCAGTAAAATGTTCCCTCTCTATGTATGTTGCATTTTACTGCTGTAGATGTTTAACACTGAGCTCATTGTAACTACTGTATATACAGTTGGATAATTTAATCTACCGCATTGCATCATACTCTATATATCATCATATGTTTGTGCTATTTGAGAATTTACAGTACCGTTTATTCAGGGGCTTGGTGGTCTGTGGGGCAGTGCTTAAAAATATTTGATTAAATGTCACTTTCTCTTTGCAACTGTGGAAAGAAATCCCAGCTGCAGTAATTATCTCCATTACAGTTTTGGCAAGGTAAACAGTGTGTACAGTGCTACACAGCACAAGTATTGTACTGCATTGCATTATGATGTTGCCCTGTAGCAAAAGTCGAGGCGTGAACCTTCTTTTGTTTTAGCTGATATTGTCCAGTGCATGTGTGCTCATTAGATGAAAATATACAATTATAGTCTATAATCAGGTCATTTCAGTCATTGTCTCTGCACCTTCAGATAAATTCCATTCTTTCCTGTGGCAGCTGTGCCTGGATAACAGCACTAAAGTATGTCTTTGTTGTTGTGTCCTGTAGCTGCTGCCATCATTCAGGTGGAGGATGAGAGCACTGGAGCAGTGGAGAACATTATAGTGAAGAAGGAGGACGGCGACACCTCTGCAGCAACGCCTTTGGACCAGGGAGTAGCCCTGACTGTGGAGGGGGTGGGGCTAGACGGGGAAGGGGTGGAGACTGTTGAGCTGGCGGTGAATGAGGAAACGGCAGCCGCTAACGGAGACCTGACGCCGGAGATGATCCTCAGCATGATGGACCGGTGAACATGCCACACACATAGACGGACTATAAGTCAAATTGGCAAATCCACATTACCACACCCACATCCCTGACCTTCACCTGATGGCAGCCATGAAGTGGCTGCAAAAAACTGGTGGCAGCAAAACAACCATGCACAAAGAAGGGAAGCCACATGTAAATACTTCCACAGTAACTTCACACCCGTATACATCAACCTGCATACGGATGTTTGTGGGTCTCTCTCTCACACACACACACACACACACACACACACACACACAAAATACCAGATCCCACTGCACATACTTGTCATCTCACACATCACACACAAATATCGTCCAAGCTAACAACAGACTGCTCTCTGCTCTTAAATGCTGTCTTTCAGTTTGAATGTCTTCTGGATGAATCATTGTGTGTTTTGCTACTCATTTCTACCCAAAGCCACATCCTGTGTCAACCTCTACCCACACACACTGCAGTTTATGTTCAGCAGTCTACATTGCTCTGCCAAAAGGAGACATTATTTGATCTACCTTCACTTTGATTTTCTGCTGTCCTGCTTGCTGTTCTTGCAATTATGCTGATTTAGCAAATTCCAAGCCTTTATATGTGTATATATATATAGATATAAATGTAGTTTTTCTTAATGAAACGTAGTATATGGTACTTGCGTTTGCCTGTGAGATACCACCCACGCTCAATCATATGATCTGTGCCCACTCCCCTCCTACTTGGCCTGTGTAAACAAATGGTCCATGTTGTGGTGTTAATAGTTGGCTGGTTGCACATGGAGTCTTTCATATTGGGACATTAAGAGGGATTCTTCTTTATACATGAGCCAACGGGCACAGGCAGATCCAGTCATTTTAATGGCACAGTTTTTCTGCTTTCTAGTTCATCTGTTCAACATCCATGCTGCCAGCACCCAACTCTGTCAGCTCATGCTAATCAAAGACTTAAGATAGCTGTTAATTTAGTTTCCCAGCACCAACAATGTTTGAGATGAAGTTTTCAGCTGTTTTCTATTAACTCCTACCTATCACTGATGGAAGATATTCTCCCTTTTCACATTTTGAAGGAGAAAGTAGATGGTTTGCTATCACAAACTGAATGATCCCTCTCGGTTGGAGAAAATCCAGATCGTCCTGATTTAGTTGGTAAAACCTTAAACTGTAGTTGTAATTTTGAACATTCCAAATACTTCAATTAACACAGAATGATGTCTGTGCATTTGAATCATCTCACTTGAAGTAACCAGCTCTAACATTGTTTTGCAAGCCATTCTTTAATTTTCCTTTATGCACTTCCCAGTTCAGTTCTCAAAGATCAGATAGTGAATCACCCACAGAATAATCACTGATCACCAACTGTGGCAGGTGGTTTGCATGTGCACAGTTTAAACCCTCGGCTTTTTGATTTATTGTGAAGCTTTTTTTATGTTTTTAAATCTGGACGTGTTGGTTAACAAGGTAAACATGTTAGTGCCATAGCTGGTATTCCTGGACCTCTCCATCGTGCTTCCCTTCCACAGCTGTGCCCCTCTTAACCAACCAAACGGAACTTAATCTCAACCACTACCAGTTTTCTGTCTATATTCTGTTGCTCATAGCCATTTTGTATTACAGTTTTTATTTCAGGCCATTCTCTAGTTGCCGCTGTGTTTCTTTGTGGTTGGTTCAGTTCAGTAGTATGACTGAAGCTATGAGTCATTCTGTCCTCCTTCTAACCTTTCGGCCTGAAGGTGTCAGGCCGCCTATAAAGGAACAAGAAGTTTAGAAGTTTGGCACCCATCTAAACATGTACATTGTATGTAAGAACAACAAAACCGCTTTCTTGTTCTTTTTTCTGACAGGTTTTGATACTGTTTTTGGAAGGATGAGCTGGGTGTTTAGTTTGCTGTACCCTGGTCTTGCAGTTCCACTAGCCCCCAGCTTTCAGATAGTATCCAATATCAGCTGATACTGAGGTATGTCCTCACCTTCGCCCAGGCCCTCATTTGATTTCCACAAACACAAGGTTGAGACTGTTTGTGTGAGACTCTGAAGATCCTTAAACCAGGGCTAAAAACGCTTGACAGTTTGAGCAAAGGTTGTGTTGTGGCCTGTATATTGGTTAGATGTCCAGCATTGTTTAAAGGGGGGGGGTCTGAGAATCAATGTTCAAATATGAAATTGAAAATCACTCCGAAACATCAATGACTGTACTGCTGGGTCTGAGATCTCATTCTGGAAAACAAAAGAAGGCAGTGTTCTGTTATCAGTCTATCATGTTAATGTTCTGCAGGCGGACGGATGGAAGATGGATGTTTGGATGTTTTTTTGTTTTTTTTGTACATGGCTTGTTTGTTTTGGCAGAAGAATTGAGAGAACCAGTTTTAATATGGTTTTAAACACCCCCCTGTTTTAAGACCAAGAAAACAAAAGAAACCTTTGTCATATCATTTTTGAAGATGAGACACTGTACAGCTGATGAAAAATAAAATCATCCTAATGGGCCCATGACTGCTATGGTTCTTTAGTTGTCTCTCACATCAAAACAATAATAAAACTGCGGGATCATGGGAGTGTTCATGGTTCAGGAGGTTTCTACCGGGAGCCCAACTATCCACAGAGGTCTCCTCCTCTCCAGCACAAACAGACCCGCTGATTAAAACCACTAAACACACTGAATAAAGCAGTTCCACCTTAACAATCACTGCTTCTCCCACACTGTTGGACAGACAAAGGACGTCCTGGAGGAGCTGCAAGCCGAGCTAATGCTAACATTAGCTCAGCTTGTTTCTCTGATAACTTAAGATCCAGACGTCTGATGACTAAAATCCTTAAAAAGCACCAAGAAACAGTCAATGTATGACAGATAGAGCTAGAGTTTATACACTGTTTAATGATTATAGATTACTGATTGAATCAACTACATATAGAACATAGAGCTAGAGTTTATACACTGTTTAATGATTATAGATTACTGATTGAATCAACTACATATAGAACATAGAGCTAGAGTTTATACACTGTTTATTGATTATAGATTACTGATTGAATCAACTACAAATAGAACACAGAGCTAGAGTTTATACACTTATACACAACCTCAAAACATCAATACTGATTTTCCTTCATATCCTTTGTGCTTTTTTTGACAATATAGAAGTAAAATGGGTGTTAAATTGCGTATAAAAATGTGTTGAACCTAATTGAGCCATCTCTACCACTCAGTTCAGGTCTTTCTTACTTATAGGAAGTCATTCCAGACATGAGGACTCTTTGGTGGAATTTTGAAAGGTAAGCATATATAAGGGTCAACGGTCTTACTGAACAGAATTATTGAACTGAATAAAAAATAACTTATCAATTGTCTTTTCATGGTTCAAGTAATAAAGCCAACTAATGTGATTTAAATTGACTATTTGCTACTAAATAGTGTTCATTGTTAATACAATACATTTAATTATTATATATTATTATTCCATCATATACATGCTGAAATTACTGTATGAGTTATTTCTTTTGTCTAAAAACCTGCTTGACCAAACATTTGAATTATCCTGTAGCAACAAAGTATTCTTTTTTTAAATAGTTTTATTTCAGCAAATTCATGGTTCCACAAAATATTCAATCTTTTCCCCCCCTTTTTTTCTATATATTACATCCCCCCCTTGCTACCAACAGTGACAGCAGGAAGGCAGTGATAATGTTTGATGTTATTCCATTATATAATTGATGAAAAAGACATAATATCAGCACGATTCTTTCATAATAAAAGAAACTGGGGGGTATGTGTATAAAATAAAAAATAATTTCTCCAGTAGGGAATTAGTAAAGGTAAATCTTAGAAAAGTCTGTTACAAAAAACATTGTTATATAAATAAAAAATGCAAAGAATAAAGTTCCATTGCTTTTTCTTAGTAAGGACTTTAAGGAAGTTAGGTCTCCTTCTCTCTCACTGGAAAAAAACCCATAATCTATGAATATAGACTTACTTTTCATTTTAAAACTAAAAACACATATAATATATAAATTAATATAATAAATAAGCTCCACCTCAACAAGAAACAACATTAAATGCTTCTGACTTGTCAGATTATTTGTAATAATAATCCAATGTGTGTAATTTATGTATAATGCAACACACTGTTTGGGGCCATTCTGATTACTTTTCTTGTTATCTTTAAAGGCCCAACATTGAGGAGGATCTATTGTCAGAAATGGAATATAATATTCATAGGTGTGTTTTCATTAGTGTATAATCACCTGAATATAGGATGGTTGTGTTTTTGTTACCTTAGAATGAGCTGTTTGTATCTACAGATGGAGCGGGTCACCTTCCATGGAGGCCGACATGTTTCTACGGTAGCACAGAAGGGACAAACCAAACACTGGCTCTAGATAGGGCAGTTTGCTTTTTCTTGCTCGTTTCACAGCCTTCGTAGTTTCTCTGACACACTTGGAAGGGGAGGGTGACACATGGGAGTGGACATCTATAATTACACCGCTAGATTCCACTAAGTCCTACACACTTAAGTATATCTTATAGAGCTTAAACCTTTGTACTGTTATCTAAATGTGTTAGGACATATATACAAATAGTCTGAAGGAACAATAATGTGTGTCTGATGTGTGTTTTTTTCACAAAAAAAACATATATTCCACATTAAAATCCTTAAAAAGTCATCTCCCCCTTCTACCTCTTTAAGAAATCCAGAATCTCTGAATATACAAATGTTGTTCATTTCTAAAGTTTTCCTGCTGGACACAAGATGTCTCCTACTTCACTGTAAAGTCCATTCTCAGTGGATGTGCGCTGGTGGCTTCAAGTTTCTACATCACGCTGTACAAGTTGATACTGGACCAGGACTGACTTCCAAACTATTTGTGATGTCACAAATCCCGCTGTTAGCGCCCCGCCCCTTAAAATCAGCTTGTCACTGAGCACAGAGAAACTTTCCACTTTCAACAGATGAATGTGAAAACATCCTTTTAGAGTCAAACTCTGCACAGACAGCATTCAAACAGCACACTGTAGGGACAAGAAGAAACACTGATTTCTGACTGGAGGGGAGCTTCAAACCGCAGTAGGCAGTGTCTGAGTGAGGATTTTTGCATTGAAGTGAGGATAAATGCTAAATGTTTTAAATGTACAATGTAATTTTTTCCTATATATATATTATTTTTCGGGGGCTTTTTGTCTTTATTTGACAGGACAGCTTAAGATAGACAGAGAGAGGTAGAGAGAAAAGGGGGGGGATGAAATAGAACAAAGGGCCACAGGTTGGACTCAAACCCACGGCCACTGCAGCAAGGACTGAGCCTTTGTATGTGGGGCTCCAGCTCTACCAGGTACAAATCATTTTTACTGGATGTTTTAGTGCCCCCTGGTGGTTAGAGGTCAGGCCGTGCATGTAACAGTACTGCTGCCTCTGCAGAGTTCACACCACCTGTTAGTGGTAAAGATTATATCCTCTGATATGAATCCTTCAGCCACTGCCAGGCTCTTTTGCACTGGTGTTTGCCTGCGTGTCTGATTCTTCAGTGCGTTCCCATCAAGCATTCAACATCACTACAGTTTGAAGCTGGTCTTGGTGAAGGTGCAGATTTCCTGACTGTGGTGTGTTTCTCAGTGTGGGAGGGGGAGCGAGGTTCCTTACAACCTCAATCTCTTTCACCGTCACTACGATAGTGACTCACAATGTGAGACAGGATGTGTTAAGTTCATGAGCAAAAAGTGCGTGCACGCAATAAGCAAGAAAAGATGACGTGTGTGCACGTATCTGAGTGGAAAAGAGAGAGCGTGGGTTATATGCAGATGTGCATCTATGAGGAAGAGATCTGGTAATAGCTTGTGTGTGTGTGTGTGTGTGTGTCCACACCTTTGATATTTTCACCCTGTGTGTTCAGATATCTGCTGCCACGCATGCACACCTTCGTCCTCTGAGCTCTACTCTTCAGGATGATTACAGATTCATAATGGTTGTCTCGTTCAGATTGGATTTATCTCTTTTAAGGCTGGACATATGAGTAGTTAATTACATGTTGAGATCCCTCCATTATTTCTTCCCTGTGTACTGACAATGTGGTGTAAAACACTCACCAGTTTCCAGTCAGGGTAGTTGACTTACGTTGGAGGTGGGACCCTGGAGGAGCAGCTGAGGATCACAGCTTGACTATTGTGCATTTTCCCATCAGTACCGGCGCTTTATGGACAGCATGGACTGTGTCTCTCAGAACCTGCGAGGTAAGACAAGCCAACTTCAACATCTGTGCTCTTTTATCTAGGGGACAGTTTGAAGATGTGAGAATAGAACAGTCTGTGATCTTCAGCTCTGGGAACTAATGGCTCCTAAAGTCATGTTTTACCCCAGGTAACTGCACATCACATATTCTTACACTCCACTATTAGCTAGTTAAAACGGATGCGCTCTAATCCAACAGGCCTGTAATAAAGCCTACATTCACTATCTTGTTCAGTTTTTGTTCAAACCCTTTTAGAAAGATGTCTGTGCTCACTGTAATGTTGAATTGTATCGTGTTATACTGATAGGTGCCACTCTAGGGCAGGCTAAATGTTAAAAGTAAAGAATACTTGTTTATGGCCTAAAAGATTCCCCAATGCTGATGTGATCCTACATGTGACAGTATTCCATTATCTATGGAAAAGTGGGTGCAGCAGTTAGTCAGTGAGGGGATAACTGTTAACTGGTCAGAGAATAAATGTGCATATTATCAGAGAGACCACACTTTACTGCACCAAACATCAGTCGGACTGGTCTACAGCATTAGACTCACTGTTACAAAGGTCAGATGTGCTCACAGGTTAACCACTCTGTCAGCTAACAGCTGTGTTTCCACTGTGACAGTTGGCGACACCAACAGACAAAAAGAGAGGAAAATGACTCAACGTGTGGTTTGTTAACAATGTTATGAACCGAGTAAAGAGACAGGAAAGAGGCCAGAGAGCACAGGGTTCTTTGGCGTTGTTTTTCTGTTATTGCTTCCACTGTTGATGTGCAGAAATCCTCCAAGGCGTCACTCAGTATGAACATGTCTCTGAAGCTCTGTGCCAAAATATAGCCACAGGACAGGAGAGAGTCTCTGTGAATCAATCTCTGCAAATGTTGTTGATTTCTGAAGTTTTGCTGCTGGACACAAGATGTCTCCTACTTCACTGTAAAGTCCATTCTCAGTGGATGTGCACTGGTGGCTTCAAGTTTCTACATCACACTGTACAAGTTGATACTGGACCAGGACTGACTTCCAAACTATTTGTGATGTCACAAATCATGCTGGTAGGCCCCGCCCCTTAAAATCAGCTTGTCAATGAGCACAGAGAAACTTTCCACTTTCAACAGACGAATGTGAAAACATCCTTCTAGAGTCAAACTCTGCACAGACAGCATTCACACAGCACACTGTAGGGACAAGAAGAAACACTGATTTCTGACTGGAGGGGAACTTTAATTTTCTGCTATAGAAAATATTTTAAGTTTCCTTTTTCCATTGCCTTTTCCCTGCCAGGAATAAGTCTGTTTGTGTAAATACTGTAGTGAAAGGGTTGCGCCCATTTCAGAATGGAACTGTCAATCTTTAATACATTTCTATTTATTATTTCCAGTTATACATGGTGCCATTTATCAAATATGAACTGCACCTTAAAAAGGTCCAGTATGTAGCATTTAGTGGCACACAATGGTGCAGTTCGAGATCACAACTCCCTCGCTTCACCCTGCCCTTTTAAGTGCAAAGAAGATACTACAGTGGCCACAAAACACATGAAAAACGCTAGTTTCTCCATTCTGGGCTGATGTAGAAAGGTTCAACATGGTGGCCTCTACGTACGGTAAACTGCTCGCTCCGCATATATAAACAACTCATTCTAAGGTAATGAAAACACAACCTTTCCTATATTCAGTTGATTATACACTAATGAAAACATACCTATGTGTCAGGGGCTAGTGTTATGGCTGGACCCAGGAGCAGACACACAGACAGGATGAGGGTTTTAAGGGGCTTTATTAAAGACACACACGGGAAAATGAGGGGCGGCCTCGGCAGGAGTGGGCTGGAGAATCGGCAGGGAGACCGAAGACACAGAAGCACTGGAGAGCCGACTCAGGGAACCGAACAGCACGGGAGGCTGTGGAACTGGCAGAGGGACCGAAGACACGGAGGCACTGGAGAGCTGACTCTGGAACCTGAACTGCACGAGAGGGATCCCTGAAACTCAGGAGAGATAGGATCCCAGGGGAGAGCAGGTACAGGAAAATCACACGGAGCAAGCTACTCACTGAGAGGTGGCACGGGAGTACCACCAAGTCCACTGAAAAAACAATCTGGCGCCGAATGAAAGGAAGGCCGGGGTTCTTGAGGGCTGAGACTAACATGTAGATTGGGAGCAGGTGAGACAGGGCACAGGTGAGGTGAAGACCGCACCCTCATTAGACACACACACAGGGAAGGAGGAGGAGCAAAGGGAGCAGGTGAGGAGCTGAGCCATGACACCATTCCATTCTGACAATAGATCCTCCTCAACGTTACACACTGGACCTTTAAAACAAAGCCATAGCACACTGAAAGTAAAAAAAAATAAAACAATAATTCATTATCATTGAAAGTGATGCTAGTGAACTACACTTCACTACACTTCTTCACACTTCAATGCGGCTAATTGTTTAGACACTTACTCAGAAAACGATATCCAGTCTTTAGTATTAGTATTTTGCAACATAAGGCTTCCAATTGGTTTTAATACAAAAAAAATTCAAATACATTTAAAAAAAGCCACATTGTTATCCGAGCACAGTCAAGCCTCTTTAGCAACACCTGAACTTAAATTACAGTAATTTTCTCTGTTTGTTCTCTGTGGTCTAACAGCTCCATGGATTCCTTTCATGGCAATACATTTGGGCAATTTATAGCTGACAGTCTTGAGTTTGAAAGTATACTGTAGATTTTTCCTTTACAGTTACTATGGCTACCTTGGCTTCCTTGTCATCCAATGCCCCCCCAAAAAATTGTATGTGTGTATCACACCAAAGCGTGTAATACACACATCATTCCACTGTGGCAGTGTCATGTTTTCAACACGTTCTCATTCCGACAGGTTAGCAATGATATATGTGCAAGGACACTTACACTTTCAAAATAAAGCTTGTTGCAGTTTGGTTAGGTTCAGGAAAAGATTGTGAATTGCATAATACCTGACATAAGTTGTGTACTCTTCACGTCTAGGTGAGGCAGAATGTGACACTGACACAGTATCTTCTAGTGCAGTGGTTCTCAAATGGGAGTGCACGTACCCCTAGGGGTACCTCGGAGTACTCAGTCATGCATAATTCTCAAAATAATTAACTAAAATAATTTAAATAACAAATTTAAATTCAATTTTAATAAACCACATTTTGTATACAGTATTCCTGTTTTCAATGCGATCATTAACTGCTGTAAAACCTCACAGAAGAAGAAGAAGAAAGGCAATGATGTTTGCTCACTGTTAGCAGGAAACCAGTTTCGATTTTAAATGACAGATGAAAAGCAAGTAAATGTATTTGTGGTTGAAATGTAGCAGCAACAGAGCTGAAAACAAGGAGAAAGAAGTGAAAGGAAAGCGAAACAGGGCCAAGAACTACTGTCAGTATCATAAAGAATATGTTTTAATGCGATTTACCTCAACGAACCCCAACCCTCCCAAAGCACTGTGCTTTTACAGTTACAAGGTTGTTTAATAAATCAGACACTGATGGTGCAGGGCTGTATTTTGCCTCTTTATATAGGCTTTTTTTCTGCGCTGGTGGGGGGGGGGGGGTACTTGACTAAAAAAGTATTTCAAAAGGTGTGCATTTTTGAAAAAAGTTTGAAAACCACTGCTTTGGTAAATGAGTGGGTCCATTACAGGCTCTGGTGTGAGATTGGCCATGTGTGGTGCCTCTTAGCAATGCTGCTAAATACACGGTGGAAACTCAAAGAAAGAGTCTGCTCAATCCTGCACTACTACTGAGAGACGCCATGCAAAGTTTGTGCATGTGGAATATTCCAGTCAGCCCGCATTAGCTGATCTCTCTGACTCTAAACAGGTTCTGACCTGTGGAAGACGCATTAAAACTCTTTTTATATGGATGGTAAATGGACCTGTACCTGTATAGCGCCTTTCTAGTCTTCTGACCACTCAAAGCGATTTTACACTACGTGCCACATTCACCCTTTCACACACATTCACTCAGTGGTGGCAAAGTCCATCTAACAGAAACTAATCATTCACACACCGATGCACAGCATCAGGAGCAATTCGGGGTTCAGTATCTTACTCAAGGACACCGACACGTGGCGCGAGGAGCCGGGGATCGAACCAACAACCTTCCGATGAGTGCCTCTGAGCCACAGGTTGATCCCATGAGCTATGCAGAGGATAGGGGATGATGAAGGTCCAGCAGTAGTCATCATGACAGATACTTGGGTTCAGTCATCCTCACAGTGCAACTGTTTTTGTCTGTGACCCTGTAAGCAGATGAGATCTCAGAGCTGCTGAAGCCTCACAAAGTCTGTCTGGTGGCACCTGTTGTCCTGAATCACTCCAGTCAGACGTGTGGGAGATCGGCCAACAGGATTGTGGTGAGTGATGGACAGATTCGCTCCTGGGACAGTGAAATCTAATACTGAGTTTCTTATACTTACTGAAACCAGGTATCACAGGTTCAGAGTTTTTAAGTGCAAAATACTGTAGATGTGATGTTTTAATCAAAGAAGCAGAAGTCTGATGAATACAGGTGTGTGTGAAGGACTGGTGAGCACAACTGACCCTTCATTAGTCCCGCCCCTTTTTGCTGTGAGCTCCAATAAGAGTTGAGCAAGCATCGGTCAGAACCTCGGTCAACTTCCTCCTTTCCTGTACTTGCTTCCTGTGTATGCTATTTGCTAGGCTAATCTCTGTTGGAAAGACAACCACATTGTGAAGACGATTAAAAGATAAAAGTGACATATAGTCATATATAGTCACATCTTAAGTTTGATACTTTTAGCAAAACATAAGTTAACAGGCTAGCTAACAATTGATGTAAATTAGCTAGTTATCTTGCATTATGCCAACGTTAGCTTTCAGATGTAACTAACGTTAGGTAGCTAACAATTGATATAGACAAGCTAGCTAGTTAGCTAACCATTTGCTCTTAGCACAATACTTGCTAACTAGCTAGCTAATGATTGCTGAAGATTAGCTAGGTAGCTAGTTAGCTAGTCTTTTGCTCTGTAGCAAAACGCTTGCTAACAAGTTAGCTAATGATTGACGTAGTTAGCTAGCATTTTGCTTTCATTGGCTGACTGAAGATCTGACTATATATATGACATTCTTATCTTTTAACCATCTTCAAAATGAGGATGTCTTTTCAACGCAACTCGTCTCACAGGTTCTCATGGATCCTGGTGGAGCCTCCCGCCACGGTCCTGCTAGACTGCCACTGCTAATATCACTGATATTATTGTTATTATTATTATTATTATTGTCTCCCATCGCTGTGGCGGTTGTCATCGTCATCATCTTCTTCACGTTCATCATCATCATCATCATCATCAGTCACTACTATTAGTGCAGTTATTGCTACTGTTGTTGTTGTGCACCTGTGTCTCTGTCTCTGTCCTTCTCTCTCTCTCTCTCTCTCTCTCTCTCTCTCTCTCTCTCTCTCTCTAAAGATAACTTCTGTTATAAATTGGCGCTATACAAATAAAATTGACCTGAATTGAATTGAACACAGATTAGCCTAGCACATAGCATATCTAAGTACAGGAAAGGAGGAATTTGACTGAGGCTTGCTCAACTATCAGGAAGGGTCAATTATTGTGGTATTGTGTATTGTGATCCTGTCCTGTATGATTGCTTTGGTATGTCACTGTGTATATGTTCACTGTGTGTCACTTGGTTTGTGGTATTTTGTTTAATTTTGTCTAGGAATATGCATCTAAAGCACAATATCAACTGGCCTTTCACCTGCACAGTTACCTAATCTTAGACTGCGTTTACGCTGCAGGCCGCTCAATTCTGATTGATTGCTCAGATCTGATTTATTTTGTTTGGCTATTTTTTAAATGAGGCCTATATCACAATCCAGTGTGAACACACCACGGTCCTAAAGTGCCCCACATGACCTAGAGTGAATAGAATAGAATTCTGATATGACTGTTCACACTGAGGTCACACTGCAAGAATCAGACCTGTATCTGATTTAGACCACATATGAAAGTGGCCTGAATCAGAATAGAAAAGATCAGATTTCATGTGGTTTTTCATGCTGTCATTAAAATCTGATCTGAGTCACATATGAGCAAAAAAATCAGCCTGCAGTGTGAACATAACATTAGTTGTTGAAGGGCCATGAGTCAAACTAAACTAACACACAACAACCCTGATCAATACCGTATACTGTAACCACCATGTTGTGCCTGTCGGGGGAGCCACAGGTCTGTCAGTCCCATACCTGATGAGTTGTCTCTGTCTAGGTCCTGAGTCTATGGAGAGGTTACCTGGTTATAAACAAACAACCTGTCAGGGTAAATATCACATTGTTAACTACACCAACACCCATCAGCACATTTTATGAGACAGTTTGAAATATGTTTTATTTTTCTCACTGACTTTAATCGGCTCATTCTGACCTTTTCTGGACTATTTATTTAGCTTTTTATGTGAAATATTCAATAGTTTTCAACAATTATTACAATGCCATAAACTCAGAAATTGAATTTCTAGACATTTGAAAGCTGTGTTTTCAAGCAGAGTTGACAGTATCTCAGACTTGACAGTATGGAAAAAGTGTGGAATTTTATTTTAGTAATTTAGTATTTGGTATTTTTAGATTAGTTTTTTATGTATGTAAATAAATTGTCTCTGTGTACTTCTGTTGCACACTCGCTTGTATTTGAACTGAATTAATTTTTTTTGAGTACAGGTGGAGAGCACTTTCAGCTACCTGGAGATTTGCTCCATCAACATTCACAGTCTCACCGAGGTACACTCCAGATCAAAATCATACTTTTCTACAATATTTAATCAAGGTTTCTTTTCTTTATTGTATATTTTACCCAGTTAGATTCTATTTGTTTAATTATTATTATTCCGTAACACACTAGTTGCTGTTGAAAACAGAAATAGCTTATTAACAATAATTGTGAAATATTGTGAGAGGAAATTACAGTCTTTACATTCTACTTAAAGTTAAAAAAGCTTATGGCTTTTATGTTTGAGTGAGCATCATAAATGTGTGACGCGGCGTGCTTGTTTCAGATTGTGTTGGAGACAGACAGGCAGACTCTGTCTTTCAGCGCATTGCATGTTGAGGATCTGGAGTCCATGGTCGGTCACATGACTGCCTCACTGAAGAGGATCTTCCCTGATTCCTCTCCAGGGTGGGTCTCATTCCACAACCTCCACATCAGTGATCAGATAAGCTACAAGCTCATATTCTACGTGCATTTTTACATACAGCATCCCTCTTCTGGGGCCATGTGTATATGCTGATGAAAACCTCTGTATATGGATATTCTGTAGTGTTAATTGATTCAGGTCCAAATCTTGACATTTTAGTGCAAGGTATTTAAATTCTACATATTGTGGTATAAATGTTCATAGCGACTGCCCTCTAGTTGAAACCCTGCTATTGCAATTGAATTTTGCTATTGGCTGATCTGGAGGCATAAAAGCAACATCTATATATTCAAATCTTAGCTTAGCTAATGTTAAAAAACACTAGCTAACAAGCTAGATAATTTACATTGCTAGCTAGATAATTACCCAGCATTTTTCTACTAGCTAACTAACAAAAAATATAGATTAGCCGGCTAGTTAGCTAGCGTTTTGCTATACTTTGCAAACTTAAAGCTGCTGTAGGTAACTTTTTAACTTTTCGTCATATTCACTGAAACGTTCACTATATCCTGACAGTAGGACATGAGACAGATAATGTGTGAAACAATCAGGTTCCTCTGGCTCCTCCTAGTGCTCCTAATGGGATTTACAAGAATCTACCGGGCCTGAATGAAAACAACCAATCAGAGCAGAGGAAAATAGTTGATTGCTGAGTCTTACCAGCGCATCAAATACAGACGCGTTGGGACTCTGGGAATGAGATTCAAACAATCAACTATCTTCAAGCCACCAACAAAAAGTGTCTTTGTGTCTTTCTTGTTGTGTGTGTGACCCTGGAAAAATAGCTGTTACTTTAGCAGCAGCTAATGGGGATTCAAGAATAAAGAAAAAGAACAGAAAACATTATCCCTGCTAGACATCAGCATGTTAGCTTAGTTACTTTAGTTTAGTGTGTCTAGCCTCACAGGCTTGTTATACAGTACATTTCTCCTCCAGAAAGCTGTTGAAGACGATTGCTCCAGATCTCCAGCAGAGACTCCTCACACAGACTGCTGTGGTCGAGGAGCAGATCAACAGTCAGCCTGGCTACTGTGGTACGTGCTTTTCATTGTGCAGTACAGGTGATCAGATGATGATCAGTGTCTATGTTCACACGTAAGAAGCCATTTGTTAACTTCCCCCCTCAGCGAAAGCTAGTGACGATATTGTCAGCTTCTTAACAAGCTGGCCATAGTATTTTTTCCTTATTTGTGAACAGCTGATGAGCACATTTACAGAGATGATCAATGATACATTGACCACTCCAGGAAGCTCATGTATTTGCGGATAGATAGTGTTTGAATGTGTGTTCCCTAGGAGGATTCTCTGATACCTACGCTGCTCTGTGTGATTTCAATGAGATGCCATTTAGAGAGGAGATTCAGTGGGTAAGTTTCACTTCTCTAATGCAACGTCACTTTTTTTGCCATAAATTACTTGAACCCGTTCAGAAGCCAATTCCAGTTATGTTTCAAACACACAAAAAACATTGTAATGGTGAATTTCTACGCTAAATGTACTAAATGTATTTTCTGTATTTATTAATGAGCAAAGTGATACACATTGCAGGAATATTTTGTGTTATTTTAACAAAATACCCCCCACACACACCTGGGGTCATGAAACCTTCTTGATTTTAAGAAGTGTAAGAAAACTTTAAAAATATACACAGTAGGTCTATATCTCAGCATTTAGTTCATTTCTGTGAAGAAAACTGGATGAAATTGTTGTTTAAAGTTAAGATTTCTATTTAAGATCTAAAGTTATTCAGAGAGCCTTCACTCTGTGATAAACAGTCTCGTCCTGTATTAGAAAAGTTAAAACAACCAAAGAGCTGATAGACCAATGAGGACAAATCACTCAATGTATTGAAGCCTATTAAGAATTTTAAAAACACATAATACAGACAGAGAATTGTGTAAAAAGTCATCTCTGATCAATATTCACAGGAAATAAATTGCTTAAAATTCATCCAAATCTCAGGTTTTACACAAACTTCCTGCAGTTATTGTGTTCACTGTTTGGGTTCATTGTACAGTCAGCTGTTCTGTACTGTTATTGTTATACACTGAATATAAAATAAAAAAATATATATAACATATTACTTAATCAGTAGATTAGAGAAGGGAACAACAGTTGGGAACCAGTGTGTTAAGTGACACCTATAACCCAATGGTATCATTGGTGTATCCAAATAAAGCACGGCTAACTGTTTTGGCAGGACATCGACAACATTTACTACATCAACAACTGGAGACAGTTCAACCTGCAGGACTTCAGCCACTTAGACAGCAGGTGAGATACAGGACAGTGTTGTTTCATCCAGTCTTACCTTACGGACTCTGTTTATATTCATCTCCTCGTTCCACATCCTTTCTCTTCTCCTTTCCTCTCAGGGACTTGGCATTAGCAGTAGCAGCTCTGTCTTTCAACCAGTGGTTTACCAAGATCTACTGTAAAGAACTCAAACTGGTACACTCTCTTCTAAGTTCATTGTATGTGTTGTTCTGTTGTTTAAGAAATAGTGCCACGTACATGGAAGCCCATAAGCTCATGTGATGGAAAAATTCACCTGTTCATAGTTATGTAATCTGTTGGATTGAAGTGTTGAGACTGGATGACCAGTTTCTTTAAAATGTCTTAAAATGACATCATATGATTTCTGTGTATGGCACTTATTGTGTTCTAAATGGTCTGCCTGTTTTAATATTATATTGAAGCCCACATGGGCACGAGTGAAGATAAATCTCAGCAACAGATGTGCCTGGTGCTGTAGGAGTGGCTATATCCGCTGCTATACCGGGAATGGACCCTTCCTAAGTCGGGCCCCTGTTGGAAGCTCGGTCAGCTTCCTCCTTTCCTGTACTTAGATATGCTATGTGCTAGGCTAATGTTGAAAAGACAACCACATTTTAAAAATGGTTAAAAGATACAAGTTAGCTAATGTTAGCAAAACACTAGCTACATCAATTGTTAGCTAGGTAATTAAAATAAATAGAAAAAGCGTTTGATAACATTAGCTGTGTAACTAGCTAGCTAACGATTAATGTACGTTAGGTTAGCTAGCTAGTTAGCCAGTATTTTGCACTCTATAATATAGTTTTAATACACCACAGAATTAATATTCTGACTTTGACTTTGTTACTGGTGTGAAAAGGTCTGACACAGCACCAGGTTAGCGCTATTAAACGTTGCTCTGCTGGACTGCTGGAAGCATTTTAAACTGAATGACACACAGCCATTTACAGGAAGATGAGCCGGTCACTGCTTCCAGTATTATCCCACCAGCAGCCTGCAATAGTCTCCCCTGGTTCCTGGTTTCAAGGGTTTTTGTGAATCTATGGGAAATGTATCGCCACATTTCACTAACTCCATTCCACTCGTTGTTTGGAGCCATAAAAATAAAATGTAGTAATACCAGACTGGGCTGTCCGTCTTTGTCCCTTCAGTCAGTAGACGTCCAGCAGCAGCTGACTTTCCTGCTGTCCAGATCTCCCAGTCTGGAGGAGCTCTCACTGGAGGCCAGTGGACTCAAACTGTGAGTTTGTGCAAGTGTGTGTGTGTTTGTGTGTGACTGTAGGAATATAACAAACAACAAGCTTCAGCTTTTCTTTGAGGGGATTTTGTCTTGAGGAAGTATTAAGGAGTATTTTCTTTCTTTTTTCTGAAGTCTTAACAGTCAATCAATGATCAAACTATGATCACTTTAAATTAAATAATTAAAATTAAAATAATTGTCAATAAAAATAGCCAGCCCGATTTTGTACCAACTTGCAAATATGTGATTAAGTTTAAATATTATATTATGTATATTATATAAAATATTTGTTGCTCATTTGCTGGGGACCCCATACAACCCACTCAAGGACCTCTGACCAAGAGACACTGTAGGACTGGGTTAGGGAAATACTGCTCAAGAAAGAATTAAACACAAGCTGTTTCTAAGTCTGGTTTTACAGGGATTGATTGAGATTGAGAAGTAACCTTGGTATTCTGCTGCAGGGACTTTGCAGTGAAAATGGCAGCTGCCCTACGTGAGCACACCTCCTCTGCCCTGCAATACATCAACCTGTCAGGAAATCCAATCGAAGACAAAGGTGGGCACTTTATACGTCACATCTGAGTGGTATAAGCACGGTATTAGAATAGATCAGTTGTTGTAAGCCATTTTGAGGCAAGTAGCCAGTTCTTCTGCTTGCCTTTCTCTGTGAAGTTCTGCCAGTTTGTGAAATGGGCAGCTTCAGAATTTATCTGGAATAAAATTTGGCATCTTGTCGAGCCTAGGGTCAGTTCACCCAAATAACAAAAAAAAAAAAAAAGACCTCTGGTAGTATCTAGCCATGCTTGATCTATTCCTGTAATGTATGGGGGGCAGGAGTGTGTAGTGTGTAACATTAGAGAAGATCTATTGTCAGAAATGGAATAATAACATTCATAGTATGTTTTCTTTAGTGTGTAATCACCTGTGTAAGTTTGACTGTTGGAATCGTTATGGTAAATGGTAAATGGACCTGTACTTGTATAGCACCTTTCTAGTCTTCCAACCAATCAAAGCGCTTTTACACTACATGGCACATTCACCCTTTCACTCAGTGAAGTCCATCAAACAGAAACTAACTCATTCATACACATTCACACACTGGAGCAATGCAGGGTTTAGTATCTTGCTCAAGAATACTTTGACATGTGGCAGGAGGAACCAGGGATCGAATCAACAACCTTCCAATCAGGAGACATCCCGCTCTGCCTCTGCACCACAGCCGCCACTGTTATGTTTTTGTTACCTTAGAATGAGCCATTGTGGGGCGCTTGTATAGCTCGTAGTTCACAGCCCGCTCTCATATTCAGGTCGTCAACTACAGACGCAAGCAGTGTTCAGTTAGTTGCAGTCTGAAACTTCATGACTAGATGCCACTAAATCCTACACACTGGACCTTTAAATGCAAATAAATTGTTATTACAACAAGATTAATATGGCTGCCAGATATTGTTAGCTACAGCTGTGTAGCAGCCAGTAGTCCAATAACTACCGCAAATCTACTGCCAATAACGTTTCAATTCTAAATTTTAATTAAGTCAACATGTCTGCTGTGAAAACATGTACATGTGATACAATGAGGAATGACGACTGTATTCATAACAGCTTTGCATTTTAAATGAACACTAGCAATTTCATATGGTTTGTGCATATTATGGTGCACTTGTATACTACTATAAGAAACTTTTGTTTGACCTAAATGCTTGTTTAAATCAGTATGCGTATTGAATTGCAGACTACAGTTCAGGGACAAATTTCAGACCAAAGACCAATTTTTTGGGGACAGCTTGTCCAGTTGTGGACAGAGGGCAGGTCCCCAATTTGGAAAAAGCTGATCTTTGTGTCAGTGGTTAGGGTTATGGTTATGGTTAGGGTTAGGGTTAAGGTAAGTCTCACGGAAATGAATGTTATGTCCCCCAAAGTGACATAAGTATACATGTGTGTGTTTTCATTCCTAGGTGTAATAGCTCTCAGTCAGGAGTTTGGGAATCTAGCTGAAGGACTCAAGCACCTTTCTCTATCCCGGGTATCAATGACTGCTAGAGGTACACACACTATACATTTTACAACATACCCACTGTGGTCTGTTTTTTATTATAATTTTATAAAAAGAGGAAGACATATGAAGAGGAGGTGAATATCACCTGGACAGTGTACTATTAGTCCTGCAGTTCCCTGTCCTGTCCTTTCCAAGGTGAACAAGAATAGAAAGAGCTATGATTTTACATCCAGTTTGGTGCACAGTCTGATCTATCCGTTTGCAGGTCTTGGCTGTCTGAGTCAGGTGTTATCCTCCACTCAGCTGTTCTCCGCCACTCTGACCCACCTGGATCTGTCCAGTAACCCCGGCAGCCTAATTACTGAAGAGGCCACGGTACATTCTGCGCACATGCATACACATACAATACACATACTGTACATACACATTCAGAAGTGGCGCTATAATACGGAAGGCTCAGGAAAAATCCAGGAATAAAAAGAAAAAACCCACCTTATCAGGCTTACTCCAGCATACTGGATTTATAGACCTTTTTCACAGCAGCCATGTTTGTGTTACCGATGATACTAATTAAGGCTTCGTTCCATTTAGTGTAGCGGAGCCTTTTTTTGTGAGCCAACATGCACAATGTCAGTACCCTAAATGCTTGACCTGAATGAAACAGAGCCTTAATTAGATACAATATATACAATGTATAGCATATACAATTATAGTAAATATGTACAATATTTAAAGGGACACATACAGGTTTAACTCCTGGACTCAAAGGCCCGGTATATGTGCAGGGAAGGACCTTCTACATGTCCCAGTTAACACTGGTTTGTGGGAACAAATCTGTCATTTACTTTTCAGCAACACTTGTGCACTCTTTGCACCAAAACATGCCGAAACATCTTAAACATATACTAACTACACAATATGTACACGTGTGTGTGTCTTGCAGTTTCTCTTCAAGTTCTTGTCAAGTACTAACTCTCTGTCTCATCTGGACCTCAGCGACACTACCTGCCCTCTGGACACGGTCAGTGAGAGACAGTTTTTACAGACGTTTTGGAAAATTTGCTTGCTGTCAGAGGAGATACAATCACATTGAGAGACAGGTCTGTGACGTGGTTAGCCTCACTTAGCAGAAAGACTAGAAGCAAAGTGCTAGCCAAGCTCCAGATTATTATATAATCATAAAATTTTACATGTACAAAAAAACATTGCTGTTTATAAAGTCTCAGTGAGGGGAATAGTGGAACTAAGTACACAGGGCCCTCAGAAAGCCTGGGAATTACCTGAAAACTTCAAATTTGAAAATGTTTATTAATATATTATTAATAATCTATTACTGTCTGGCTATTTATTGTATCTAAACCAATAATAGAGCCTCTCAGTTGATGTGTTATTAACTGTGAACTTCTGTGCTTCACTCATTCTAACTTTGTCTTGCAGTTATTTGTGTCCCTGTCAGCTGGATGTTGTTACAAACTGATGCACCTGAACCTGGCCAGAAACCCTTTCAGCCACAGGTCAGCTCCCATGAGCCACTTCAGTAAAGTCACCAGTCCTCAGTTTGTTAGCTGTGCACTTGACATCCTCTGTCAACTTCCTTATTCGCCGTACTTAGATATGCTATGTGCTAGATGGTTGAAAGATAAAAGAAACATATATATATATATATATATATATATATATTGCTAGCTAATCTAGATTAATCATTAGCTAGCTAGTTACATCTGATATTTAATGTTAGCAAAACGCTACTTACTCATAATCCACTAATCCATAATTTCATGGTGTGTTTGATAAAACTATGTGTGTGTGTGTGTGTGTGTGTGTGTGTGTGTGTGTGTGTGTGTGTGTGTGTGTGTGTGTGTGTGTGTGTGTTGTTGTGCCCGTGTAGAAAGGTGCGCGAGGTGACCAGGAGCATTCGCGAGTTCTTCAGTCAGAGCTGTGAGTTAAAATACGTGGGCCTGTCTGCAACCAAACTACCTCCACAAGCTCTCAGGTGTGTTTCCTCCCAACAAATGCAACAATATGAAATTTAAACCTTTAAACCAGTGTTTCTCAAACATTTTACATGGTGTACCACCTCACAAAATATCAGGCTCTCCAAATACCACCATTATGACCGGGGTTAATCTCATCCCATATTGAAAAATAAAAATCACTGTGCCTTACTGAATCAATACAGGATGCAATTTGTCCTGTATTTTGGTGCACATCCTTCTGTAACGCATTAGAAATAATGAAACCAAAAGAGTTTCCCAAGTATTAAATCACAATTTGCAAAAGAGAATGACACCTTGAATGACAGCTCGTCATCATTGTCCTGACTACGGAGACTCAGATGCACGTTTTTTTTTTAATGTTGGCAAATACCTTCAAAAGAAAGAGGCCGTCCTAACACAGATCTCAGTAGCAAACAGAGCACCAATGGACATCAGTTGGAATGGGTACAAAAATGTCCTGTTGCTCCTGATAGACTGTCCAACCTGAAGCAAGATTATGCAAGGGACACAAATCGGTTCATAAAAATCATCATAATGCAGTGTTTAACACTCAAAATCTCATAGGGGAGGACTCGGAGACCTGGCGCTTGATCTGGCATTCCGGGCATGGGACCGCTGACACGGTATCCCTTATTCCTCCATGTTGAAGGTAGCAAACTTAGCGTAGGCCGACCCTGTTCAGCTACAGACAGTTCACACAGGAGGAAGGTTGAATCCTAATTAGAAGATTATTTGTTGACTGTCACGCTGTACAAAAGTCTCATATACCGCAACGTGTAACTAGTCATGGATGTATGCATGTGCTTCATGCATGAATGTGACTATGTAGCAGGCTGATATTGAAAGCTTGCATACTACCAGTGGTACCTGTACCATAGCTGGCGAACCGGTGGGTTAAGCCAATAAATAACTATTGTAATAGCTATAACATGTATGGATGTATATATTTCTTTTATAGACTTTTAGATATGTTTTGCAACTAGGTTATTACTGCAGGGCCTGGCAACCAACACTCGTCTCTTTGGGCTGGAGTTGGACCTCAGTAGCTGTGAGGTAGAGTACACATTCTCACACAAATGCAATAAAACACCTTTTTTGTTTGTGATGATGATGGCAGAAGCCACAGTAAACAAATTACTATATACCTGTGTGTCTGTGTGTGTGTGTGTGTGTGTGTGTGTGTGTGTGTGTGTGTGTGTGTTTGTGTGTGTGTGTGTGTAGCTACGTTCAGCGGGGGCCCAGGTGATACAAGAGCACATCTCTGAAGCTACAGCTATCAAAAGTCTGGATATCTCTGACAATGGTATGGAAAACCACACACACACACATACACAGTTTTTCAAGAGGAAGAGGTGGCAGTATTCCATCCACAGTTAGCTTAGTTTAAGACTGGAACCACGGGGAAACATACCCTGACTCTGTCCAAAGCAGTGCCTGAAATGGGCTGCTACTGAGCACATCTGATTGATTGTACCCTCACTTTTTATTGCGTATCGCCACCTCATGGGGAGTCTAGTTACTAAACACCTTCGTAAGGCTAGATTTGTTTTTGTTTAGGCATGAGGAGTTAGATGGTTGGGGTTAATTATGGCTGTAAAGTTCCCTGATGGAGGGTATAAACTGTGCCAAACAATGCACATTTCTGTTTCTTTGTAAAACTGAACCTGAAAACATAACGTCATCTGTCTGTATCTTCTTATTATTCTCATTTTCTCACTGAAGTCAAAAAGCTGCCACACCTCTGATGGACCTGAGGAGGATTCATCCTCAATTTCAAATTTCATATCTTTGCACCTTGATACAGCTACTACATTTTTTTTATCTTACTGACTTAAATTTTCACATATTTGTATTACAATTTAACTGTCTTGCAATGTATCTTTACACTCCTAGTCCAAAGGTAATAACATCCACCAAACAGCACCTCTAAAGCTCAAAACAGAACATGTTATATTTAATTTGTTTAATCCGTACAAAAAATGAAGCGATAAACAACGTTGAGGTTTTATGGGGAGTTTCTGTATGTGCTGGATTACTGCTTGGCCAGGAGCAGTGTGTCCCTGGAGCCTTGTTGTCAACGTGAGGTTGCCAGTCAACATGCAGACACACTAACTGAACCAGGCTATGAAGTGAATTTGTTAAACATAGCCTCTGTATTTTGTTTCCACAAAAAAAAATTCAATTCAATTCAATTCAGATTAGAGGATTTGATTTAAATATGGAAATACCTGATGTCATTCCCTCCCGGAAGTGGAATAAATGTATGAAATTATTTTAAGAATGATTGTCAATGACCAGCTGGAGACTCAGAACCAGAGGTGGGACGTTAAGTACAGATATTTTTTTTGAATCAGTACTTCTACTTTTACCAGTCTTTCACCTCTGGTCAGAACACTTGATGTGACTTTCATGGCTGACAGAATAATGCAAATCCTCTGTTTGCTCCCCTCCTCCCTTCCCTGTCTGGCTGTAGGTTTTGAGAACAACATGGTCACTCTGGTCCTGTCTGTCGGTCGATGTCACTCCCTTCGACACCTAGCACTGGGGAGAAACTTTGCCATGAAGTCCAGGTCTGGGAAACATAATGCATTGTACACGATTCTGTCCCCCACCCAGTATGTCTACTCCTGACATCAGCTCATTACAGGGATATAAAGCTTTTCATACAGACAGCTGCAGACAAATGAAGCAACAGTCCAAAGTTGTTGTCATTATTTTCAGCAGGATTTGCACACTAAATAATTATGGTCATTTACTGTGGACGTGGTTGGATAACATGTTGTAGGAACTTTTAAAGTTCTCTTTAAAGCAAGTGTTTTATGGTCTTTTTTAAACCTGACGTTTGTCCCTCAGGGTATTAGCTGAATGCGCTAACTATCGATTTATAGTGGAGAAACATATAGAAATGCAGATACTGGTGCCTGATAGCTCACCTGGTAGAGCTTGCGCCCCCTATACAAAGGCTGAGTCCTACCGCAGTGGCCTTGGTTCAATTCCAACCTGCTGCCCTTTACTGCATGTCATTCCCGTCTCTCTCTCCCACTTTCCTGTCTCTCTACAGCTGCTATTATCAAATGAAGGCAGTAAAAGCCCAAAAATAATCTTTAAAAATTAAATCTGAATGGCATGTTTAGGTTGAAATTGAAGATTTGCCTGTATGCTTCATGAAATGTTGCTTATGTGTTTCTCTTTTTCCATCATAGTTCTTGTTTTCCTGGTTTGATATGTACTCTTTCTGTCTCCCAGAGCTCTCACTGATGTTCTTCATCGTATAGCTCAGCTCATTCAGGATGAAGAGTGTGTGAGTGACACTTTAATATTAGCTCCCATTTCAGTAAAGGATGCATATACAGTGCATTAGGTACAGTAACAAATGAATTGTGGATCATTTCTATATACTTTAATTCATTTTCTCACTGTGAATTTTCAACAGAATAGAATGCCACAGTTTCTTATATATCTATGTGTGTGTGTGTAGCCCCTGCATTCTCTATCAGTGTGTGACTCCAAGCTGAAGACAGGGATGCACATCCTGCTGAGCGCTCTGGGCGGCCACGCTGCTCTGGCTGAGGTGGACATCAGTGGAAACAACATCGGAGACACTGGAGCAAAAATGCTGGCCAAAGCCCTGATGAGTAACACCAGACTAAGGTACACACACACACACACACACACACACACACACACACACACACACACACACCAGTTTTTTGATTTGATAAAATGTATGAATTACAGAATAATGCCAGCCTCATAATTTAAGAAAGTGTCATGGTTGTATCTATTTCTGGATGGACATGGAAACGGTTCTATTTTATATGAATACAGCAATACACTGGTACATCACCGCCACTAGATGTCACCATTTCAATATTGGAAAATAACACTGACTCTTAAACCTACAATGTATATATGTACAGTTTTCTTATCTTTCTTATCTTTATTTATTTATATTTTGAAAGTACTCTATTTTTTTGTGTGATTTATGTGTGATTTGTATATTCTTGTGTGATTGTATATTTTAAGCACTACTGCACCAAGACAAATTCCTTGTATGTGAAAAAAACTACCTGGCAATAAATCTGATTCTGATTCTGATTTGAAAATAACATTCAGTATTTGATTTGCTGCAAGAGTGTTTAGTGTTTAATGTGTTCGGTTGATGTTGCATGTAGCTGCCAATCAAGCACTACACTTTCAGCCAGACTATGAAGACCACTGCAGACCATCTTCAACCAGACTTTAACTTCAACTAATAGAAGTTGTTTTTCTTTGCTTTCTCTTTCTTTCAAGGTCTCTAACATGGGACAGAAACAATGTAACTGCCAGAGGTTTCCAGGATGTGGCTGATGCCTTGGAGAGGTCCCAAATACGCACCCCCAGACACACACATACACACACATAAGCCAGGGTGTACTATAATTCCCCAATCAGGGTTACTAGTACCCCAGGGGGTCTACAGTTTCTAAGGGGTACTTAAAAGATCCACTTACTAAGTCAGCTGTAACACCTGAATGCTAACGTAACCTACAGCAAGCAGAGAAGTGAATAAATGACTGTGGTGGACCCTAATAGTAATGTTTAAAGGAATAGTATACAGCATTGTCCTAAAAAAAACAACATATAGACTCATACAAACATAATCCCTCTCACTCAACACTTATGACCCTCTATAAGGGTCTGGGTCTGTATCTGCAGCCCTGCAGCCCTCTGTCTGTATTTTCTTATTTTGTTGTGCAGTGTAAACCTTTGTGCAGTGTGTGGAGTCTGAGTTTGGGACCTAGTAACCAGGTTACATCGTCATGGATGCATAACAATCTGTGTCCGTTTGACCGAGGGCAGACAGTATGAAGCTACCAGGGTTCCCCAGCCTCCTCGAAAACGTTTGCATACATAGAAACATCTGGAAATGGATTATAATGACCAAATATCGGCTGTGAATCAGCTGTGGTGATGAAGGCCAAGCATACCATGAAAGCGAGCTAACACAGTGTTACTTAAACAATGACAACCATGTGTGAGCATGTGCAAGAAGAACTCCTGGAAAATGTCCTTGAAAGGTCCTGGAAAATGATTTCTTAGAAAGAGTGGGAACCCTGGCTACGCTTTAGCTACGTTCACACAATATCCAGAAATATGGCACCTTCCTGCAGGGTTGTGCAGAGGTGTGCCTGTGTTTACCTGTGCTTCAGATTGTAATCGCTGTGAAGCAATCAGAAAATAACATTGTATTTCTCTGATTCACTGCTTTGAATGAGGAGGATTCATTCTCTATGTAGCTCAACCAAAGGTGCTCTGTCCAGCTCACTTGTGCCGGGAGGAGGGAGCCAACTTTGGTGTTTTTATAAACAGACAAATCCTGCATAGTATGCCTTTAAATGGTTAAATGGTTGACAACAGTTGAAATAGTTAAAGGTCCAGTTTGTAGGATTTAATGGCATCTGGTGGTGTAGTTGCAGATTGCAACTCCCTTGTTTCACCCTCCCCTTCCAAGAATCTTATATTCAGGTGATTATACACTAATGAAAACATACCTATGGATATTATATTCCATTTCTGGCAATAGATCCTCCTAAATGTTACACACTGGACCTTTAAATAAAAGCCTATTAAAAATAGCGATGAACACATTTGGAACATGAGGGGTGACGTCAACAAAAGGGTGCTTTAGATATTAGCATGCTAAGATATGCTAAAAACCACTAAACACCACTGATGGAAATGTCATTAGTTTAGTATTTGGTGATAAATATAGACAGATTGATAGCACTGAATAAAGATTCAGAGGATCATCAAAATTGTTACAGTTTGTCCTGAGGGTGACAGGAATGTTTGAACATCCAAATAGTTTTACAACCCAACACAATCTCAGTTTCTGAAGTGAAATGTACTGCGCAGCATGCATTAACCTGTAACTCTGTGTAGATGTGAATTTGATGGTTGGATGTAATGATGATCTATGTTGTGCAGGAACTTCACTCTGCAGCAGGTGTCTGTCCCCCTGGCTGATATCACACAGAGTTACCGCAGCAACCCTGACAGAACAAGAGAGGCCCTGCACAAGGTCAGCGTGTGCGTTTAGCACTTTATGAGTGTGTTGGCAAATGTGACTAATATGGAAAATATAATAAAAAAACAGACTGATGTACTGTATATACCATGCATTTGCTATTTCTCACATCTTTTCATGCCATCTTTCTGTTTCAATGAAAACAGAAAGAAAGCATGTAAGCATTTTTGCTAGGGAAGTTTTTTACAATTTCATTCTGGGACATTGCCTATCAATATGTTCTGGTCAGTCACAGGCTTTGAAACAAGCTTTTTGTTACTATTTATGTATCTCACTGAGAGTATGTTCAGGTAGTTGGGGGAGGACTGCAGGTAGAGTAGAGTAGCAGAGCAGATATATCAAGCCACTGTGGTGGTGAGGGATGCCATGTTATTAACTTACGTGTGTGACACAACCAATCAGTCAATGTCTGTGTGTGTGTGTGTGTGTGTGTGTGTGTGTGTGTGTGTGTGTGTGTGTGTGTGTGTGTGTTTGTGCAGATCCAGCAGTGTTTAGACAGAAACAACCAGAGACAGTCTGACAGAGTGGAACTGCAGCAAGTGTTTAAAGCTCAACAATCTGAAAAGGTAAGACGTAGAATAGAATAGACATATAGCATATGTAGTTGTCAGTTAACAACAAGAGTGAAAATACTGCTGATTAACGCTAATATAGTATAATAAAGGATAAATGTGTTAAAATACCAATATATTTTAATTGTGACAGTCAGAAGCAGACATTTTCTCCAAATATTAAATATTGTAACAACTAGATATGACTTAAAGATCCCCTCCAGAGACGTATTAAGACATAAATACAAATAGTCTGCTTGGAACAACAATAATGTATGTCTGATGTCTTTTTTTTCCACAAAAAAAGTATAATTTGCACATTAAAATCCTTTATAAGTAATCTCCTCCAGACTCTCTGAATATGCAAACGTTGTTGATTTCTAAAGTTTTCCTGTTGGACACAAGATGTCTCTTACTTCACTGTAAAGTCCATTCTCAGTGGATGTGCACTGGTGGCTTCAAGTTTCTACATCACACTGTACAAGTTGATACTGGACCAGGACTGACTTCCAAACTATTTGTGATGTCACAAATCCTGCTCGTAGGCCCCGCCCCTTAAAAATCAGATTGGCCTTTAAATTAGCATTTTCAGTTTGGCAGCATGGTTTTTTAACATGTTTTATTGCTGTGGGATTCCTGTACATCATAATATGGAGTAGAGTGGAACATTATGGATGCTACGTAGGGAACACTGCACACGCGCCGCCATTGGAAATTAATGTGCCAAAGCTGCACACAAACTGAACCGAAGCAGGTAGAGGGTGGAGTGGAGGACACTCTTGCACAAGCAGCAGGTGTAACAATTACCAACAGTACTCCAGAAAATAATGGACTGTTCATTACATGTAAGAATGGCCTGTAGGAACTCATTTATTAGTTTATTAGTAACTGGAATTATTATGTCAGTTAAGGTTTGTGTAACAGGGTCTGTGTCAACTCCAAATAAAATACAGGTTCCAACAACGAATCTTTAAAATACTGGCAGAAGTGTGGTGCATAAGTATGTGATCAATCAAACGGAACCGCCATGACAGTTTCTGTCTAGATCTGTACCCTCAGCTCTGTCTGTCTCCGTTCTCCTGCATTCTAGATGGTCCAGGGTGTGTGTCGGCAGCTGGAGGACAGCCTTAAACGTTTAAACCACTGCAACGTTCAGGAGGTCCAGGCCGACATCCAGGCAGCGCACGAGGTGCTGCACAATGCCAGGGAGTCCTTCAAGGTACAGGCTGCTCACAGGGTTTGGAAAACCACTGTGTTACGTCATTATGATGACAAAATAATCACTACGTTAATTGTCACAGAGGTATTAACTATATGTTTATTATTGCTATTATTGATGTTTGTCAAGTACAACACCACCACTAACCAGTCCCTCCAAGATTCAATGGCAGCTTCTCTAAAAATTTGCAATGCATGTTGCAATGTTTTTTTTGTTATAAGATTGCAGGAGATAATGAAAATTGTATTATTTATGAAAGGTGGTAAAAGTATACACATTCTTTAGTAGGCTCTGAAACATGCTCAAAGTATAACAGTAGGACATTCTACCAGCTGTTTCTGTGCAAAGCTAACTGAAATTTATACAAACTTAAACTTAAACAAATAGAGCCTCCTCTTGTCTGTTTTGTCTTGTTACATCTGTCATGTATGACATGCACCAGAATTGATGTTGGGAAGGCGTGCACTGATAATAATAATAATAATAATAATAATAATAATAATAATAATAATAATAATACATTTTATTTAAAAAGCGCTTTTCTGAATACTCAAAGACACTGTACAATATAATATAAGCAGAATACAAGAACATCAATCAGTAAAACAATATAAAACAGTACATTACATACGTTAAAAACACATTAGACTAGCAAAGCAAGACTGAGCTAGCAAAAATAATTATTGAAATGATAATGTGCAGGGGACTGGTTTGATTAGTGAAACTACAATGCTGTATCAGTTTAAACAATATTATGTGAGAAGGTACAAACAGAAAATCACAACTTTTGTTGGTAGTGACTGTTATGAAGAGGAGCGATTTTTCAACTGAACTGAAAGACTTGCCCTTCAGTGGGGAACTGAAATCATTATAGCGCTCTTTTCAATGTCACCAGACTTTGATAGAAACTGAAATTTTACCTCACAGGACACAGGAGTTGCTGGTTCACTGCTGCCTTGCATGGTTAATTTGTTTGTTGTTGTGTAAGTTTGTTGTTTTAACACGTTCATTTGGATCCGAACTAATGTTAATTGCTGCACATCAAGGCAGCCGTAGACCAGAAACTTCTGCAAGGTAAATTTTTGTTTTTTTAAAGGAGTTTGGTGACTTTAGAGAGCGCAAAGATGGATATAACGGCTTCAGTTCCCCATGGGAAAGGGTCTGATGGGAAGGTAAAATGGTGAAAATATAGTGTATAGTACATAGTAGTAGTATAGTTTAATTTCTTGCATTTTCACCCTTATGAACAACAACGTTTGGTACTTGATAAAAGCTCCTCATAGATTCTCGGTTTGATCAATTTTAGCAAAACTGGCATTTTGAGAGTTTGTGATTGTGCTTCTAATGTAGGAAATCACTTTCTGCCCTCCATCTGCAGTTTGCGCAACATGTAAACAAGCAGTTAACATATCTCAGAAAGTTTGAACAAAAAAGTGGCCATTATAAGCTTCTCTAAGGTAGAATAGGTGGCACAGGTGTTGTACTGGATTGCATTAGGTATACCAGGTAGTGTAAATTACGGAGCCCCCCGGTGACATTGGATAAAAAAAAAAATAATGCGTGGCCATGAGATAATTCACCTTCAGTAGCGGGATGGTTATCCATATGGAGCTGTCAGTGATGCTGTTTATTATTCATGAATAAATTTAGTTTATAGTCTTTTATATTCAAGAGTTGCTTTGTTATTCAGGGCTGGAGGAGCTTACATCTAAGTGAAGCCGGACATATCACTGTTGGTAATGCTAAATGCAGTCCCTCCAGGAAAACGCGAAATTAATTTAAACAAGTTAACAATCAACAGTCTCTGCATGGAAATGACTGCAATAATTATCTTGTGGCCACGCATAAACTATCTCGTTGCCATGCATTAACTATCTCGATAGTAATGTGTGGCCACGCATTATTTTTTTTTTATCCAATGTCACCAGGGGGGCTCCATAGTAAATGATGCTTTATGCCACTAATGTTTTTGTTGTCTCTCCCTGTTCAGTTTCTTCCCTCTCTGTATGAGGCAGGCAGGAAGTGTGCCTCTGATGGAGACCTGGTGAACTGCATCCTCGCTGACACTGCTACTGCACTGACTAATGAGTTTAACAGAAGCATACAGGTACACGTTTAACACTTTTTAAATGTTTTTGTGTTTCTGAAGGGTATGGAGGGTTACATAGCCACAGATTTACGAAAAAAGGTGTCAAATTCACTGATTTTCACTCACCGCACACAATGTTTCTTTAATTCCCCAATCACTTAAAAGTTAATTCAATTCAAGTTGAAGCTAGGCTACTGAAATGTAACAGTACATCATGATTACTCAGGATTACAAGTGAACGTCACCAACATACCTCCAAAGAGAGTTGGTAGTTTGACATTAAACTTACATGTTAAAGTTGCAGCAACACAGACCTTTTTGGGTAAACACAGGCTTTACCAATGATACTAATTAAGGTTCTGTCCTGTTCAGGTCAAACAGAGTCAGTGTGCTGCTGTTGTACACGTTGGCTCACCGGAAAGGCTCTGCTACACTAAATGGAACAGAACCTTAATTAGTGTCATTGGTAACACCTTTGTTTACCCTACTATTTTCTATCAAAATGGCATGAAATAGTCCCACTATTTCACAACCGCAGTGGTGATTTGATAATTCAGTTACACTTTGAAGAGACACATCAAAATCAGAACAATTTTTCCTCTTACCTGTAGTGCTATTTATCCATAAATATTGTTTGACTGTGAGTTGTTGGGTTTTGGAGAGATCGATAGAGATGTCTGCCATCTCTCTCATATAATGGAACCAGGTGGCACTCAGCTTGTGGTGCTCAAAGCGCCAAAATATACATTTGAAAAACTTAACAGCTCTCTTTCCAGAAATCATGACCCAGCTACTCAAGATATTTAAGATTTTCTTTGTATGTATCACCATGCAGAAGAAAGTGTGCATCTACTCATAAACAAGTGGCTCATGCTCTTGACAGCGCAGGATGTAAACATTAAAGATGTCCTCCTTGACGGAGCTGTAAAGTTAGCTAGCTCACCTGGCATCAATGAGACAGATAATGTTAGCAAGCTCACCTAGCACCACTCAGATAGATAACTTACAATAACAGATTACAGACCAAAACATTTTTCAGTGGGTACTGGTCAGATCCCAGTTCAAGCTTGGTGTTGGGAGTGGATTTAATTGCCGTGCTCAAGCCCCGTTCTGTGTGTTCCAGGAACTTGCTCAAGGCCTGATGGGGTATGCAGAGGCAGCATGTCCACAGGTGGTCCAGCGGTCCAGTGTGTGCGAGTGTCTTTCAGAGTGTGTGTCCAAAAGAAGCAGACAGACACACTCGTTCCTAAGAAGCACTCTGGTGGAGAACACAGGGCAGATCATCAACAACAGACTGCGGTAAGAACATTGACAATACTTGATGCTTAGTACAATTGGATTCACAGTCCCTCCAGGATTTTGTGGGCTTTTTGGGGGAATATTGCTGTCTAAAATGTTTGATTGTGCAGCAGCTTTTCTAAAAGAATCGTGATGCATGTTGCAAAAGTAAAAATTGCAAATATATTAAGATTTCTTTGGTATAATTCTTAAAAAATTGAGGGCAACTTGTTCCTGAGATAATAAAATTGCATAGGGGGCAGCTGTGGCTCAGAGGAAGAGCAGGTTGTCCACTAATTGGGAGGTTGTTGGTTCGATCCCCGGCTCCTCCCGCGACATGTCGAAGTATCCTTGAGCAAGATACTGAACCCCGAATTGCTACCGATGCTGTGCATCCGTGTGTGAATGTATATGAATGGGTTAGTTTCTGTTCAACGGACTTTGCCATCACTGAGTGAATGTGTGTGAAAGGGTGAATGTGGCATGTAGTGTAAAAGCGCTTTGAATGGTCGGAAGACTAGAAAGGCGCTATACAAGTACAGGTCCATTTACCACTGTTGAGAGTAAGGTATGGCTTAACGTTTTGCGCAGGAAACTACAATGATAGGGCTTTTAGTGTTTTTCGGCCACCGTAGTTTCTCCTACACATTTGGAAGGCGGAGCTGTATGTATGTATGAATTGCCTGCTAGAACAAATGATACCAAAGATCAATTTGTACGTGTACAAAAACTACACTATAGTCAGATTATGACTTAATTTGGATTCAGAACTCAAAGCTTGGGACTTGACTCCGGACTTGAGTGCAAAGACTTGAGACTTACTTATGACTTCCAAAACAATGACTTGTGTCGTTTCCCTTCAGTCTCTCTGACTAGCCTGGAAAATCAATTGAACAAAAGTTCTGTTACTGGGAAAATATTACTATGTATTATAGATCCGCCCTAACATTTTCATGGGGGGTTGTTGTCTTGTGTGTGTCATGTTTCATTCAGATGTATCACCTAGCTAGCCAACTATCTTTTTCATGAGGACCTCACTACTCCACTCAACCTGCACTATTTTTACCTTTTTTTAGGTGGGAGGAATGAAAATGAGTCATCCTCAACATTTGTGGTGTTCTGGTTTTCAGAATGATGTTGGGGAACAATTAGATACAAAATAGGATGTGGGATCTACAGGATGACTTTTTTCCTCTGCAACTATCATGTTTTTCCAAAATAAGGGGCAGAATATAGGCATTCTACACTGCGTACACAATTATTAGGCAAGTTGTATTCCTGTGAATTAATTTTATTTTTGAACAAATGCTCTCAGTCAATCCAACATGTTAATAAATCTCAAACCTGAGTATTAAATAAAGGAAAAGTGAGTTTTGGCTTTCTCAGGAGAATATCTATGTGTGCACAATTATGAGGCAACTAAATGAAAAACAAAATTTTTCCCATTTCACTTGTTTATTTTCATTTATTAGAGTGAGAATAATTAATTAAGAACTTGAAATTTACAAATAAAGACGTCTGACATTTCAACAAATATAATAGTGACCAATATAGCCACCCTTCTTTTTAATAACTGTCATGAGCCTTCCACCCATGGAGTCTGTTAGTTTCCTGATCTGTTGATCAATTTTTTTTGCAGCAGCAACCATAGCCTCCTAAATGTTCAAAGAGTTGTATTGTCTTCCCTCACTGTAAATCACACATTTAAGAAGGGCCCACAAGTTCTCAATAGGGTTTAGGTCAGGTGAGGAGGCCACACAGTGGAGTACTTGGATGCATGTGATGGAGCATTGTCCTGCATAAAAATCATGGCCTTCTTTTTTTCTTGTAAATTTTATTTATGCAAATGTTTATACATACAGGCACACACAATACAAAAAAAAAAAGACAGGAAACCAGACAAAAAAAAAAACATGCAGCCAGCAATTACTCATTACATAGAAAAGAAAATGTATAATAATACATGTCGATTCACTGAACAGATGTCCCAGAATGTCTATTCACACAGATTTAGTCCAGGAGGCCTGAGCCGGAGGGGAATGGCAAAGTCTCAGTATGTATAACTAACACAAGTTAAAAAAAAAAAAACTTTTTTAAATAAAACTGTGCAGTGCATTTAGGTCCCAGTTTGTGGTCTATCCTTCCTGATGTATTCTATGAAAGGGCCCCAGATCTTCTTAAACTTATCTTGGGAGTTAGACATAGAAAACCGAACTTCTTCAAGGTGTAAACAGGAAACCATATCATTTAGCCACCTCTTGAAGCAAGGAGGGGAAGCTGACTTCCACTCCTTTAGGATGACCCATTTTGCAATCGCCATACCAAACATGAGGGCTTGTTGTAAAGCGGATGGAAGAGCCAAAGAACCGTTGGAGCAGCCCAGTATCAGTAAGAGACAGTCAGGAACCAGTTGTCTATTATAAACAGCACTGTACAAACTGAAAATGTCAACCCAGAAACTTGTGAGCTTAGAGCAGGACCAGAAAAGATGCCCAAGAGTTCCATCAGCTGGTTTGCATTCATCACAAGTGGGAGAGATAGCAGGAAAAAGTCTATTCAGTTTAGTCTTGGAATAGTGCAACCTATGAACTACTTTAAACTGAATGAGCTGAAGTCGAGCATTAATAGAGCATGCTTTTATCCTATTTAACCCTTTCGCCCATAGCTCGTCAGAGATTACTTCACCAGTGTCCTTGATCCACGCCTCTTTAATATGGAGAGAGGGGGTTGCCATAGTGAAGAGGTTAACAAACCGAGAGATCAAATGTTTGGAGGTGGGAGGTCTGGTAATAATATCATAAAAGACATGTTGTAGGGGGGTCGCATCTAGGCGAGAAAATGATTGCTTGACTTGTAGGGAGTTTGAACTTTGCCTGGAGCTGGGCAAAAGAAGCAAAATGATTATCAATGTGGAGATCCCTGATAGTAGTTAAACCTTTATCTGACCAGTGCTTAAAGACAGCATCCATCAAACCAGGCTTAAAACAGGGGTTCTGACATACGGGAGCATGAATTGACATTTCTAGGAGGTTCAGAATTCCCCTTGAGTTGCTAAAATTATTGCATAGTGATTTAATTTTAATATCAGGTTTTGAAAACAGAATGGCTGACAAGGAGGCACCAGTAAGTGATACAGCATTACTAAGCTCAATGTCAAGCCATCTAAGGCTGAGCCCGCACTCCTCTGCACCCCCAGCCATGGACTGATTCCAGAAAACCCATGCTCTGGCGTTACAGGCCCAGTAGTTATGCCGAAGGACAGGCAGGCCTAAACCACCCTCCTCAGTGGGCTACTGTAAGTGGGCCTTTGAAATACGGGGGGCTTGGAGGCCCAGACGAAGGACATGATAATAGAGTCTAACATCTTGAAAAAGGAAAAGGTGAGGAAGATGGGCACATTCTGAAATACATTACACATTACATTTAGGGAGCACGACCATTTTAACAATGTTGACACAGCCAATCAATGAAAGGGGGAGAAGTTTCCATTTATCTATCATACACTTGAGCCTGTCAATCAGATCCATATAATTAAGTTTAAAAATAAGTTTTTGATTTCTGGGGATGTTAATCCCCAGATATGAAAAGTGGTCATGGGAAACTCTGAAGGGCAAATTGAGAAGAAAACTGGAGTCAAGACCGTTAGACAGAGGCATAACAAACGATTTCCCCCAGTTTACAGTAAACCCAGAGAATCGCCCAAAGCCATCTATCAGGTTAAGAAGGGGTGAAAGTAATGTTTTTACATCTGAAAGAGTCAGAATTACATCATCTGCGTACAGACCGATGGTACACTCGGATGTGCCGCACCTTATACCAGAGATTTGGGGGTTGGCTCTGATGGCTATGGCCAGCGGCTCAAGGGCTAATGCAAAAAGCATTGGAGAGAGGCAGCAGCCCTGCCTGGTGCCGCGGTACAACAGGAACGGGGGGGGATCTTTCGTGATTGGTTAGAACAGAAGATTGGGGACCAGCATAAAACATCTTTAATATTCATAAATTTCGACCCAAAACCAAATTTGTCAAGAGCAGCAAACGTGTATCTCCACTCTACCTGGTTAAAAGCCGGCTGGGCATCTAGTGAGATCACAGCGGAGTGGGGCAATTTAGTTGAATACATTAAATTTAGCAAACACCTTGTGTTTGAGAAGGAAAATCTATCAGGGATGTAACCTGAGTGATCACGATGAATATTCAATTCAATTCAATTCAATTTTATTTGTATAGCGCCAATTCATAACATAAGTTATCGGACCGAAAAACTATTTACAGAGACCCAACAGTACCACCATGAGCAAGCACTTGGCGACGGGGGCAAGGAAAAAAACTACCTTTTTAAGAGGCAGAAACCTAGGACAGACCCTTCGGCTCTAGGTGGGTGGTTGTCTGCCTTGACCAGTTGGGGTGACAGAGAGAGAGAGAGAGAGAGAGAGAGAGAGAGAGAGAGAGAGACAGAGACAGACAGACAGAGAGACAGACAGACAGACAGAGGTGCACAGCAACAATAGTAGCAACAACTACACTAATAGTAGTGACTGATGATGATGAATATGAAGAAGACGACGACGACAACAACAACGATGGGGGACAACGAGCAGCGACCACAGCAACAACAGTTACCGCAGTAATAATAATAGTAATAATAATAATAACAATAATATCAGTAATATTAGCAATGGCAGTCAAGCAGGACCATGGCAGGAGGCTCCACCAGGATCCATGAGAACCTGCAAGACGAGAAAGCACAAGAAGTGAAGTTAGTAACATGCATTAATGGGACATCAATGAGTGCAGAAAGAGAAAGAGAGGAAGAGAGGAGCTCAGTGCATCAGCGGAAATCCCCTGATAGTCTAGGCCTATAACAGCATAACTAAGGGATGGTTCAGGACTCACCTGAGCCAGCCCTAACTATAAGCTTTATCAAAGAGGAATGTCTTAAGTCTACTCTGAAATGTGGTGAGGGTGTCTGCCTCCCGAACCACAACTGTAAGCTGGTTCCACAGGAGAGGAGCTTGGTAACTGAAGGCTCTGGCTCCTGTTCTACTTTTAGAGACTATAGGAACCACAAGTAGCCCAGCATTCAGAGAACGTAGTGTTCTAGAGGGGTAATAGGGTACTGTGAGCTCTTTAAGATATGAAGGGGCCTGACCATGAAGAGCTTTGCAGGTGAGGAGGATTTTTAATTCTATTCTTAATTTTACAGGGAGTCAGTTGGGAGAAAGCCAGTACAGAGAAGCTAGTACAGGAGAGATATGATCTCTTTTCTTAGTTCCTGTCAGTACTCGTGCTGCAGCGTTCTGAATTAATTGAAGCGTCTTAATGGACTTATTGGGGCAACCTGATAATAAGGAATTACAGTAATCCAGCCTAGGAGTAACAAATGCATGGATTAGTTTTTCTGAATTGAAAAAAGGCAGTCCTAGAGGTTTGCTTTATATGGGAATTAAATGACATGTCCTGATCAAAGATAACTCCAAGCTTCCTGACAGCGGTGCTAGAGGCCAAGGTAATGCCATCTAGAATAACTATATCTTTAGACAGTGAGTCTCTGAGGTTTTTGGGCCCAAGTACAAGAATTTCGTTTTTTTTTCTGAGTTTAACATCAGAAAATTGCAGCTCCTCCAAGTTTTTATGTCCTTAAGACATGTTTGTAATTTAGATAATTGATTAATTTTATCGGGCTTGATTGATAGATATAACTGCGTATCATCTGCATAACAGTGAAAGTTAATGGAGTGATTCCTAATAAGGTTGCCTAAAGGAGGCATATATAAAGTAAATAGTATTGGTCCAAGTACAGAACCTTGTGGAACTCCATGACTAACTGTAGTATTTATGGAGGATTCATCAAGTACAAACTGAGAACGATCTGATAAGTATGATCTAAACCAGCTTAGTGCGGTTCCTTTAATGCCAATTTGATGCTTAAGTCTCTGTAAAAGAATATCATGGTCAATGGTGTCAAATGCAAGACCTAATAATACAAGTACAGAGACAATTCCATTGTCGCAAGCAATCAAAAGGTCATTATTAACTTTAACCAGAGCTGTCTCTGTGCTGAAAATCCTCAAATAAGCTATTGTTATCTAGAAAGTCACACAAATGTTTGGCGACTACTTTCTCCAGAATCTTAGAGAGGAACGGGAGGTTAGAGATCGGTCTATAGTTGCCTAAAACCCTGGGTCAAGAGTGAACTTTTTAAGAAGGGGTTTAATTATAGCTACTTTAAAGGACTGTGGAACATATCCTGACAATAAAGAAAGATTGATCATATCCAGTAAAGAAGTGCCAATTAAGGGTACGACTTCTTTAAGCAGCCTAGTTGGGATGGGGTCTAACAGACAGGTTGATGGTTTCGATGAAGAAATGATTGAAGTTAACTGATGAAGTATATATATATATATGTGTCAATATATTTGTTTAACCGGTTGGTCAGGACTTTTGCAATAACTTTTTGGTCAGAGTTAAGCAGACTTAGGGGACGATACGATGAGACACTTGTTTCGTCTCTGTCCTTTTTTAAGAGGACACAGATATGGGCGTCATAGAGGGTATGAGGGAAGGTATAGTTTTTCACTGAGCAATTATCCATCCGAAGCAAGAGGGGGGCGATAACGTCAATGTGTGTCTTGTAAAATTCTATCCCAAATCCATCTGGACCTCATGCTTTGCCGCTGGGAAAAGAACAAATAGCATTTCTGATCTCCTTCAGTGTAAAGTCAGAGTCCAATTCCAGTCCTGCGGGCTCAGAAAGGACTGGAATGTCTAAAGTATGGAGAAAATTGGCAATGTCTGTATCCGTGGCAGTAGATCTGGAAGTATATAGCTGGCTGTAAAAGCTAAAAAATCTGTAATTGGGCGCCCGGTTAGCCCACCTAGAGCTAGCGACCATGAATGGAGTTGCTGCAGCGGCCCAGGGTTCGAATCTGACCTGCAGCCCTTTGCTGCGTGTCATCCCCTTTCTCTACCCCCCTTTCCTGTCTATTTTCAGCTGTCACTATCAATAAAAAGGTAATAAAAGGCCAAAAAAATACATACATGAAAAAAAAAATCTGTCATTGATCTGCTTGTGATCAGTTAATAGTAACCAGTGGATGAGGAAATTTTATGTATTGCCCTATCAGATATGACGCCCTTCAGTTGCCTAGCGAGCAATTTATCGGCCTTCTCCCCCAGTTCAAAGTGCTTCTGCTTTAGTCTACGAATATAATTCCCAACCTGCTTGCCCAGAATATGTTTGTATTCATATTTCACTTTCAAAATAGATCTAAGTGTGTCTTTAGAACCTGTGTTTCGATAATCCTCCTCCAGTTCAGCAAGTTCAGCCTCAATATCAGTGCGACGATTGAGCCTGGCCCTTTTGCAAGACGACTGATACGAGATGATGTGTCCTCTTATAACGACTTTAAAGGACTCCCACAAACTAGAATCTGAGAAAGCGCCATTGTCGTTAATGAGCAGAAAATCTGCAATCTTGGTTGATATGTAGCCACTGAACGTGTCATCTAAATATAGAGAGGGGTTAAATTTCCAATTATATTGAGGGGCATAAAGTTTGAAGTCAATCACCAATGAGAGGGGTGCATGGTCCGAAACTAAGATACTATGGTAAATTGAACTTATTACATTTGAAATAAGTCTAGAGTCAACCAGCATATAATTCTAGTGAAACTGCCATGCACGGGGAGAAAAAAGAATATTGTCTTTCTAAGGGGTGCTGGTGCCAGAGATTTGGTAAGGTTATTGAGTACAGAGACAGATTTCAATAATGGGGCCACGGACGAGGAGGACCTATCCAATAGCGGATCAAAATCAAAAGGTTGAATATTTTACAGAAAAAATCGGGGCTATTGAAATTGGGGGCGTAAATGTTTAAGAAAACTAAAGGGACTGAGTTGACCGTACCCGTGACAAGTATGAACCTCCCACCTGGATCGGTAGTCTGCGTTTTGAATACAAATGGAACGGTTCTGTGAACATGTATGGCAACCCCCTCGCCTTGGAGGAAAAGGTGGACTGGTACACCTGAGACATCCACACAGATCTTAAACGCCTCTGCTCTGAAGGTTGGATATGGGTCTCCTGCAAAAAAACAATAACAGAAGACAGGGACTTTAAATGCAAAATCATGGCCATCTTGAATGATGTAGACTTTTTCCTGTACCACTGCTTGAAGACAGTATCTTCTAAAAATTGGCAGTAAGTTTGGGAGTTGATTTTAAGTCCATCTTCAACCCGAAAAGGTCCAACTAGCTCATCCTTGATAATAGCAGCCCATACCAGTACGCCACCTCCACCTTGCTGGCATCTGACTCGAAGTGAAGCGCTGTGCCCATTAGTGATCCAGCCACAGGCACATCCATCTGGTCCATCAAGAGTCACTCTCATTTTCATCCATCCATAAAAACCATCTGTCTTCAGATATCTCTTGGCCCAGTCTTGACGTTTCAACTTATGGGTCTTGTTCAGTGGTGGTAGTGTTTTAGCCTTCCTTACCTGGGCCATGTCTCTGAGCACCGAGCACCTTGTACTTCTGGACACTCCAAGTAGGTTTCATTTCTGGAATATGGCAGTATTGGAGGTTAATGAGTTCCTGGTATCTTCACGTTTAATTCTTCTCAAGTCTTTAGCAGTTAATTTGTGCTTTTTTTTCTCCACACGTTTCTTGCAATCCTGTTGACTATTTGCAAACAAAACCTTTGATTTTCAGTGATCACGCCTCAATACCATAGCTACTTCAAGAGTGCTGCGTCCCTCTGAAAGGCATTTTACAATTTTTGACCTTTCAGTCTGTTAAATCTCTTTTTTGGCCCATTTTGTCTGAGGTAAAGAAGCTGCCTAATAATTATGCACATCATCACTTTAGGCCACACCCTCCCTCATTACATAAATACACAGCACCTGATAATACTTTAATTCAATTTGCATTCAAGTTTATATAGCTTGGAGTTGGAAAATACATGCATGCATTAGATGCATGAAAATAAGATGAGATGCTTACTTGCCTAATAATTGTGCACGCAGTGTATTATCTCAGTTGGCTTGAAAAATAGTGCATATAACTCCCCGGTGGAGCATGTCCCTGGACCTTTGTATTCTAAGATTCTGAATAGTGAAAATAGAGTGACACCAGATGACCTACCATATCTGTTGGTACCAACCATGCTAACATGGCATGTGAGGAAGGGGGCTAAACAACGCTCCAAAGTTAAGTGATGGAAAAACTGACATGGCCATTTTTAAAGGGATCCCTTGACCTCTGACCTCAAGATATCTAAATGAAAATGGGTTCTAAGGGTACCCATGAGCTAATTCCATGCAGTTGCGAAAAACATACAGTATTATTTTCGCCTAGTGTATTTGGATATTTCTGCATACTGGGGTTGATAAACAGTGGTGGAACTGCATAAATTGGGAATGACTGGGAAGCTGAGACACATACTTCCTGCGACCCCTGCATAAGTCATTGCCCCCAGTCGAACTCATGTTCAGTATTTCCTCTGTTCTTTTTTTTACATCCATCCAGTGAACTGAGACAAACACTGAGCGTCTCTCTGGCGGAGAGCATCATAGACCAGGTACTACAGGATCTGACAATGGCACAGAACAAAATGGTAAGTGTGTCTGTGTTGTGTTTTATTTATACGTGTGTGTGTGTGTGTGTGTGTGTGTGTGTGTGTGTGTGTGTGTGTGTGTGTGTGTGTGTGTAAGTTTAGTGTTATGCTGAATACTGCGCTGTATTTTATATTTATTCTATGGTAAAATAGACACTGTTATGTGACAGTTTTTCGGCTGTATTTTCATTTAATGACCCATTAATTTCTATATAACTTCTACTGACCTCGGTTGGTAAGTGCAACAGTGAGGAACATTCAATTCAGAAGAAGAATTCAGAGAATTTGGACATTTTGTTCTTCAAAAGGACTCAAAACGATTAATCAATTATCAGAATAGTTGGTGATTAATTTAATAGTTGACAACTAATCAATTGATCATCAGCTACTCAACTCTACTTCCAATAAATCCAATGCTTCTTCTTAATGTCACTCTATATAAGATGGCACTGCTTAAATACTGTTAAACCTTGAAAACACCAGCTGCAATTATTACTCATCATTATAATTACAGCTTTATTATTGATCATTCATACACTGTGTGTAAATATGTTCAATATGTTCTTTATTTACTGTTTAGGATTGCCTTATAAAAGAAAATTCATGGCTCGCTCTGAGAATCCCAGAGCTCCGACTGGCCGACAGCGACTTCCCAACTGATGACGTAAGATACACACAGCCATCTATCCATCCGCTCATTCTGTTTTTAACTTATGTGTTGTATTTTTCTTCATCCTCTTACTCTGACTCTTTCCATCACCAGTACAGTCCAGCATTCTGGAGAAATAGTTTCCACTGCAAGAGCCTGAGGCCTGCCCCTTCAATTAAGAGTAAGATACAGCTGCTGTTACTGTAATGTCCCTCTTTGTCTCTCTGAATCTCAATTGAGGGTCCTCCTCTACAGGGTCCACCATGTTGAACCGCCATGTTTCTACAGTAGCCCAGAACAGACAAACCAAACACTGATTGTAGATAGGCTCTTTCAATAGACCACTATAGTTTCTCCTAAACACAACTGGTTGCAATCTGCAACTTTACCACTAGATGCTTCTAAATCCTACACACTGGACCTTTAATGTAAAATATGTAATTTCTGCTGCTAGGGGGTCTCTCACACCAAACTATAACAAAAAAGGATTGGTTGGGAAGTACTGTGGGATGATGCCACCATTGCTGTCATTGCAGTCAGCTTCTCCCGGTTAGGATTCCTTCAGTGTTCATGGTTCAGGAGGTTTCTACCGGGAGCCCAACTATCCACAGAGGACTCCTCCTCTCCAACACAAACAGACCCGCTGATTAAAACCACTAAACACACTGAATGAAGCAGTTCCACCTTAAAAATCACTGCTTCTCCCACACTGTTGGACAGACAAAGAACGTCCTGGAGGGGCTACGAGCCGAGCTGCTGCTAACGTTAGCTCAGCTTGTTTCTCTGATAACTTCATACTCCATCCAGATGTCCGATGACTGAAATCCTTCATCTGGTTCAAATCTAGAGTTAAAAAGCACCAACATAAAATACTAGTGGGAAGGAAATTGGACCATTTTTTATTTAAACCACCAACAACTTTTCTGTAAAGCTGACCAATCATTGTGATTTCCCATGGAAAACAGTGAGTCATACGTCACCGAACAAACTTCCTTGTTTGCAGTGGTGCAGATGCAGACCATGCAGACATGTGCAAACGTCTGACACTGACCCTCAAAACCAGTGCGGCTTTATTCTCGCTGGAATTTAGAATTTTCACTTCCTCTCGCAATTTCATTGCAGAGAAATGCACTGTTGGGGTGCTCTGGTAGCACCTGGTAGAGCGTGCATCCCGTGTATCAAGGCTGAGTCCTTACCACAGCTGCTCCTATCAAATAAAGGCACAAAAATAATCTTTATATAGAAAAATGTGCATACATCATATTTTTTGCAGGTGTTTTACTGGTAATAGTGTGAAAAATAACATTTGTTGTGGCGTCCTTTATAAAACGTCACACTATTTAAGAAAAAATTATTTGGATGTTGATGAATTAATATGATGGTGTTCCATTGTCAACAACATATTTAAATCTGCTCTGCTATTACAGCTATCCAATGTGTCATCTGAGCTCAGGTATAAATCTTAACATGTATTCCGTCATTCTCCATGTGTGCTGTGCCATGCTGAGCCATTCTGTGGCAGACAGCAGCACTGTTTGGCTAATTGGAGCATGGCCTGTTTACTTTCACACCAGTGACTTTCACCATGGGAGACATGAGATGGGGGAGAAGATGGAGGAGGGGATGATGAAGGAAGAGGAGGAAACGCGGAGGGGGAGGGTGGAGATTTGGGGTTCTGACACGCCACCCCCCACTCCTGTTGTTTGTTAGAGGATAGCCTTAAAATAATTAATAATACATCAAAATAATACATTGTCAAACATCATTTTGTGTGTCTGTACACTTGTGTAGATCATAAAAAGAATTAGGTCAATATGTTATGGATTGTCTTCATAAAGGATCTAAATTTGAGCATTTTATTTCTAAAAATGTGTCCATCAATTCACATTTCAAAGGCCCCTGAAATATTCAGACCAGCAGGGGACTGTGTAACTGAAAGATTAATAACAATGTAGGTTTAACTCTACCATAGTCTGCCATAGCGTCTGTGTATGTGTGTGATCTTTGTGTGTCAGTACAGAATGGCTGCAGCATCCATCTGCTACTGCTTCCTCTCTTTTTTCTCTCTGCATGTCTATGCTTAACTGATTATTTCTCTCTTGTATGCTCTGCTCCCCCCCCCTTTGTTCACCCTCTTTCCTTCTCTCCTCCCCCTCCATCCTAGTCTCTTGACACCCCCTCCTTCTCCTTTTTACCATGTTCTCCCCATATCTCCCTTCTCTGCCTGCCCTACATACATACTGTGCATTCCAGCAAAAAGCATGCTTACTGCGTGGGCTGGATTCCCACATTTCCCTCCCTCCCTACATCCTTCTCTCTTTCATCATCTCTCCTCTCATCAGTCATACTGCTTCACTCTCAGGTCTTCTGGATGCCGACTGGGAACAGCAGACCAGGGACAGAGGAGCAGAGAGAGAGAGGGGAGGAGAGGATGGAGGGGGAAGGTGTGGCCTCCCTCAGTTGCCGACAGCAACCCCACTGTCAGTCACAGGCTCAAGCCCCGCCCATTCCCCTTCCACCTCCCCGTCCCCCTCCCCCCCGGGACGGAGGGGGTGGAGGCGGAGGGAGGGAGAGGTGGTGGCAGTGGATGCTGCAGCAGCAATATCAGGAGCGAGAGGAGCATCGTTCATTCCTCCTCCCAGTCTCCCTCTCCGTCAGTCCATCTCCGCTCGAGCTCCAGAGGAGGAGGCTGCCAGCCGCGGAGGCTTACCCAGACGAGAGGCTCCCTTTCCCGGCTGCGGCCCCAGCCCAGGCCCCCTCCCCAGCTCTGGATCCCCCGCTTCTCCCATGGAGCCTCTACCCACCCAGGGACAGACTCTAAGGCACTACACTGCCTCCCGACCACGGCCGCGACGCACACACACACAGCCCCCCTCCTCCAGGCCTCAGGTAAGAACACACACACATAAACACTTACCAAGGACCACACACACATATACATATACATATTAAATAATGCAGAAATTACATAGCATTTGCATTTCTACATACACACAACAATACATGTGCCTACAGAATATATGCTCAGTAAAAAACAGCTACAGTAAAAGGTAGAGAGCAGGATGCAGGGACGGAAAGATGAGAGATAGAAGGAAAGGAGAGATGGATGAAGGATAGAGGGAAGGGTAGGAAGTAGGAAGCTAATTGCATGACTACAGAGGGATCCCCGAGGAGAAAACGATGGAAATGGAGAAAATCAAAACAACATGATAGAAAAAAATGTATATCTATCTATCTGTCTGTCTGTCTGTCTGTCTGTCTGTCTATCTATCTATCTATCTATCTATCTATCTATCTATCTATAATGCTGTAGTAATAATGGTAGCCATCTTTATCTTTGCATTTTCTTGCTCTATGTAGTCGTGCTCAGTGTGTGTGTGTGTGTGTGTGTGTGTGTGTGTGTGTGTGTGTGCGTGCGTGCGTGCGTGTGTGTGTGCGTGTGAGAAAAGGCACATGCATTTTGGGAGTGGTGTTCCCTGGGTTGTTCCCAGTGCTGATTTCTCTCTCTCTCTCTCTCTCTCTCTCTCTCTGTCATTCTCTCTCTCTCTCTCCTGGGAATGCTTTCACTAACTCAATTATTCATGTTTTCAGATTAATGGGGGTCTCTGTGCTGTCAGTGTGTAAAAGGAAAAAGAGGGTTTCTCTTCCTCTGTGGTGACCTTGTGTGTGTATATTGTGTTTGTCTTTTGGAGAGAATGTTTTGTAGCTGTCAATGTAAGGTGGTGTTGTGTTTCTCTAACACAATCACATGTCATTTTTGGTTCTATGCAGTAGATGTACAGTCTGGGATGGATCAGTCATTATGTCAGTGAGTGATGAGTGAATGTGGGTCCTCAGTGGTTAGCAATTTATTGCAAAATACATGACTACTAGCCAACAGAATGACTACTGGCCACTGCTCAGTAAGGCTACCAGCATGCTACATAGTGATACATTTGTAAAACTGACTATAGGTGGCTGGAAGATGATGGAAGATGTTGCCGATAATAGATTAAAGAAGAAGAGAAGAGTACATGATTTGTTTGATTTGCTTCATTCATTGTAATTGAGAGTAGAAGCTTAAATTAGCCTGTTAGCACGCTAGTTTGATTTAAAGGACAACTCCCTCACTTCACCCTCCCGCACAAAGAAGAAACTACAGTGTTTGCAAAAAAATGCAAACACCCCTATCTAGAGTCAGTGTTTGGTTTGTCTCTTCTGGGCTACTGTAGACATATGGGGACTCCATGAAGGGCAATACAATAGTAAAAACATACTTATACCTATATTAAATTTCTGCAAACATATCCGTCTAAATGTTACACTGGCCCTTTAAAAGGGGCTAGCATTACCATGTTATCGTGTTAGCTTTAGTTAAGATAGTTTAGCATTAGCCTGCTAGCATGCAAGTTTGAGTTTTACATTATTTCATCTAGGACACTTGTTCTCAAACTGTGGTACTGCTTCTAGTGGTACGCGGAGGAATCTCTGAAATATTTTTCTTTAAATGAAATAAAATAAATAAATAAATAAACATAAAATAATTTCAAAATATAACAAAAAGTAATAAAAAATAACATTTCCAGAAATGTAAATTAAACAAAGTTTTGCATTTCCTGTAATATTTAGTGTCAATATCAGCCTGTGATTGTAAGTAAGCGTAGATAAAATCAATGGTTCAAAAACACTGCAATTGTGGCTCCTAACTGGAACTAGTGATTAGCTCTGGTTCTTGAACCGGTTCCATTCAGGATTCAACATCAGTCAACAATAATCTTATTAGGAATAAAGCTGCCTCTGTGTGAACTGTCTGTAGCTGAACACGGTCGGCCTACACTGCTGTATTTTAACCTCGATCATAATGGTGGTACTTGGAGAGCCTGATATTTTCTGAGGTGGTACAAGTTGTAGAAAGTTTGACACTGGTCTAAGAAGAGCTTTGTATTACATGGCAGTTCCAGTTCCTGTCAACATCCACATCGTAATTACATCTGGAAAACTGGGATTTTTTTAAGGCTCAGCTATATCTTGGTGCTTGATCATATGGAAGTGCCTGATAATGTAAGTACATGAATATTTGCATGTAAATATGGGAATGTTTCCCGTCGCTATGCTAATGTGGAATTAGCACTTTAGTGAGCTAGAGCCTGTATGAATTGCACCTGGCTAAAATGTTACCAACAAACGTCTTAAAAGACAGCAGTGTTTATCAGGAAGTATCAGCACTATTTCTGTTAAATGATGGTTTTTCCTGAAAAAAAGACATTCAAGACAGTCATTTGCACTTTAAAAAGTGTAATTATCAAAGAAATAAACCAATTTGGTGAAACAATTCATTCTAAAACAATAAATAGACCCTCAAATTGTACTGTCTGTTTCTGAACACTTTGAGCAATGTGTTTGATAGTTTACATGCACTTGCAAATGAATGTTTAGAATAAACAACCAACAGATTTACATTTTCTATAATTGTATCTAAAACTTGCGTAGAAATCATTTTACAGCAGGATAAACGGTATGATCCCTGTGATGGAGGATATTTAAACCACCATTTACCACTTACTTTGTGGTGTTTTATTCATTGATGCATTATGTTTCAGATACTGTCCATCCTGTGTCCTCAGAATCAGCAGCTGTCAGTACTTTCTCTGCACACTGCGTTTAATTTATCTCATTATCTACACAGGTGGGTGGGTTAGTTTGTGCTCTGTGCACACAAAGAATCTGTTTGAACATAATAAGGAAAGACTGGATTTACATGATTTACATTTCCCTCAGGCAGTGTACAAAACTGTACATTTTGCAGTTGGTTTTAGACTATTTAAAGATTTACATTAATTTACTATGGCCAGGTATGTTTAGCAGTTCATGTCAGAAAACTGACTGTATTTATCCTCAGATTTACCATCATTTTTGTACCACCACAACAGAAAAATACTTTAACAAGCAACAGAAACTGTTATTTAAACAGGCAAAATGATAGTAAAGTCATTCTAGCCAGCAGGATGGGGGGCTGCACAGTGCCTGAATTAGATTTTTAAAAAGTGCCAGTACCCTAATTGAGCACAACCCTAACCACAACATAAATCTTTCTTCTATTGTTGAACATGAACATACCACTTCCACTTCTGCAAAGACCCACCACTATTCTACCTCCAACCCAACCAACCAAGGCAACAAACACTAACCAATCAGAGGCAGAGTAGGGTGGGTCTTTGTGAAAGTGGAAGTGGTATGTTCATGTTTAGGGGTGCGTATATAGACTCACAGGGTTTACATGTGATGGGGTGGCTGTGGCTCAGACGTAGAGATCGTCCACAAATTGGAAGGTTGGTGGCTCCTCTCGCTGCATGTCAAAGTGTCCTTTAGCAAGATCCTGAACCCCAAATTTCTCCCGTTGCTGGTCATCAGTGTTTGAGTGTGTATGAATGATTAGTTTCCATTCTGGTGAACAGTTGGCACCTTGCATGGCAGCCACTGCCATCAGTGTATGAGTGTGTGTGAACGGGGTGAGTGTGGCATGTAGTGTACAGTGTATTGAGTGGTCAAAAGACTAGAAAGGCGCTGTATAAGTACAGTCCATTTACCATTTACCATCTCCTACCAGGATGATTCTTGAGCTTTCTGTGATCTTAACCCAGTGGTAGTAGTGGCAATCCCCCCCTGGTTCAGCATAGAGCCACTGCAGGGGAACATATGGAGTGAAAAATGAAGGAATATGATTTACTGTATGTAGGGAAAACAATTTGTTAATGCTATCATGCTGACCTTTATTTCACTGAAATAAACTTGGATTCTTTTTTGTATTAGTTGCTGATTGCTAAAAAGTTTGGGGTGAGGGGGCATGAACTTTTTTTAGCTTGCCCCAAAATTTTTGACAGCCATTGCCATAACCAAATAGTTCTAGTTGTAGTTTAATTGTAGCTAACCATAGAAACTGGGAATGAGACAAGACAAACTCAACAATCACTATTTTTCTCAGCTCTGATTGGTTGTTTTCGTCTCTCTCTCTCTCTCTCTCTCTCTCTCTCTCTCTCTCTCTCTCACCCCAACTGGTCGAGACAGACGACCACCCACCTAGAGCCGGAGGATCTGTCCTAGGTTTCTGCCTTTTAACAGGCAGTTTTTCCTTGCCCTTGTCGCCAAGTGCTTGCTCATGGTGGTACTGTTGGGTCTCTGTAAACAATGTTATAAGGAGTTCGGTCTAGACCTGCTCTATTTGAAAAGTGTCCTGAGATAACTTCTGTTATGAATTGGCACTATACAAATAAAATTGAATTGAAATTGAATTGAATTGTTTTCATTCAGGCCCGGTAGATTCTTGCAAATGCCATTAGGAGCACTAGGAGGAGCCAGAGGAACCTGATTTTTTCACAGATTATCTGTCTCATATACTACTGTCAGGATATAGTGAAAGTTTCAGCAAATATGACAAAAAGTTTTTTTTTGTAAAAATGACCAACGGCATCTTTAAATTCATTCTTTTTTCCTGATAATACATGCTTTTACAGATGTTAAGAAAAGAGTTCTTAATACTGCAGCTTTAAGGATGGCCGCTACCACCTCTCTAGATCCGCCCCTAGTTTCAGTCTCTAAACAAAACATCTCGGGTAACCATGTGATTGCGAAAATATAGGATCAATTTAATGAATTGCTTCCATGAGCTGTTAACTCCAATGAGCCAGAGGAGAAGCTGCATCCATAGAAGGCTGATTAATGGGCACTATTATTAAACACAGGGAATGCAAAAATAAATTGTTTTTATCATATTTTTCCCCAGATTAAGTGGATTAGACGAAATGTCCTGTTCTCTGATGAAAGGGACCCTGTTTCATTCACACACCAAAACACACAGGTCCCACTCTAACAAGATGAATTTATGTCAGGGTAGAGGTTTTCATATACTGTAT